TCATTTTATTGAAAAGTTAATTATTAACAAATTCTATTATAAAATATACGACAATATAAATATATTATTCAAATTTATTCATTATAAATGGTCCACGTCATAGATTTCAGATAAATATTATGTTTGAGAGAATTCTGTGAACTGTCGCCATTTATATAAGTCTATTTTTATGATATAATTATTATTTCAATTCTTGATAGTCTTTTTTTTAAGATATTTTTTATCCGTTTAGAATTGTTAAGTCGACATGCAGAAAGAAGGGAGGTTCAGAGAAAAAATTGAATTTAATCATATCAGTTGTAAAGTTCATATTTATTTATATAGCAATTTAGGGCAAAAAAACTATATTTTTCTTTTGCTTTGGTCACTCATGCACTACATTATACAAAGAATCAGAGCTCCGTATCCTTAGTCCAAGTTGCTTTCGACACTACATACGTAGCGTTAACAGTTTTTCCTTCATAAATCTTCGCAAATTATAGTATTAACATCTATACTAATATTATAAAGCTGAAGAGTTTGTTTGTTTGTTTGAAAGCGCTAATCTCCGAAACTACTGGTTCGAATTGAATAATTCTTTTTGTGTTGGATAGTCCGATTATCGAGAAAGGCTGTGGGCTATATAACATCACGCTACGACCAATAGGAGCAAAGATATAGTGGTAAATGTGTAAAAAACGGGAGAAATTATTTCATCTTTGAAGCCTTCCGTTGCGTGCGCCGTGAAAACGGTTCAAGATACACAAAAAATATGTATGAAAGAATAATAGCTCTTTTAATGATCTAAAAAACAGGCCGCGACAGTATATGTCTATCTTTTAAGATTAACTCATAAAAACCGTTTTTATGGTACCTAATTTGGTCGAAATAATTTGTTTAAGTTGTATCAACATAATGATATTAATCTTTATTCAAATAAACAAATAAATATGTTGTTGATTAAGAGTACTTCATTGTGAATTAAAAAAACATAGGTTTTATCCTGAAAATTCTACGGGAACTCCGAATTCTCATTCTGAAAACCCCGCAAGAACGGGAACTATGTGGGAAGAACCAAAAATCTGCCGGAAGTCACTATTCCACGCGGACGGAGTCGCGGCAAAAGCTAGTAAGTTATAAGACACAAGCAACGCATCGCAGAACTGTGACGAAGTAAACTTAAATTAAACATACTGGTTAAGTTAAATATCAATATAATCTAAAATAATTATATGTATTTAATACTTATTTACCTAATTTATGATAGATTAATTTAATTAAGATTATCTAAATACCAAGAAATATAGGTGCAAAATCAAATTATATTCTAACTTCATCACTCATTTGAGCACTCTTAATATCAGAATAAAGACTACTTTTGTATCAACAATTATTCCAGATTTCTAGTTAATGTTACCACTACATGTTATATAAGGTTACTGAATAAAGTTTACTATGAATGACAAAAAAATATTTAAAACCTTTATTTAATCAAACAAGAAAATTCAAAGGTATAGCAAAATATATTTTTAACCCACGACGCAAAAACAACGGGGTATTATACATATGTTTGACGTGTCTGTGTGTATGTGTCTGTCTGAGGCATCGTAGCTCCCAAACGGATGATTCGATTTTAATTCGCTTTTTTTGTTTGAAAGGTGTATCCGTCGAGTGTATTCTTATTTAGTATTCTTATTTTGTTTGGTGGAAATCGGTTCAGGTCTTCAAGGTTATCAGGTCGTTTGTTAGGTGTGATAGGAATATTACACGCAAATTTTGCTTGCAAGCATATGTGGGATATGACATTAGAAACACGAATGTCTTCTGAAACCACTGAGATGGTCTGGAGTTAGGGCTCGTAGGTAGAAGCCGTAACCCTGGATTGCCTTTTAGTAAATCCATCGAGTTTGGTCGCTTTGAATTTTTCTTGACTGTTTCTTTTTATGTTTGTAATTGGGTCGAGGCTTTTATTAATTTTAATTTTTTTATAATATCCATACAATATTATCATTTAAATTCCGTTATCATATATCTGACTCCAAAGGTTCTGTACAAGACAATTATTAATTAATTATTATTTAAAAAATATATTATTTATTGAAGTTTGAAATACATTTTCGTCATTTCTAAGCAAAGTTTACAATTATTTTGGATTTATCAGAGGACTTTAATTTATAAAATTCTCTTCATTATTAAAGAAATATATTATTTTACATATATTCAATTAGAAGCACAAGACGTATTATTTAATATGTTAATTTCTTTACTTGATCTCGACCGATATGACATTCGTCTTCAATCATAAATGTTATAAAATGAGGTCAATCAATACTCAATGTATCAATCGGACACATTTACATACTTGAAAGGTAAATCTATTCACAACTCATAACTCCCGTATACTTAACTGACTATTGGTTAATAAACACTGCTGAGAACGATGTTTTTACCACAAGTTTCATATCCACACTGAGTACGAAGCATTCCCAGTTTCTAATTTCGTGAGTTAAAACTGGAATCTTATATATAAAATTCTCGTGTCGTGGTGTTAGACATAGAAATCCTCTAAAACGGCTGGAACGATTTTGATGAAATTTTGTGAGCATATTGAGTAGATCTGAGAATCGGCTAACATCTATTTTTCATATCCCTTAGAGATAAGGGTTGTTCACCCTTATTTTTTTTAATTTTCGGACAATTGTTTTTGTTTTCATTTTTTTTTAATGTAGCATTAAAAATATATACAACCCAACATTATTTATAACCAACCCCTATTTTTTATATGGCAAAACAACGTTTGCCGGGTCATCTAGTGTACTATAAAATGAACAACACTTCGTTGCATACTTGTGGTAAGTACATTCTGCTGTATATAGATAAAATACAAATGAATAAAATTTAAGTGTTTATTTGTGATTTCAAAATAAATAAATGAGACGTAATCATTGTACATATTATAAATAAATGTTATCATTATTTTGTTATTTATTTATTTTATCAATAAATTTTTTGATCATAAATATTCTTAGTAAGTATAAGTGTTTTTCTTTTAATTTACGCAGACAATTTACAAGCTTAAACTGTATATTTTTATGTAGCCATGAAATTTTAATGAATAATACTGAATGAGACTTTCGCGAGTATTCATTTAAATGAAACTAATATTTTCGGATATACTACTTGTATTTTATCGTTTTAACTACATACTCCCGACGTTTCTGTTACTTTTCAGCAACCGTGATCACGAGCAGACGTTGTTGACGAGACGATGATAAATTCTGAATCCTGTTACATCACTTATTACTTTAATATTTTTTTTCATAATATATAAAGATGTGTAATAGAAATGAATTTTATTAATCTTCAGATTCGTACACTTTATCTCTTATGAATTAGAAGTACTTTAAGTAGAAGTATGTTAGTAGAGCATAAGTTTTCTTTTATTTTAAGAAAATGAAGATGTTGTCAAATAAATTTAAAATCGTGAACAGCGGAAGCAAGCGTTATATTTGGTACATTTTTTTCATACATAATAATAATAAGTAATTGTTTCAATTTAATTTTGTACACAATGTAAGTGACCAGGGATTAATTTAAGCAGAAAATGGTTTTGTTTAGAGATCATATCGTTATAACTCAAACATTTCTATTTTTATGTGGTTTTTGAATTCTTTATAGACGTATATACATATAGATATCATAATCTATTAATTTAATTGACAAACTTAAACCTATTTTAACTTTCAGAACGTATCTGTCAAAATAGCTTAAATTGATTTTTATCACTAAAACTGACTGACTTGACGACAACCTTTTCAATTTTAGAAAAGTTTTAGAATGTTTTTCTTATGACCATACGTAAAAACACATAATAAAAATGTGTAAACAATATCTATTGGACGTTTATTCGACTCTGTGTTTAAATTTTTTTTTGGGATGACACAAAGCACGATAAGACCAATCCTTTTAGTGCTCATCACAAGATGACTTAAACAGAATATATGTTGTTGAAAAAAAAAATTAAAGTATTATTTCAATAGAAAACTATATTAATTATATTTTTTATAGTGACAACGTATGTATGTAGTGTCATAGTACGAATGGTCGAATAACAAGGTTAAGCTATGGCGAATTTTTTTTTGTCTCCTCTATATTTAATGTAACATTTTCCTTAAACATGTCGTCGTCATCTTTAATTGTTTTTGTATTTCCCAAGGTTTAACATAAAAACAGTCCATCCTGACACTGTTACATAATGGATTTTCCAGAATCGTTTTCATGTTTCACTTATGTTATAGTACTACTTACAATTCGTTATTAACTTGAAAGTTTTTCAAGAGCATTTTCACCCTCATTTAAATTACTAAATATTTAAGATATTCAAAACTAAAGAATGAAACAATTTTCAATACCAATGACTTATAAAAAGTCGGACGAGAGTTAAATTTTTCTCACAGTATTTATATAGGATGTTAGAAAATAAGTAATTATAAAGATATAAAAACGCGTAGTATATCGCATCATCTTAGTTTTATTTAAGTCATTAATACTTTTACGTCAATACTGAACTAATTTATGACGCTAACAATAAAATTTAATTATTTATGTGAAAATCTTTATAAAATTATTCTATTATATTATGAATGAAAACCTTTAAAGGACCTTTATTTTCTAACAGACTTAACTAAACACGAGATTTGTATCTGCTTTTAAACAAAGATTCGTTAGCGTTCTAAAATTTCTAACTCTATGATTCATAATAAACAGTATTTTACGGCAATCAAAGTCAAATCAAATTTATAAATAAATGTCGGTAAAGATATTTAATATGTATAACGTTTTTAATTAATCACTTAGAATTTATTACCCCTGACACAAGAAGGAGGTTGTTATTAGTTTGACTTCAAAGTATTTTTTTGTTTATGACATCGTAACTCTCAAATAGGTACACCTATTTTGAATCGGTTTTTATTTTCATTACCGAGCCTTGTGGTCCTTTCAAAAATCTTAGGTATATTAGGATGTGTGCTCGGGAAAAAGTTAGTATATTAGTTATATAAACTTAGTTATGTTTATTAATAACGCAATATATAACAAAAGAGTAAGAGTATAAGTTCTTTGCCAAAATGGCTTTGGCGCTGACTAGATTAAGTGGTATAATAATTTAATAACTATGTATGGGATAGAGTTTATTCATCTATATATCAAATGTAATACCATATAAAAATATAATTTAAAATATTTTCATAACTATGCAGAAGTAGACAACAATTATCAACATTTTTTTAATAATAATTTTAATTGATGTATTTATGTTTCTATACAATAAAACACGTGATAATCAAATAGCATCGGCAGTATATAAGTTATTTTATAGGTCAGTAATATAATATACATATCTATATGAATTCGTATATATATATGTTTCTTTATTTGTTTGAGTATATTGCAATTTTAGAAAAAATTCTAGTTAAAATTAATGTTCTGAATTTTCATTCAATATTTTAACCATTAATACAAATGTAACATATACAATAATCTATAAATACATAATCCTTAGGTCGCTTAGTACCGAGCTCGAGAATACTCCGGAAACAATTAACAAATAGCTAAAGTAATTATTAGCAACGGTTATTAAATAATTGGTTAAACGGTAGCGCTGTTTACATAAACTATTTAAGAAATATTATTAATCGATACAAATAAATAAACTGGAGTGTCCGTTTGTAGTATTCACTACTTTTTACTAAACGCATATTCATAGTTACAGTGTGGTTGACTAAAACAAGATATCTTACGATTTATAACATTTTTTTTGTGTATCTGTCTGTCTATTTCGACTTATCTCGGAAATAGCTGGATTCATTCTTATAAATCTTTGGATGACAAATAATTGATGTGATAAGGAATAAATTAGGTTGCTTTCACAAATGCTATTTATACATATTTATTGTTATAACTTAAAAAAGTACCTATTCGCCGCGAAAGAAATCACAAACAGAGCTATTCTATTATTTACCTACATGACCAAATCTGATAAACACCAGTCTTCTGGTTGTATGGTTCTGACGTATACCGAACCAAAATAAATCCTTTAGTGTGGAGTACAAGAAGTTAATTTTGCTTTTTTTGGGTATAGAGAAAGTTCCTACTTGCAGGCAAAGATCGACTGATTCCATTCAATTTATTTCCTCCTTATTCGTCTCATGATGAAGACAAATCTCTTCAGCTCCAGCCTTCTCTACACAGATTTAAAGGCTGGAAAGAGTGTACTGGGGGAGTTTCTGGTAGAAAGTGTAGTATTAGCATTGTGTTGAAATTTCCCATAAAGGATAGTAGATGTTTTAATATTTAGGTGACGTAATCTTTCCTTCCTATCCTTGGTTCGGAGTTTAGGATACATTTATGCACGAGGCCCTATATTACCAGTCATAGACTCCAAATCTTAGAGCAAGTAAGTAAATATATATCATATAAATTCAATAATATTGAATTTATTCTGTCCACAGATTCATAGGGTTTACTGCCAAGGATATATGTATAAGCGTTAATATTATTACGATAAAAAATATTATAAATAAACTAGTCTTACGCACTCACTTTGAGACAATCTTCATATTATATCCATAACAATTACTACTAGATAGCCAGTGGCCTACTATAATAACCTAGAATTACTTTGATGACCAGAGTTGTAATAAATAATAATTAAGGAGTATTATGTAATCGAATTTTATTTTATATTAAAAATAATAAAAACTATATTATTTTTTTTTGGTTAAGTTTCATTCATTCTATTACTAATTCTTTAAATAATATGAAATAAAATTTTTAACTAACTATACAGTTAGACAGCTTTTTAGTTTGCCAAACCTAATTTAAAAAAGAGAGAGGTTGGAGGGAACGTCCGTCGTGACATTAATTTTAAAAGCAAATTAAGAAAAACTTAAACCAAAATCATACATTTGTTTGACTTATAAAGAAATTTACATTTAAAAGTACCATTACAAAAATGAAGAGTGAAAGCTTATACAGTTGGTAACAGTTTTAAAAGTTCCCAGTTAAGTCCGTTCCTAAACGGTAATAGAATATTGGATATTTTCATTACATTTCTGATCATTTTGAAATTAAATAAAAGCAATTAAATCTGACAATTAATCTATTATTCTGTTTAATTTGTCCCATTTTGGTAAACACTGTTACAAACACGTCACAAATTACGCACGCAAATACAATTCATATAACAAATATATATGTATTATAATTACGCAAATGTTAAATAATGATAAGGAATTTTTGCATATCTTTTTCTTAAATTGTATGGGTATTTTAAAAAGATATTGGTCTTTTATTTCCTACTGATACCGTGAACTATGACCCTTTAAATTTGAGTTGCCTTATCGCTTTGACGTACAAATTACTACTGCATGTGTGTTCACACAGTGAAATGTGTATCGTACGATTGATGTTATTATTGTTAATTAGCATTGTGAAAAGTCAAGGTATGTATAACCTTTAATAATAAAACGGGAATATGGTTTTAATAATCTTAATTAGAAGCTTTAAAATTATTTTCTAAGTTTTAAGTGTGTATGAATTTAAGCTTTACGTGAGTAGATGAAAAAGAAATAACATCACAAGTATGTGTGTATACCAGTATGTAATAAAGTATTATTAGTAAAACTCTTTACAGAAAGAAATTAATAGAAATAAAACAGGAACAATTTCATTTAAATAGAATTTGTTATTGATTAGTCTTTTTATATGTTATTACTATTTAAAATATTTGTCTTAGAATCTAAAAATTTATATAACAATTATGTTTTGTAAATGTTTGACAACCATATTTAGGACGCAAAATTAAGAAAATGTGCATTTTATTCTATAGCTTTACTTGTTTCATTCATCATTACCAAATATTTACTTGTTTTAGGTTATTATTATAAACCTCACATATTTTCATATCAATTTGTTGTTTTTGCGATATTGCTATAATTTTTTTACAGATGAAAACGATTATTTCGAAACGACTGACTCGGATGAATTTTTCGAAACTACGACAATATCCCAGCTGAAAGATGGAGAACAAAAAATAAGTGAATATATCTTAAAGGTCATTGAACATTACAAGCAACCGAATCCCGAGGGACTGCCGGGAGTGGGATCACAACCATACGGCGTCCCAGATTCAAGGAAATCCGTGGGATTATTTAGTAGTATAGATTTTATAAACACTGAGGTCTATGGTATAAATAAATTTCGTGTTATTTACGTTAATCTTGACGTTGAAAATATGGAGGTGAGTTATTAGAGTAGGCAGTTTTCTCTTAGTAAATTCGGAAAAGATGAAAAACATGCTTCTTACAAGTTATATTTTTATATATTTATATATAAACTGTGAATTAACATATAAACTGTCTCTTCTGAGTAGTATATAGTATACCTAGTAGTTATTTTATACGTAAAATTAATTAATATTTTAAAGTTACATAAGTGACTCCGAGTCTCTAGCCATTCAGTGTATATTAAAATTGCATTTGTGAGTACCCCTTAAATGAAAAACTTAGCAATATTTAGGTCTGTATAACTTGTAACTTCTCTATATAAAATAAAATCAAAGTTACATATATTTTTTATTTCGAACTTTCAGGGACGCGCAGCCTTAGAAATAGACAATCTTCATATACGAGGAAGATATTCTTTGAATGCTTTCCTTAATTCAAACTACGGAGGCTTTACTGCGAATATAACTGGAATTAAAATCACTGCGCTAACAACCCTTGGGGTTGAACGAGACGGGAAATTAAGAGCCCATGATATAAGTATGGATGTAAATTTCAATAATATAGCTGTAAATTTTGAGAACTCTGGAATATTAGTGAGTTTACTGCAAGGAGTTTTCAACTCCATAGGGACAATTCTATTCGAATCTATCAAACCTAATCTACTTAAAGAAGCCTATACTAACATGAGGATAGAAATTAATAAGAAAATTGATCAGGTTGTTGGCGATATTGAGTTTCCCAATACAATTACTCCATTGGACATGGTTATTGTTGATGTTCGCAATAAAATAAGAGATGTAAATATGGACCCACTCAGAATAGACGATTACAATACAAGCGCTGCTTTGGTAGATATTTATTTGAAAAATACCTGGTTATACGGTCTTTCGACGTTAAATAGAGTGGGTAATGTTAGTTTGAAGATTGAGAATAAAACGGTAGTCGCTGATTTTAGTATTGGTACAGAGGAGATGTTGGGTTCTACGGATTGGGAGATTTCTGGATGCAGAGGACTGATTTCCAGTTTTGGGTCGAGCTCCTTTTCAGTGAAATACATAAGAGGTCACTTTATTCTCGCTCAACCATTGGATACCAGACAACGAATGATGTTAAAAACTCTTGAACTTGATGTGGGTAACATACAACTTAGGTTCGACGGAGCTGGAACGCTTGATTATATATTGGAATTCTCTACTAATATACTACCAAATGTACTAAGATACCAAATAGTTGATGCCATACAGAATCCCCTTAAATGGAAGCTTCAGAGTGAGTTAGACCAGATCGATATAGAAGAAGCCATTAAAAATGAGTTACCCAGAATAGATAAACTTCAAGAAGAAGGCTTTCAGCTTGCGATGCTCCGTTTTATAAATAAGACTAGTGATAATTACGATGAAGACGAATTCTTTAACTTTTAATGTTTCAACTAAAATAACTACAAAATTTATTAAAAGCTCTTGGAATTACTGTTTATTTTAAAGAGATTATTTAATGTATTTATATAGTTTAATTGAATCGTAAAATCGATTTCAGAATGAAATTTCTGGAACTCAGAAACATATATTATTGTCGTAAACAATGAAGATTTAAAGGAAGGTAGAAAAGTTACTATACTTTAAAATGGTCTAAAAGTAAACCTTACCTAGAGAATAGATGATAAGGCTTGTGTCATTGTAATAAAATTTTTCGGATACAACGCATTTATATAATTTTGTAGCTGAGACACATTCATCTCCTCCATATTAGATACTATAAAAGCTTGTATCAAATTTAATTTTATTGTTTATATGTATTAACGTAAAATCATTTACATATTTTACTTTAATAAACAGTTTCCTTCAAGGAATTATTGTATAGTTTGAAATAAAACGTTAGCGTTAATAAATCTTTGGATAATTGCCCACAGCATTGTGAGATATTAATCTCTTAAGGGACGTGAGAAATAATAAAATTAAATATTCGTATTACACGAGTAATTTATTGATTGTTAAACTAAGAACTCTCTTTAAAAAAACACTGTGATTAGTCTTAAGGAAAATTATAAAAAATAATCATAAAAATACTTTATGAAAAAAAGATAGATATATGAGGATCGACAATATGAAAAAAATATCTTAATAGATATGTATATGATAGAAAGAATAAGATGATACATATGACTTCAAGTATTGCGATAAAATTACAATGAAATTATGAATTTTACTTTAAAATATGTGGTAAATTTAATGTGGGTTTTTTACCAACTTGAGGTTATCATCATAATGATTGTTTTTAGGAAATGTTATTAATTTTTGTATTGAATAACCAGATTCAATTTTATATTATGTTAATCAAAACTCATACACGTGTTAAATGGTTTCATGTCTCTATACTTATTTTTATTTTAACATTTGCAATCGCCGAAGTATTAGATTTGTATAAATATTATATCTTCTTCTTCTTTCTGGCTATTTCCCAACCTTAGCCTGGGTCTGCCTTACATGTTGTGAACAGTTTTGGCTATTCGTTTTTACGACCGGCCGCCTGCCTGACATCAACCCTCTTAGGTAATTTATTATCAGTGATGTCTAAATACTCTTAGAAAGTACATATGACTCGGAAAAATCATATTGGTACTTGCCAGGATCGAACCCGCGCCCTCGTGCATGAGATTCAGGCCTTTTAAGTACTAGGCCACCACTGACTTTTTTATATATTATATGTATTAATAATATATATTATATGTATGCATATATTATAATATAATAAAAATATACGAAACAAAAGAAACAAAACCACCTCAGAGTATCACTAAATTAGTATTCACCTGACGTACAAAATCAACAATGTGCATGTACAAACAAAATCATAAATATTTGTTTAAGTATTATATTTTTGTTTTGCGAAAAATTATTGCAATTGTATTTCTTCCTTTATATTTTTATTTATTTAAGTTTATAGTCTTTACGTTTATACATATCAGTCGACATTGAATTTGAGACTTTTGTTAAATATTATCTTAAAGGTTTTAAATAAATATGGACAATTCGGTTTTCCTCCACATAGTAATCAAGACTATAATCCGTCCAACAAATAAAAACGTTGACGTTGGAAAAATGTTCCACAATTCCAGTACGAATTAAGCCATAGCATTAAAAAAATAAAAAAGGTTTTCCAAACAAAAGTATGACGCATTTTGCTTAAATAATAAAATAACTTTTCACATTCAGTTACATCAAATTAATAAATTTTCCTTTAATTTATAAAGAACTTTATAATTGTCATTATAAGTGAATAAATATTCTTTATAAAAAAACTAAAGTTTTAATGATTCTATTTATTAGATATAAAGATAAATAGATTTTCTTTATTTATTCCGATATAATTAATTTAGAAAATTTTAATTTATACTCCACTTTTTATTTAATAATAATTTATTAAAGTTATTTATTAAACTAAGAATAAATATAGCTTGTTACTTGACTTTACAAAGAAAAGAGCCTAAAAATTTTCACTACATATACCATTTCGTATTATGCAGACGATTAATAGTTTTTCTTATTTTATATATTTAATACTAGTTCATTCACTTATTTATTCAATCAGTCATTCAATAGTTCCTTTAGCATCCATTCATCAACATTCATTTCATTCAATAACGGCCATCAAAACAAAAAACAACAAAATAACCATTTCTTTAGCTAAAAGAAAAAAATGTTTACATTTATTTATCACTAATAATTATTACATATAATAAAACATTTATTTGCTGAATAAAATACAATGAAACATTAAATGGGTACATACTTAATTCTTTTAGTTAGTCTTATTATGTATGAAAACATTATTTTACTTAGTCCGTTCAGGTAACAAGAACTCATTATAAAATTAACTAATTAACTCAAAATAAACAAAGTAGTAACAAAACACGATAGAAATGATTTCATTGATCAACTAACAAAGTCCCTGCTCCCCTCCATATAAATGTCATTAAGTATCCACAGTATGTCATGATAAGAAGTGACCCCAGTCTATCGGGATGTGAATTGAATCATCTGAATAAAAATTAGATCAAAATGTTGAATAAAATTGTGGTAATCGTGCTATTTTTGTGCTCATCGATTCTCGGAGACGACCAAGGTATGGTAGAATGTTTTTTTTTTACTTATTATAAGGTTAGAATTTAATCAATTGTGCCAAATAAAAAGCAACTGTTGCACACTTAAATCTTAATATTTAAAATCATTTTGCGTTCTGGATAAGCAAAATTTTAACGTCATAGTTTGTCAACACGTACTATTTTAGAATTTAGTATTATGTTACATATTAAAGAACTCTTCTAAGAAATAGTTGTTTACATCATTTAGGAACGCGTGTGATATCAAAGTCCATAATGAATTTAATAATAATACGTACATACATATTTTTTGCAATTAAAATGCCTAAATTCGTAAATGAATATGACTTTTGATTATTATTTTCCAATTTGTGAGAGAAAATACTAAAATAGGAACAGCAACTTGGTTAAAAAGGTAGGATGAATTACGTATTTTGTCAAACAGGATGCTTATCAATTCGTTGAATCCAATATTAATCACACCAACAAAGTTTAGGCATTCACAATACAAAGAGTCTGTTTCGTGCTACAATCAGTAGTTTGGAAGCTCAGATTGCTTCTCTATTATAAACAAACACATACATTAGGTTTCGCTTATGGCATTCTGTGTATGTAAGGAGTAGTAGTAGTGTTTTTTATTTAAGGAGGGGAACAACTTAAATTATATGTTTTCAAAATACCACCTGTTTGTATTGCAGATGTCACAACCACGACAGAATCACAGTTGGCGAAAGGCGAGGAGAAGATGAGCGAGTATATTCTAAAAATATTAGAACATTTCAAACAACCGAATCCTGTTGGACTACCGGGGGCCAAGGTCCCAGATCCTCATAAGGTCCCAGACATGAAACAATCTGTTTCCATCGGAACATTGTATTTCAAAAATACATCAGTGTATGGCATTAGCAAATTTCGCATATTGAATATTAACGCGGAGATTGGAGCTATGGAAGTAAGTAAAATATACTAAAACACAATAAAATATAAATATTTTTAATATAAATTGAATTAATTTACAAAACTATTAAAATAATTTCAGGTTCACGCAGCCTTGGCTATTGACAAACTTCAAGCAAAAGGAAACTACACAATGTCAACGTGGCTCAACAGAGTACAAGGACCGTATACAGTCGACATCACCGGCATCAAGGTGATGGCAAAAGCTAATTTAGGAGTCGAAAGAGACGGAAAACTGAGAGCCCAAGATATAAAAATAGACATATCCTTCAGTACAATATCAATGAACTTCGAAAATGCAGGTTTCTTTGGCGGTATGTTGCAAGGAATAGTAAATTCTATAGGCACATTCGTTTTCGACTCGATTAAGCCTTACGTTCTCAAAGAAGCATATACCAAGGCTAGAGAAGAAATCAATAAGAAGCTCGATGAAGTCGCCGGTGATGTACAGTTCCCAAACTCGATCTCACCTTTAGATAAAGTTATAGCAGATCTAAGAAAGAGAGTGAGACAAATGAACATGGACCCGTATCAAATAAACGATTATAATAGTACTGTAAGCATATTCACCGTTTCACTCACTCATACTTGGATTACTGGAATATCTTCATTTCAAAGGGTCGGGAATATTACCTTGAAACTAGAGAATAACACTGTAATTGCTGACTTTGAAATCGGAACTCAACGACTCGAAGGTACTACACAGTGGGATGTATCCGCTATAAGCGGTCTACTGTCCAGAGCTGGTATAGCATCATTTTCTGTTGAATATATAAGTGGAAGGATGATACTAGCACAACCTCTCGATACAAGAAAGAAACCAGAGTTTAGAGACTTGGATCTCGATGTTGGTAATATTCAAGTCCGTTTTGATGGAGCCGGTACATTTGATTACGTCGTCGAGTTTGTAGTCAACATTCTGCCAAACTTGTTGCGATATCAAATAGTAGATGCCTTAGAAGGGCCCATCATTGAAAAAGTACAACAAGAATTGAATAAAATAAATGTTGAAGAAATGATCAAACAGGAGTTGCCTAAGGTGGATGAAATGCAAGAAACAGGTTTCAAGCTATCAGCACTTCAAATACAAAATGAAGATGAAGAATCCTATGGAGACGATGACTTCTTTAATTTTTAAGAAAATATATTTCAACAACATGAAATAAAATATAAATATTGTTCAAGTACATAATATATTCTATAAATTCAGCACTCAGTATTTAATTATTAATGACATCCACGAATGCTATAATTTATGTAAAGTAAGCAATTTTCACCCATATAATGTTCGTCAAAGATATGTTTCACACATTAAACTGTTCTAGGAAATGTATTGACGTAAAAATTTTAAGAAAATATTCACTCCACGTAAAGCACGGCTATGGAAGACGGAAAGTCGGTTGCGACAAACCGGTAAGTAACGGTCCCTCTCTTGAGATTTGTAAACGTATTGTTGCATTCATTGATCTTGTTTCCGAACACCCATTTCAAAGTAACGTTTCATTTGAATTAAAAATTAATAAAAAACTCTAAATCTTAATAAATACCCACTCAATATTTTTTATAACAAGCAAATGTCGAAGTATTACTCATTAGATTTCCCATGATGGAGACCAAAAAAGAAATAATTGATAATACAAAACAAAACAAACCCGTCATCCCAATGGAAAGTGGAAGGCTGTTATGTTAGCTTACTCCTCACTTAGAACTTGTAGACACACGGCATTTACCCGTCGTGACAGACGCACGCGTTTATAATCAAAATTAAATCCCCTTAAAACATTTATATTTTATTATTATTGTTAAAGTTTCATTAAATACATTATTTACTATGGATAAACTTCGGTTTCTTCTGTTCTTCGTCGCTGTCATCGCACCGAGCTCTTCGAACACAAGTAAGTGATTAGAGTGAGAAGAAAGTTGATTATCTAGATTTAACGTGTAGTTATTTCCTGCTGATAAAAATTCCATTGAATATTATATACTGTTTTGCTAATAATATATATTAGTTTGATATAATTTTTAATAATAATTAGTGTTGAAAGTGAGAAAATTTTCAAAGGAATATACGAAAAACATTTGTTGTATAGACCTTAATTTAATAATGATTACCAATATTATAAGAATATTACAATTATTACTTTTACTTTTATTATCCTTTCAACTAATATAGTTTTTCAATCACCATTTAGTTAAATGATAATAAATATAATATAAGAATTTAGAGACGTAACTTTTATTACAAACTTAATTAAACTAAGAATTATTAAACATGATACAGTAAAAATACAATTTATTTATAAAACGTAATAAAAATTAATACAAAGTTTATAATTAATTGGCATTTCCTACAGACGATAGTACCCATAAAATAGTAACGCAATTAAAATAAATAGTCTCATATAAAATTTGTAAGAAAGTAAGTAACTTTATACATATATAAATAACAATTAAATTGAGCAAAATAACTTTTATAAGTAAAGAAAGTTCTCACCTTTTAAATTATTATCAATGCAAAATAATAGCAAATTATTCCACTTAATTAGATTTCTAAATGTTTTAATCTTACAGTTGTTACGGGACTTACTTCCTTTAATTAGAATATTAAAGTTTTTCGTTTAATAAAAAAGTAAGATAAGTGCTTGGTATTAACCAAATACATAAATATTGGTATAAATTTTCACTGACTAATAATTTATGTGTGATCTAAAAAATAAATTTATTCACAATACTCTTACTCTTGTTATAAAAAGTTGAAAATATCCAAAGAATAATTGCATATAAATATACATAATATTTAATATGTAATACATTTATATTTAATGTTTATTAAAACATCATAACACGTTTTTTACTACATTATCTAAAATTATGAAGTTTTATGTAATAATAAATTTTAATATGTATAAAATAAGACGTACTCTATAAGAATAAAATCGGATACAAATACTTATAAAACATTTTATTTTCTCCGGCTTATAAGTACTACGTTTTAAAAGTAATCGATTGTAATATTTTTTTGCTTATGACAATATTTATGTACAATCAGATATATTTCCTTATAATTCTAAATAAACAGAATATGACTGACTAAATATTGTCATTTTATATGCAAGGTCGTTAAACACATGAGACCTTCTTTTATTAGCACTAGATCATTTCCTTAAACATCACTATATAAAACCGTTTATTAATATGAATAACCGAGATTTTTAAGAAAATCGACTTTATATAGAATGCATTTATATCAAATATTATCCTTATATTAAAATAACAATTCGAAGAAGTCTTCGTGAAAGTTTTATTCTCGCTCACTGGCCAATTAACACTTTCTTTAGCGTAATCTTTTCGGTGCATCACATGAGATATTTTTTAATTCATTATTACAGCCAAATTAATCAAAATTCACTTGTACTACATTATAACTTTGCAATTTTATTTATTAAGGAGTTGATTTTTTGTCAATATATGTATTATGCCTTAGTCAGTGGTGGCTCAGTGGTTAAAGGCCCCGCCTCTCGTTGCCGAGGGCGCGGGTTCGATCCTGGCCCGGGCAAGTACCAATGTGATTTTTCCGAATCATATGTACTTTCTAAGAATATTTAGACATCACTGATTAATGTTCATTCCCAAAAAGAGGGTTGATGTCAGGCAGGCGGCCGGTCGTAAAAACAAATAGCCAAAACCATTCACAACATGTTAGGCAGACCCTGGCTATAGCTGGGAAAAATTGCCAGGTAGAAGAAGATATGTATTATGCCTTAATTTAAAAACCAGCGTAAATCCCTAATGTTTATTTTTGAATAATTGTTGAACACTATATCATCCTTTTAGTTTATGTGAGCTACATTTCGAAGAGTTTCAAAAGTATGACCAGTTGTTATCCAAAAATAAATAAAAAAGATTTTTCCTTATTTATCGCTTACCGTTAGCTCAATTTATTTATTCGTTCTTTCTGTTGCAATCTTTTTGACATTAATTCCTCGGAATCCCAAAAGATTAGGTTCAAAGATCTTCTTAAGTTTATTTTTAAAAAGTTTGAAAGATTTATTTGAAAATAAAATCGAATATACATTTTTTATTGCAAAACATTATCCTTTTTTTTATTATTTTTTTCGTGGGTTATGTAGGTCTTGACTAAAAGATGATTATATATATATTTATTTAAAATCTTGTACCATGTGAAAACTATCTTAAGATTCTTCATACATTTCTTTAGTAAGTGTTATGTTTATTACGTAAAACTGTTACGTGAAGTATCTCCACCATTGTATTTTATATTTTATTTTTAACACATTAAGATTGTATGTGTGTTAAACCTTAATTAATGATATTAAAATTAAATAAAACAAAACTCTATACGACCATAAAATCTAATGAGAAGTCACCTCGTTAATTACGAAATATTTTCCATTTTAATATATTATAAGAATATTAAATATCTGAGTATCCTTAAGACATGCATCATCACTACAAACGTGATGTTTCCCGTTTCCCATTCAAATAAACCATGGTAATACTATAATTTGTGAAGATTAAGTACTGAACTTTTCGTATTGAGTTTGAGGATGCAAACTTTTGGTAAACAAAACTATGGTTTTAAAATAACTGTTATATACAAGAAAACAATATAACATTTGATTAACTGTCTGTATATCGATGTGTTACTCGTTAAACGATACAGCTTGTTTTATTATTAAATAAATCAAATACATAAATATAATATTACGCACTTAAGCTTTATCTAATTATGCTGACTTTAAAATTGTATTGCGTTTATGAATGTCTCATAAATATTTGCATTTTCATTTGAAATCCTAAAAACACTAAATATTTATATACATATACAAAATATAGTTGACTAATATTATATTTAAGACTAAACTAGATAATATCCTGAATTTTCGAACGCATATTACCTTAGGGTAACGATAAAGAGATATGTATAGTTTAATATATAAATTATTACATAATAATATAGTATATATGAAGGAAAATCAAACATAATAAATATGAAATCATACGAAGTATTTCATCAAACATTATTATGTATAATTTCAGTTATAAAAGCAATTCTCTACGGTTGACGGACGAAGCTTTTGTGATGGGAGTGGAATTAACTGACACATTCGTATGTTGACGTTTTGTTATATAAGAGAGTTAATAATATAGTTACTGTGTTATGAAGTATATGGCAACAGTCGTGACATAAATATTAGTTAATTTTTTTTTTTTTGTAAAACGAAGTTTTATGTACAATATTTGTATTGAATAATTTTAGATATCTTATTATACTTAAAGGTTATATATTTGTAAAAAATATTTTAGTAGTTCTCTTAAGTGTGGACCTACGTTAATTACTATTCGTTTGCTAGCATCACCAAACTCATAAAAGATTTTAAATTCATTGTAGTTTTCAAAGTCCTTAGTAATAAGTTGTAAGTTTAATACTGACATACAGGTGAATTTGTAAAAAATATACTAGATATATCTACAAAAACAAAAACTCTCAACAGGTAAATATATAAAAAAAAGCATAATGATCTAAACAATGAATTCAACGACAATATACTTTATTTAAAATTATAATGTAACTGTATTATTACTTGAAGGCAATCGTCAATTACATTGCAAAGCTTTATGCAATATCTGAGTCTAAAATACAATATTTTAGCACACTTCAAGCCCGCCTTTAAATCTATATTTAACTGCGATAAATTAAAAACCCCGTCTCATTTTAATGTGGGTTAAGACAAAGATGTTGTGTGTTTAATTAGCGGCCAGCGAACGGTATTATTGCGATCAAGTTTCGCGGACAAGGTTGCATTAACCGGTCAATAACCTGCCAGCTCCGTTTTTATAACCAGTTGATTGTATCGATTTATCTTTCATACACAATATCGATCTAACAGTACTTTACGTTAATAAAAAGTATACGAGCACACAAGTTGCAGTAGCAACAGAAATGTAGCAAAAATAAATACAAGAACATCATAGAATTAAATATCAAGCGAAAGACATAATAATGCCCTTTTTAATCCCCAAAAAAATATATTATTTAAGACATTTTCTTAAAGTAAAAATAATGTTTTTTATACATATAAGATTAATAGTGTTCCTCTCAATGCCTCCAAACTATGTACCACGCCAACCAACATATCAGAACAAAGATAATTTTAACCCAAATTCGAAGCCCTTTCATCACAACGCGTACAATATAAAGTGAACAGTTTTCTCATAAAGCATCCGAAGGTTTTTAGCCATTGTTGCCATCAGCGTCTATTGTTTTCATTATTCATTTATTGCACGAGCTACAACGAACCGTTATATACTCCGTCTTGAATACTAATGGAATTAAGAAAGCTATGAACTATATAATAACAGCTTATTATAAGCATAATGAAATTTAGTATAAATTATTTTTATTTATTGATAATGTTCTAGATATTGCTTCAAAAGAAGTTTGTTAAGTTTCTTGGTAATTATTTCAGATATATTCGGTGGTCATTGTTCGAAACAAGACCCTGAGGTGGATGCCTGTCTGCTAAAGAGCTTCAATAATCTCATTGAACATCTCAAGGAAGGTGATCCCGAACTGGGAATCGAACAGGTAAATAATATTAACTTCATTTATGTACATAAGACTTATTGGACACTTACCCAATATAATATAATTAACCCTAGTTGAAAATGTATTGTCAATGAACCATTTTTATCAAATTGTTCACGCATATTTTAAAGAGTTTGTACGATATTGGCAAAAAAAAAAATTTATTTATTTCCTAGAATGTCAAACTCGTCTCATAGTTATATCAAAAATGGCGTTTAAGAAAAAATAAAAGATATATTATACAAAAAACAAAAGTCTGTGTTCCAGAATCATATTAGATAACTAAAATAAAATATACAATTTGAGAGCCAACGTGTGACTTTTATCGTATATATTTCCAGTCAGATACCATTGTAATTGATGAGTTATCAATCGCTCTGGGCGGAGGTCCTGATGGATACAAGGCCACCTTCAAAGACATTCACGCCAGCGGAGTAGATGACGTCACCATCACTAATGTCAGGTAAATCTTTCACCATATCCTAAACCAGTATTTCCCAAAGTGGGTGATAACAACATCTATGGCTGCTGCAGGCCCAAAAAACGATGGTAAGAGACCTAAAACAAAAATGAGGCTTTGTGTAGAGGCGTGGTTTGTTACTTTATAAAGTTGGCATTTCTATGGTGGTTTTTCAGTAGATGAAAAAATGGGAGTGTAAAAAAATTCCCAAAGTAGGCAGAAGACAAAACAAGTTTGAGAAGCTCTGTCTTAAAAAAAACGGTTAAAATACCGATTAGATTGTTTTACCGTAATGTAGAGGAATGTTTATCTTAATTTATTCGCATAAAGCACTGAAAAGGAATAAAACAGATAGTAAAGTGTCGTTGAATTATCGGTCATAGAAGGTATGAATGTATAATTTATTCGAGTCACGTATCACCGTGTCACGGGTGTGATGACCATCAGAGCTTGGCAGCTGTTCCTATGTCAAGACATTAATGGTGTTTGAGGTGAACCATCTCATTTCTCGCTATCTTTATACTTAAATGAAGAAACAACTTAATCTTCCGTATCCACGCTGGATGCTAATAAAATATAAACCAGTATTTTTGATATGAAAACTAAGTAACTGTAAAGCTGGATAAAGATTAATCCATCTTTTTAGGGTGTCTTAAAGGATAAAACATACGATGTGCAATATACCTTTATATGTACTTTCTATGAAATAAAAATAAACAGATGTTTCTATAGTGTCTTGACAATGATCTTTGTGGGAATCAATGTTTAGTTGGCTATACCATAATTTATTCCACACACGTACACAGATGACTGGACTCTTCATTTCCCGGTTTTTGATACAACCGTGAAGGTATTCATTGTTTTATAAGACTTTGCTTAATCATTAATCAGGAATTAATTATTATCTGTCCCTGCCAAGAAATATCTCACCTTCGAATTAATCACTACATCACCGTAAATGAGGTTTAATTAAGGTCCTCCGAGTAATTTAATGATTTCCAAGTATTATAAATATTAATAACTATAGTTATAGAAACTATAGTTCTTAGTTTTTAAGTATCTCGTAGTTGATGAAACATGTTCTATATAATAATATAAGTAAGCAAAGTATTTTAATTAAATGTAGATACATTTTTTATCTTTTGTTTTTATATTTAAATGAAACTCTTAAATTATACTCGTAGTTAATTTAGCACAAATATCTTCATTAATTTTCAGATTGTTATATTCAGTTTTATATGTGTATTGTGCTATTAAAGATTATTTTTTTCATCTAGACTTTGATGGTATTCTTAAATAGAGACGGGCACATTACAATATAATTAAATGTTATTCTCAAACTCAAAATAAAGAAAATTATAGAATGAAAGATACCCAAACGACGATTTAATGTTTTTGATACCAAATTAATTCATCATCAGGTCAGATCTGGAAACGCATCAGTTCCAAATAACTCTCTCCATACCCCACATCAGTGCCACGGCTCGTTACCGATCCTCGGGGATGCTGCTTCTAGTTAGAGCCTCAGGTGGTGGAGACTACTGGGGAGAATATGGTACGTACTTGGCTTTCAATGACAAAAACTATTATGGTCTTACCAAAACATTTCACTTTCAATTTCACTTCCCCAATTTTTATTGATTTTGATCTGAACGCATAAAATAAATTTATAGAAACTATGAATGAAAAACGCCCATGTAATATAAAAGTATTTTTTTTATTACAAGCAACAGAATGAATTATAAAAAACGGATATCTGTTTAAATGAGAAAAGTGAACGACAGTTACAACCTAAAATTAATTTCATAATCAATGTTACTTTAACAAACAGATATTAAGCATCTCTAATAATTAATAAAAGATTAAAAAAGTTAACAAAAAGCAACAAAGAGTTACTACATCAATAACCTCTTTTATATTTTCAGAGAATGTCAAGGCGAAGGTATATTTCCGGGGCGAGCCTTTCGTCAGGGATGACCAGACGTTCCTGAAACTCAAGCAAATTAAACTGGACTTCTCTGTCAAGGAAATCAAGATGGGTGTTGAAAACTTACACAACAGCAACTCTGTCTTACGTATGTTACATTTCTCATATTTTAACATAGTCTATTAGTTTCAAGTATTAGATAGGGACTCCTTAAACCTACACCTGGGTCGTAAGTCCCAGACTGTATTAAAGTCCTCTCCTGTAACGATGGACCCGGCACCCGCACTGTGAATCAATTGAATGCTGATAAGTGATAAGTTATCATTTTGCCCATAATTATTACCTCATCACAGAAATGAAGGTTTTGTTTCATTCCTATAAATTCATAATAATATATTTTCAATTATCAGAACTATCGCTGACAGGATAAATAAATAAAAGTATATTAGGTTTTATTTAATAAGTTTCATTTCTTTCCGTAAAATTTATAACAATATATTTTGAATCATCAGATTTATCGCTTGTAGGATAAATAAATACACGTTTATATATTTTTTGGTTAAAACAAGGTCCCTTTATTATTATGTATTTTTTTTCTTTAATAAAAACACTAGAAAACAGTCTCCACATTCTAAAATAAATGAATTATCACATCCAAATCTTATTTAGATTCTTTTTTATTCAAGTTTTAATTTCTATCTTCACAGAAGCGGCATTGAATCTTTTCATTAACACGAACGCCCAGGAACTGCTCAAGGAAATGAAGCCACAACTAAAGAGAGATCTAGCGGAGAAGATGTCCCGGTTCTTGGACAGAATCCTAGACAAGATTCCATACGACGACTGGATTGTCGATTAGTTTAATATATAAATATAATAAATTATATAAAAAACATAGTTAGTAAGGCCAAAAGATAGTGGACTATGTATTACAAGCAAAGAAACTATTGAATTGTTTTAAGAGACTTGAATTTAGGAAGTTGTCTGGTACCCAGTATACGTTAACTTCTATTAGTTTAGTGAGATTCAAACTAATATTGTCTTGCAAATTAGTATTAAATATTATTTATATCAATTATTAATTAATTAAATACGGTCCAGTGATTATGTGTGTTATATTAAATCATAAATAAACGTTGGTACTAAAATCGATTGGTTTAATTCATTTCAGATTTCGTTAATGACGCAATACTAAAGTATACCTAAGTTATATCTCAAAACAAAATTTTAAAATCAATTTTTAAGTTATTAATTGGCATGAAATTGACATTTATAACATTTAATTTAACTCAGTCATTCTATAATAAAGATGGCGGATGTTTTATTTTTTGTATGTCTATATGAAAAGATATATATAGGATTTATTACAAAATTCGTTGTTTTTAAAGAGAGACGTCAACATTGCTGACGTCACTAGCGTCACTCCTTTCAGTACGTTCCATAATTTTTCAAAATGAAACTTCAATTCTTCTAAATATCCTTGTATTTCTTGAAGGTTCTCTATTCTTCAACGGTCCGGACTCACTGAACTCTAGTGAGCCCAAAAGTCATACTTATATCAAAATTCAAACAGAGTTTTATTCTCCATGTAAACAGTTTTTGATTTCATTTTATTTTTAACACTAATTATGAATACCAATGAGTTTTTATAATAATTGAAGACAGCCACAAGTTATTGCTATGTTGCATCCAAAATGTACATGATATAAGTTTAATATTTATCAACAAATTTTTTAAATCCATTACTAATTGCCATGAAATTGACATTTACAACATTTAATTTAAAAGACTATACCTTTCGGTAACAAATACGGCGCATTGATCATATAATATTCTTCTTCTACCTGGCAATTTCCTACCTATAGCCAGGGTCTGCCGTACATGTTGTGAATAGTTTTGGCTATTTGTTTTTACGACCGGCCGCCTGCCTGACATCAACCCTCTTTTTGGGAATCAGCATTAATCAGTGATGTCTAAATACTCTTAGAAAGTACATATGACTCGCAAAAATCACATTGGTACTTGCCCGGGCCAGGATCGAACCCGCGTCCTCGGCAACGAGAGGCGGACCCTTTAACAATTTTAAAATCAATATTTATTCCAAATCTTTGTCGAAAACTCAATTTTTCATTTCAGAACACCCATTTTCAATATTGCTAAGAATGTTTTAGATGTGTTTGTACCCTAGATTTGGGTTCCGAATGGGACCAAAACCCCCTTTATGATATTTCATTTTTAATTATGAGACGAAACCTTTTAACATTCAATTTATTCACCATCGTGCTGGGTCCATTGCGTAATATTTCGTTTACTACCAAGTCTCATGTATTCAAATCTGTTTTATGATTTGAAATGTATACATTTATATTTCATTTATAATAAATGTCTCCATCCGATGAAATTATCATCTAGCAGCTACAAACAGTGTTGTCTAAAGTTAAAAAAAATACCCTTAAAAATATTCAAATAATAAACTACCTGTATACCTACGTATAAAAGCCTCTACAAATGAAAGTTATATTGAAAAAAAAATCCAAACATTTGTAAGAGCAATATTACGTATCGAAGGATGTGGAATATACATGTTTCTAAGAATTCAAAGGCGCTCAAAATAATCTACTTGTACTTAAAAATATAATAAATTTAATAGTTTAGGTCATTTGATGATTATATTTTACGTAATAAAATTATAATCATCAACAAACCACTTAAAATTATGTAATATATGAAATGAACTTTTGCGGCAAAATTTTATTAAACTAAAATATATTTAACTATTGATTACCTTTTCAGTACAATGTAGTTCTCTTTAAACTTTTACCTTAGGAATATTTCTTTTCACTATACAATTTTATAACGAAGTACTGAAGAAATTATTAAAACATAAAGATATTAATACTTTCACGTTTTTAAATAAGGATGTGATGTAATTGTGGAAGTTAATTTATGCATTAGTATTCAATGAAGTGCAAAATTTAAATAGCGAGTTTCAACACGACCAACTATTAAGATCCCTATAAAGACGCATTAGATAGACACCAACATCATTACTAATGACATCTTTTTTAATTTTACATTCAAACAAATATAGAAGAGTTTTTTATTATATTTTTCTTCAACATCAAATCATAGATCTTTTAATAATTGTGTATTATTATCATCATTGTTACAAGACGTATCTTTTTAGCGCTTGAGGAAAAACTGTTTTCCTACAAATATAAAACGAAATATTGTTGTATCTTTAATATGTATGCATATTTAAGTTCCTTCTGTTTCACTCAATTAAGATACATGGTGAACATCTTCTCCCGAGATTACGGCTGGTGGTTAATTCTAAAAATATTATCATTCTGACTTAAGTAATTGGAATAAGATCCGAATTCAATACTGTTTATTTCAAAGAGTACCTAAATTATAATTATATATCACAAACATAATTACCTTAACTACATGTGGTCATTGTTTCTAGGCTGTTAATGAGATCATACGGTCATCACCTAAGACTATAATTCCATATACCAACAGGTGTAATGACAGTCAAACAATATCCTGTTGCAATAAAAAAATATTGAAACTAAAATAAATAGTCATTGATACTTTTTTCGGATAATGTCCAATTAGTTATAAACTGTTAAGGCATAAGAAATCGTCATTTTAAATTAAACACATATTTAGGTACCTAGTTAATGGTAGTGGTAATAGGGAGAAAACAGTAGACAAGATAAATTTAATTAGAAATCTATGTGTGAGAGAATAGAATACACACATAATGATTACAATCAATAAGATGATTAGCTATTTAAATAACTATTATAATACTTAATCTATTTCAAAAACTGAAAGATATGTACATATATGTATACAAATACCATTAAATATGAAGTTTATGAATATAATTCTTAAACAATCAGCTAAAACGAGCCGAGGCAAATTTTTCAGCGGCCCATTCCCTGTATCCCCACTCCCTGACTTGCCGTAACGCAATATACAATAGATGAACGAAAAAAATTGAAGCATTATTAAAAGAATCGACTCAAAGTAACAATATATATAATTAATTATTAAAATACACAAGTAAATGTTGATAGAGTAGGTACTTTAACGTTAAACAGGCAATAAAAATACTCAAAGGCCGTGCATAAAATATTTATGCCATAATCTAATGACATAAGTGCTATTTTTCGCATCGGATTCACATTTACATTAAAAAACAAAGGATACTATAACGATCATAATAATTAATATATAATAATCTGAATATTTGGAAGAAATAATTGGATATATTAGTTTATGTTCACCTTAAGTTGAGCGAATGGTGTGTGTCGCAAACCATTGGTAGGGAGACCGGTGCATTCGTTGAGACATTCAAAACCAACATCTGCACCTCTCAAACGCCTGCTACGACAGATATAAGTGTATTAAAACTTTATATATATAGATTTTGATATTTCTTTCAAGATGCGTTTAATTAATTGTGTTTTAAGTGTTGCTATGTTAGTGTTCTATATTCAAATATCGAGTTCAGAGAGGGAGGCTGTTGAAATACGTGAGCATAAACAAATATTTATACTTTTTTTGTAATTTATTTTATAATGAATTTTTTTTAATATATTATAGAAATTATAGCTTACTTTATGTATATTAATTATATAACACCAATGACAACATTTAATTATTTTTGTAATTGTGTTTTTCAGAATTTACAATAAAATTTATATAAAGTTAACAACTCTAAATAATTTTAGTTTTAGTCAACTAAAAAATTAATTGTAACTGAGTTGATGATCTTTGAAAGGTTTTAGGAAAATCTGTATTTTGTACTTATGGGCAAAAAATATATATTTAAACTTACTTAACGAACTTTATTTCTATATGAAAACTATAAAATTATATTCATAATATAAGTGTTAGGTCAAAAGACATAAAATGCACATAAAATCTTATGGTTTACTCTTTAAATAAATAGAGTTGAATGTGATTAAAAATCATACTTCGTTCGTCCAAAACTAAATTACGCTTAAAATACATGGACGGCCTTCTCCAAATTCTATTCTATTACTAATACATTTTCAAGTCTTAATATAGAGTATACAGTATTATATATATGTATGTATGTATGTAAACCTTACATTACTATCAAGATACGAAGTGTCAATGTAGGTCGAATAGCCTGTCCGAATTACATAAGCAGTACTCGACAACCGACTTCTTTTCGGACAAAATAATTTTGCAACAAACCAATTGATTTGATAATTTGATAATTTTTTTTATCATTCGATAAAACGTAATCAGAATAACGAACACATAAAGTTTCGTAATTAGGACAAATTGGTACGAATTCTCATCAGCGGAGACTAAAATGTTTATTTACTATTGTTGTATAAAATGTTATTGCATTATTAACTTAAAATGTAGCGTTGTCTCACAGAGAATAACAATATAATATTTTCGTAAATTTAGTTTTATTATATAATTTAAATTACTTTAGATATTCGGCGTGAAATTTAAGAGTTATTAAATTTTAAAAAAGACAAAACAACTGTTGCAAAATACAAAACAGAGGTAATTTTTAAGAAAAACAAAATACTACGACTTTTTTTATAAAAATTTATTAATAAGTAATTTATCCTGGGTTTTAATCAGCGTCCTAATAGAATTTTAATTAATTAAATTGACGTTTCACATAACCCAATTCAAGTAAGTACAATATTTAAAAAGATTATGGTTTTAATACATTAATACATAGAGTTGTATATGTAATAGTACACTACCTAGTAATTTGCATCTAAATAATTGAAACCTAATTTAATAAATTAAACATTTTGACAAAATGAAGACACATAGTTAATGTCTTTGTCGTTTGCCAGTTTCATAAAATCAAAAATATTTATATTTTTTATACTTACGTTATGTTAGCTGGTACGTTTAGTTTATTTCGTTTTTAAATTTTTAAATGAATAAATAAATTATTTATGTTTGTCACTTCTTTCTAAACAAAATTCTAAACAAGCTACATTACCTTATATCTGTATTGTTATATACATATATATACATATGTGTTTAGGTAATAATAGCAAACTCTTGTAAGTCGTGGACACATATTTGCTCCTTTCGTAATGTTGGAGTTTTATTAAAATAGCTATGTCAACGTCTACAGTCGCAATTACTCAGCCTTTACGATTTCTTTAAAACTAACAAAGATTTTTAAATAAATTCTAGCATCAGAAATTACAAGAACTTTAATTATTACACTTGATCAATAAAAACCAATGAACTTTTATAAGTATCTATTTTTAACTTGCAATTAAATGTTCTCGACGTATCATTTGAGCTTCTTGAAACTCATATCAGTTTGCCAACTTTAAAAAATCCTATCACGCCTTAAAGTAGCCCAAACACCAAAACAAAAGACGATTGAATATTCCAATATTATTCCAGTATTACATATAGGTATAACAAAACATTAGGTAATATATGTAACAGAACATTGCTAGAACATTACCAACTAATCATTATACCTACATTGTATAATATTTCATGTTTCATATTATGTATAAGTCAGTGAGAAGACGTGATGTAAATCAAACCAATTTCCTCGTATTTTCCAACGTAATTGTAATATAATATTCACGATTATGAATTATATGAATAAATTCAATAACCATTTTCTTAATTATGTTGTACATGTAGGTATATGAACGTAAGGTAAGGTATACTAGTACGTAATTTTCCAGCAATATTTAATTTAATAAACTCCCTATATGACTATTATCTACAATAACGATTTATGAATTTATCTTAAAACCTCTGAATTTGTATTTCGGCGTAATTAATGTTAGGTTTTCCTGTAAGACATAGAAACATCGATACTTTGGCTAATATCTTATAAGCAGTTTGGAAATCAAAAGCCTCAAATCACATAACAAATAGGTATATAATATAGGCAGTTCTGTTCGTTATCAAGCTGACACGTAACGCTGAATACAGAAAGTCTACGCAAAATTTCATGAACAAGGAATCCATTTCTTTTTTTTGTACCTATACTCTCTACTTGAAGGACGAAGTAACAAGATACATTTTAAGTACTTAATACTTTACACTAACAAACCAACATATTTTAAATTTATTCCCTATTTTTGTTTTTACTACCATATCGTTTTAATACAGTTTTTATTTAAGACGATAACATTATTTTTAAGTGATTATTGGGATCCCTATGTTTATCACAAAATCATAAATCGTGTTGCATTTAAATAGTAACGTAGTGTAGGTATAGAATGAGAAAATGTTAAGCGTGCCATGATAGCGTAGTTTATACATAGAAATAATAAGATTGACATTTTATCCGTACTTTTACCTTGATGGCTCTCATAAAGTTCGTCAGAAGATATATTACTTAAGAAATATCTTGACGAAACTTTCATCTCGGTCAAGATCGGTTACAAAAATCGTGAATAAATGTATTAAGTAATAAATATAATCGTATATCTTTTATTAATAAGTCAAGACATAAAGCATGGGATTCATTTTTTTACAATTGCCTGGTAAATATAGAAAAAAATACTCTCTTATATTTATATAATATAAAAAACTACAAATTAATAAAACTCAAATCACCAATTATACATTGTATTAAATTATAACGAATATATTTTTAATCTGCCATATATGTCTTTCATGGGTAGATATAAAAATAGCTCCGACAAAACAGGCTTTAAATAATATTTCATCAAAAAATCGCAATACCTACTGAATCATAAACATTTATTTTCTATGGTAATTGTTCGATACGGTCCGATTCTGGACGTTACAAAACATAATCACACCTTCACATAGATGTCTGTGAAGGTCAAACAGAAGTTAAGAAACGAAGACTTCAGAGTTATGAAACTCTTTATAATTATGTACAAGCCGACAGCATCTTTATGGCATTAAAATATTCCATAATTTCCATAAACTCAACGTAAACCATTTAAATTAACGATCTACTCGTATTTAACTATAACATTATATTTTTTATTCCAGAAAAATTATTCTCATCATGCAAAAAAAGATCGAAAGATTTCGATGCATGCATTAAGCGCGCTTTCAACAAACTACGGCCATATTTCAACAGAGGTAAGAAAAAAACTAGTTTCTTGTTTCTACAAGTCAGTACTATGTTCATATTAAGTTATTATGTCATGTGTATGTACGATAATGAAAGGCTTTCGATAAAGTGCATTGGACCGTGAATAATTTCTTCAAATGTCATTATGTAATATTTAAATTAGCAACACCATTTTGAACATAAAATAACCGTCAAAAAGCTTGTTATATTAAAGTTAGTTTATAAAGTTTTAATTTAGATTTATTCTGTCAGGAATTCCTGATATGGGAGTAGCGCCCTTTGATCCACATTTTGCCAAAGAAGTCAAACAAATCCGTAATCTGTTCGGCATGGGTTACACACTGACGCTACATGACGTCTATGAAAGAGGTTGGACACAATCAACTGTCACTAAGTACAAGTTAGTAACTTGGTTTACCATTGAAATACTTTTATTTTTATGTTACATTAAAAATTTTTTTTTTTGTTTTGCTACATAAAAAGGACTGATTGGGAAAATCAACAAATCATCTACTCACAATATTTTCCGGAGAAGTGGCTGGAAGGAGACTATGAATTTAAGGTAAATAAAAAACATCGAATGCAATGAACCAATATTCTGTTTTTATAAAAATTGCTTTTATCAAAATCTTTCATCGCTTTAATGCTAATAAAAACCCTTATGTAAATCAAATAAAAGATAATTAAACGGGAAAAAATTGTATACAAGCAAATTTTTAAACAAAATATCTGTTAAAGATTTTTAAATAAGATTTTATATACGATAAGAATATTCGGCAACCAGAATTAAATTGCGTTAATTGTAAATAAACACTATATACAGGGCGATGTCTTCGGCTTGGACGTATTGCGTTCAGGACGGTGGAACCTTACATTGAGAGACTATTCTCAAACCACTCGCATCAAACGTAAAGGCGAAGGAGTCGACGTGCACGTGGAAGTAGACCACATCGGAGACATGGACATACATGTTGGGAATTTACTAAGAGGCAGAAGTATTATGGGTAAGGTTTACGTATATTTGAACGAATTTTCAAACGACAGCAAGGTTACAATTTTCGTATTCGTTATATTACAGAAAACTGAAGAGTTCCACTGTTAAATTAAAAACTCGAGTTTCATGACTTATAGACGACGTTAAAAAATAAATCTGGAGCGCAAGCCCAATTATGAGGCAAAAGTTCGAAGTATGTAGATGTTATTGAAAGCAGTCTTTAGCACAACTACTTACTTTTAGCACAACGCCGCTATATACAAATTGCTGCTTCAAAACGGCAACTCATTCCAAACTTGGAAATTAAAAGGCTCAAAAGGACTCGTATCCAGAGCCGTAAAAATATTTACAAAAAAAAAATGGAAATTTAAAAATAAAACGAATAAATCAAATCTCAATACTTGTCATTGTCAAGACAGCACTTCTCTCAAATCTCTCCCATTTGTTTAATCTTCCAATTGCTGATTTTCTCCAATTCTCTTTTACTGAACATGACGTTTAAAGGAACGTTCTCCTTGAATTCGAAGTTTATAGGAAAAGGCGCTAAAGCCGCGATAAGATGACCGCCATCATAAATGTTATTGCTACCATAATAATCTAATCTTTTGTAAAAAAAATATGAAATAATTTTGCGGGAAATTGTAAAAAAAATGAAAATCTTAAAAATATTTGACAAATAATAATTCCTGTCTCCTAGAAACTCAACATCTCGCAGTTTAGTTAATTTTCGTCCTTTTCCCATTTTAACATGACCATCCTCAATAACATCTAAAAAAATTCCTTTCCAACCCGATTTGAATCCTTGTCATAATGCGGTTATTGCATTCGTTAGTCACATATGACCTCGTTTCATGATGGACAATAAGCAAGTTACATTGTTGACCCTGTTACATTACGATCTACCGCAATGATTTTATCTCAGTTGATTATGTTATATATTTTCCGTATTACGTTTTTTACCTAAATTTCTCTCCATCGATGCCAGACTGGTTCCAAAGTTGTCTTACTGGTCATTGATAAAACATTAGATGAAAAACGTACCTATCAGTCAGTATGAGATCAAGGCAAGAATAGATCAGAGTAACAGATTAATAAACGTTTCAAAAAATATGAATTTATCTCGATCAGACGTTATCTTGATACATCCATGTTACTTAAATTATTATCAAACAGATTTGTTAATTCTTTAAGTTCATCAAGATGTTTTCAACAATTTCTTAAAAACCACTAATTTATTTAGCATATTCTCTTTTTTCTATAATTGATTACGCTGACGCAAGTTGCATTAATTGGCCCAAGGACAGACTTAATAAAATGTGACGTCTCCAAAACATGATGTTAGATTATGTTTTACGCAAATATGACCACATCTCTGAATTTCATTACAAGCTCAAGTGGCCCTCCGTACGTCCACTGCTGTAATTGTTTATTGTGTTATAACATTAAATTGTTGTACATATTAGCATGGATCAGTTTGTTTGTGTTTTTTTTTCTGAAATTTATTTCACCACCGACTAAACTTACAAGGCACTTTAACAATAAAATCATTTCTCCCTAGGTTTGACGTAAATTGCCAGTTGACGATAGGACCGTCTTTGTTTCAACTATTTTAATTCACTATTTTTATTTCCATTTGGTACTTTGGTTTAACTTTAAATAATATATATATATATATATATATATATATATATATATATATATATATATATATATATATATATAATATATATATGTTAACTTAATGTGGCCCTTAATTCAAGCTAAAAATTACCTACTCTGTTACATTATTCGAATATCTAAATTGTAAAGAAAGTTCAATGAATAGCAGCGGGCTAATAGACAACTGCAAGACATCCAAACCTTGCTGCAAAACTAAGAGATGATGCAAGAAATAGAGCAAGCCTCACGGTCTCGTCATGTTTATGCATAAGGGCAAAACTACTGACTACGCTAATGTTTTGCTAGATAGTTGAGATTTTCACATAACATTATTTGAAATATATAAGGAGGCTCACATACAACAGGCTATTTTGCCGTTTATATAGGCAATAGTTACGTAATAATTGAGTATATGCATTTGGTTTATATATTGTTTATATATTTCAGAGATGGTGTTGGATCGTATCATCAACGCCACTTGGAAGCCAGGCTTCGCCATGATCCGTCCTCTCATCAACGACCTCGTCAGCACCGCCTTCACTGACATCTGGAGCAAATCATTCAGGAACTTCCCCATACAAAACTTCATACATGATTAAGTTAGTCAGTAATCATTAGTTTAGACTCTCGTGCCAGATGACTTACCTCGTAGATTACCTTATAACATGTTACATATAAAAACTAGTCGCTACGTCGTTTAATGTTTATGTAAGAAAAATAAAAAGACATTTTATATTACATATCTCAATATTATATTTATTAAAAAATATAACCTAACTATATATATGACTTTATATTTAAATTCAATCAACAAATAACTCGCACGTTCATCGAAACTGGAATAATCAAACTCAGTCTTCATGTAGACCTCACCAACCATAAACGGCTTCAACAAGCGTCCGTGACACGCACTCATAAATACAGCATTATATAACATTGCACCTTTAAATTATGTTTTAAATCAATTTATTACACAAAAAAAATATTTATATATATATAACGTTCAGGTTGTCCGAATGTCCGTACACTTAAACTGAACGTAACAACTCCGACGTGTATTTCAAGCTACACTATCCAGATTTTTCGTAGTCGTATTACAATGTTAAAAACTAACCCAGTGTTGCCAGAGTCGTAGTGTAAATAATGCCAGATTAGTGCAAAATTGATTGTCTAAGATGATGGAAACGAAATCAAAAGTAAGTACATGCATCATATAAAAAAATAATATCCAAATTATTCACAACAATTTCCAAATAATACACATGTTATTTAGTTTCGATTGTATGAAGCGGTCTAATTTCTTTGAGCCATTTATTTCTAAGTTCTATATTAAAATCATCGCTGAATCAACGTCAAGTTTATAATAGTGTTAAGAAACTAGATCGCTTCATAATATAGAAACATAACATTTACATCCGTCCCTCAATACTAATAATCAAATTGATGCGTTCATATTCCTATATTCATTAAGGTTGATGAGAACCAGCCCTCTATATTATACGCCTCACACGACATCTAGTGATAGAGAGTTCCCGCCCTCAGACGTACAATATAGACGCTTTGTGCATTTGAAAACAAAATAATAAGCCGAAAGCTTCAACAAATATTGTCGAATCGAACCAACTACAATAGGACCCTGTGATCTGTATGGACTAAGTCGTTGTAATAGTTTTTTATACAATGGTTGCTGATTCTATGATATAAGCGTAAAGTATGAGGTTATCTTAACTTACATTATATAAAGACTCCTTGGATAGTATGAATGTTAAATCGAAGCTTCGTTACACTAAGTCATAAATCGCTACAAATGCATGAATCTCGACCGCCTATAGTATCGACGAACAAAATACTAAAAAAATAAAAACAATTAATTTCACATGCATGAATTGATTATTTTTTCTTTTCGCTTCAATTGTACAATTTCTTTACAAGGAACCATACCTTTAACGATATTTTTTTTACATGACGACACTACTGCAAAAGTGATTTTCACCTTTGATACCACACTATAATGTTTATTATAATACTCAATTATATATAAAGTTAAAACCACTTTTGAAGGAAATAGCCTCAAATACCCATATGTAGCTCGTGGCCGAAAAATAAAACAGTTCAGAAGCTAAGGCATACAAGAATGGACAGTGAGTTATGTAGTGATGTTTGATGTAACTGAATCAAAGATCTTAAACTAAATTACGAGAAATTATCTTTTATTTTTTTCGAATAATTTGTACTTCCTTTCTCGTTCTTTTTGGCCCCAGAATTTGTGTCACAAATAATATGATAAATCCAAACAAAAAACCTCATATAATTTAGTCTACGAGTGTTTGTATGCACAGATCCGTCTGCAGGTAACTTATAATGAGCTATAGATTGTGTATTACATAACATTCATAAACTTAAAAGTAGCCAGCAACATTAACAGTCTCTAAACTAACTAATTTTCTTCAACAACGCGCCATCTGTTGATCGACATCGAAATTAAAACGTTCAAAAAAAGAAAAACCTATCAACTGAGGAAAAAAAATAGAAAAACTTAATCATTAACATTAATCTTGAATAAGCGCTCAAAATTCATTTCCAAATATCATTTCATTAAAGATTTCACCGAAACTAATACTTCTATAGAATTTTCATATATTTAAAAAAAAAAAGAAATAATTGAAAATGACCTGTGTCGCAACTTATATGTACATAGGCTTCATTCATTCCGAGTTAGTAAAATTATGATATTCTTTTTAATGATAAATTCAATACAGTCTTCTCTATTAGGGAAACTATAGAACATAAATAATGTAACTAAGTAACTAGTCGCCCCGACCAGGTTACACCTCGAGTCATGCAACAACGTGCTTTTTAATTTATTTCTAAACATTAAATTTATTTTTGATATGCACTTATGTATATTTTTTTACAATGAAATTTGTGCTGTACACTATACGAGGGCGGGACGGAGTTATTTGGGGTAGTTTTGACGTAATGTTCATACAAAAACCGTGATATCGAACTGAACTTTGTACTTACTGTTAGTTAAATTATATTTCAGCCCCGCCCCGATCGGATTATTTACAATGAATACCAAAAATAACGACATAGCCGGGAAAGAATCGACAAAATAGTTTAAAACTAAAAAAAATGTTTTAAGATTACGATACCAGCAGCGGTGGGATAAGCTGAACTAAATCACTACCAACTACATATGCGTTGAAGACTGTAAAACAACCGTCACAACAAACATATTTCCCACCATATATGATATAGAAACAAAACCGATAAACACTTGTGATTGACCGGACATTAGAGCTAGCTTTACAAGTAAATCGAAGGCCGCTAAAATATCACCATTCATTACATCAATAATCAGTAATATGTACAGGCCACCGGCCTCGGGGATCCAGCGGGAATATTTACAGCGATGAAGTATAAAACACCAACCCAACGCTATATCCAAGCTATTTACAAAAAAAACTATTCTCAAATTACCTAACTTCGTAGTTATGATAGCGTCAAGTCAGCTACACGTATAAACCCCCGACTCCCGCTCACGTGACAAACTTCAAGAGACAATCAATTGCATATAATAATTTACATATATCGCAGTGTCGATGTTATATATTGCATGCAGACGCCGTAACGGGGCCGATTATTTTTAATAATTCAAAAAAAAAACATCCTAGTACAATGTACATTTAAAGCATAACCAAGTCTTTTGTGCACAGTGCTATAGTCCAGAGCACTCTTGTATAACACACAGCCAGTATCCATCAAGTAGATTGTCACAACACTTCACTAGAACTCAAAGTCAAACAGTTCCGACAAGCCCTCGTCGTGGTCGAGACAGAAGCCGTAGTCGTTGGCTGACATCGGCGGCTCCAAGGGCAGGAACGGTTCCAACTCCATTTGCTCTGGAAAGTTACATTACACAATTAGACATACTTATACTATTATGTATAAAAAACATTCATTAGATCTATTGAAGATATCGACAATAAGTATGATATAAAATACTAGTTTTACTATACTATCTTAGATAGTAGATCTTTTGAAGACAAGTAAGTCATTGATATCAAATATAATATATTCAAATTATTAACTTATTCAGGAATAATTCATAAATTTTGCAAAGTTCTTGTCGCAAATTTGTATTAAATATAATTAAATCTTTCAGTTATATGTACATAAATTATTCCCATATAATAAGTTAGCGATGAAACTACTGTCCCAATGGGCAATTTTGTTTTATAGTAATAGCTAATATACAGATATATGGTACACAATATGTGCTAAATTTATTTTACAATAGAAATATGAAACAGCAGTGTGTAAAGTTAAAAAATACAAGAGAAATAATTGAGGAAACACTATAACTGTCCTTCGTGAATATATTTGACATACAAGTTGAAACATTATTTAAAAACATATTTTATAATTTTTCTTACATTATCATTGATAATAAAAAAGTTTTTTTACAATATAAATTTCATCTAAAATATTGAAATCAACACTGACATCAATTAAATATTTAAACATAATATTAATGTTAGTATGATAACATGTTAGACCACAATCACCAATTATTTCCTCTGTGTTTGTTATTACACAGAAATTATTTAAAAAACATACAAATAGAGCGAAGTAACAACTGAATGATTTTGATATTATTATTTTTTTATTACAGACTATAAATTTTCTGCCGTCAAATAAATTTTAGCGGCTAAAAATTTCATCGACGTGAGATTCTGATAATTTACATATAATACAAATCTGCTAGGATCATTTTGAACCCAATATTATACAGTACACATAACATAAGCGTAAGTGAAAGCGAGTTTTAGTGGTAGTGGTAGTGATAATGGACAGTTAAGACTGTTGTGTTACGATGAGTTAGTAGCTGTTAGTGGCGCGGGCCTGAGCTGAATCCCATGGTGCTACACGCTCACTGCGGCCCCACGAGATGTAGCTCGCGGCACGCGCCCACACGACCACACCCCCCACTATTAACACGTACACGACACACATCTATACATGTTAATAGTAACATATATATATATTAGTAAGCGATGGTATATGCATGCATCCCGATGTATAGCGCCGTTGTCCGCGCCGTGGAGCTAGAACTCTGACTGTGATGTGACACTGACACACATGTCACAGTTCGAGTGCTAGCTACATGACGCGGGATCCGATGACGTCCCACCAGCGAGCGGCTTACACCTACACTCACGGAGAATGTGCTTTAAAGACGTGTGTGTCTCGACCCTCGCATACAATCTTATATGAAATGATACGTGATAGTAGTAGAATGTTCAGGAATTAAATGATACAACCAATTACTAACTATACTGTACAGAACTGTAAAATTAACTTTAACAACAGAAAGATGTCAGCAAAATTTGAAAATATTATGAATGAATATTAAATTAAAAAGTTAATGGATTTATCTTGTATTTAATAAAAACTGTTTTATCTTTAATAATAATCATGATACATTTGAGGCATATAAAATAATAATTAAAATTCTAACACATAAAAGATGGTTCTAAGGCAAGACAAAGTTTTGCATCTCATTACTAGAACATAAATTAACATTAACAAAATTGTCAGCACAATAACTAGCATGCTAACAACTGCTCTATATTTTAAAACTTTTTTTGATAATAAATTTAACACATATATATCATTCTCAAAACAGTTATTGGTGAAAAAATAATCAAAATATACATGGTATCCACAACAAGCGACCTTCCAAAATGTATACTGAGAGTGGTGATTGATGAGTGAACCCATAACGAGTATGAAATGATGAATGTAATATAAATCCAGTGCAAGTCTTAGTAAACATTTATGAGGAACCTTAAACCAGAACCAATAGAAGTAGATTCAAACCTTAACAAGTCTGAATGTGTAATGAACCTCAAACCATAGCGAGTATTGTGTAATGTTTATATATTATGTATATATGAACCCAACACATATTGAGTGAGATATGAGAACAGTTATTGACTTAATAGTTTCATTACTATCATACCTGACTCCTGGTCCTCAGTCTGTAACTGGAACCGCCCACCGCCCATGATGGGCGCGAAGTCGTCGCTGTCCGCTATCAATGCGTTCCGAAGACGACCACGCGCGCCTCCCGCTACAACAAACAGATATGCTATTTGAATACACATGTGGAATTAAGAAGAAGAAGAAATATACTTTATTGCACTCAAAAACATAGGAAATAACATTACATATAAATACAGTAAATTTAAGGCCATGGCGGCCTTATCACTACAAGCGAGTTCTTCCAGGCAACCCAACCGATGAGGATAACAAATATTCTAGAGAGGGTAGTGCATATTATGACATATACATATACAAAAACGTAATGTCGACAAGTCGACATTTTTTCTGTTCGATAGACAAGTTATTTGTAGTGGTTCTTATCAGAAAAAAGGATCTTACCACTGATTTCAATTTTAAGGCCGGAAAACGAAATCCATATCCAAAAAATGGTTTGGTAATGATAGCCGAGATACACTCAACATACAGTGAAAAGCTGGTTTTCCGAGCGAAGGAGAAAATATTAGTAAATCAACTCCTAGTTTAAAACTATTTCTTAAATCACATTAATCTTTAATTATCATATCATCTTTTCATCGTCACAACTCTTTGACTCAATAACTATTTTGCAATATAGTGGTATTAATTTCTTGTACTTCTGTTCCAACTCAAGACTTTTTATGCTAGGTAATGATAAAGAGCCTAATTTGTAAGTCATATGATTTTTGATACTGACTATCAGGTGTGGTCATATTGGCGTGTGCGGGCGTAGTTGGCGTGGTGGGCGCCGCTGGTCCGACTGGCGTGGTGGGCGCTGCGGGGGTCGATAACGCCGGGGTCAACGGCAGGGTGGGGTCCGTGACGCACGGAGTACGAACCACGAGGCTACGGGACCACGCGCCTTCATCCGGCTCACGCTTTATTGGTGTTCTGAAAAAATCAATTCATTCCATATACAGTACTATTTAATATAAGAAATCCTACAACACTGTGCCGTATATAGTCTTAATATCTGTAACTAGCTTTCCGCCCGTAGCTTCGCCCGCGTGGAGTTTGGTTATATCGCGTTTCCAAGAGAACCTTTCAAAAGTCTGGCATAAAAACTATCCTATGTTCTTTCTCGTGGTCCACTCTATCTCTGTACCAAATTTCATTAAAATCAGTTCAGTGGTTTAGGCGTGAAAGCGTAACAGACAGAGTTACTTTCGCATTTATAATATTAGTAGAGATAAATAAGTACTAAAAATTATAAATTATTATAACAAAATTGTTCTACAGTAAAATTTTATCACTTTTATATGATCAAAGACAAGTATTTTGATAGTACGTACGTGAAGGCGGCTGAGATGGAACTAGAGGGTAGTGTTTGAAGCTGAGCGATGAGCGGAGCCAGGAGTGCTTTGTTATCCTCCAACAATGGATCCGATGGTAACACACCAGATGCTAACATACAAACATTATTAAATAGGTATTTCATATAATAAAAAACTATAAGGTAATCTTCAGTAAAAATTAAGAAAAAATATATAGTAATCCAATAATATACATCTAATTATTTGCAAGTTACAATTCTATCAATTGGACTGTAGCCAGTGATTATAATAATCAGTTATTAAACAGACTATATATTTTAGTTTTCCTTATATTTATTAACATTAGTACTAAAAATATAAAATTAAGTTTCATATAATTGTTGGTGATTTTACTCACAGGGCGGCGGCGTGGGCGGACGTTCTTTAGGACAGAGGTACACTTCTATTTCTCCAGAAATTGATTTGAGATGTATCGTATACCCTTTCTCATCTGGATGTGGTACCTGGAAAACAAGTGTACATGTCAAAAATTGAGGAACGCAAATGTGTTAAAATAGTATGTAAAAGTATATTATTTTTATATTAATTTGTTATCTGCAGCATATAGATGTATAAGACCCAAAGATTTTGGTTTTGTAGGATTAGTCTGTGGAATCATATCAAATTTTATGTAAAATAATTACAGTAGGACCTCGATTATCTGAACTAACTGTTGTCGGTAGGCATCCGGATAATTGAAAGTCCGGATAATCCAATATATGAAGAAAAACGGGCTTTTTGCATATGTACATATGTAGTCTGTAGTACCTGATAGTCAGTATCAAAAATCAATACAGTAGAAAGTTATAAAATCACTTTGAGATAATGAGGAAACCGAAAATATATTGTAATTAAATGATAATTCTAAATGAATACTGCGCGTCACATAAAATTTAAATATTAGTTTACACGAGTAATGACAAAATGTCAGGCAAAATTAGAAGAGCTCAAAAAAATAATTAATCATAATTGAAATTAAGCAATGGTAAATTGTATTTCAAAAAAAGCAACTTCGCAGCTTTGTCCCCCAAAAGTCTGTTACGATGAGGATCATAAACAATTCCTGCTGCACTGAAAAATTGTTCACTTGGAACGCTTGTTGCAGGTGATGATAAATATGTGCGAGCAATGTGACTGAGACATCCAAACCTGTTACTGTTAATCTGCCAATACTTTAACTGGTCTTGATCTCTTGGTAATCTTTTTTCTGACATATATTCTGTGAGCAAGTTAGCTTTTGTATCTGACATTTGATTTTCGGATTGCTCATCATCATCATCACTTTCTAACATATTAGCAATAGATACCTCTAAATCTAAACTCTGGGAATGTTCTTTTCTAATAGTAGGTTTAACCCCAGTACTTGTTGTAGCTGAGAGATTTTCTTCAGTTTCTAAATCTGCACATAATTTTTCTTTTATTTGTTTTATGAGAATATCACTGAAGAATTTATTTTTGTACCGTGGGTCTAAAAATGTTGATATTTGAAACAAAATATTTTTATCAATTTCAGAAAAACGATAATTTAATTCATTCTTCAAAGCAGATATAAAATCCACAACAGAGGGTACACTGATATTGAGACTTTCCTGGATCTCATCATAGATTTTATTCAATGCTCGTGTTAGAGGAATAACGTCGGATATACATGAGTTCTGAGAGCTCAATGTTTTGGTTACGTCGTCTAGAGGCTTCAGCACTTTTACTAAGTCTTGAATTAAAGTCCAGTCATCAGCATTAAATTGTTCTATTTTGTTATTCGAAGCATAAAGCGACAGGGAATCTTTGATGCAATCAAGTCTTTCTAACATGTGATAGCTGGAATTCCAGCGTGTCGGTGAGTCTTGCAAAACTTTTAAAACTTTTTGATTGAGTCGAACCTGTATTTTTTCTAATTCTTGCTTTGCCATTGTGGAATGGTTAAAATGTCCTGCAATTTTCCTACATTTTCCGAGTAGCACGGAGATTGTATCAACGTTTTTGATAGCCTCTTTAACCACCAAATGTAACTGATGTGCTGTACAGTCGACATTATGTATTTCAGACAAAGAACAGGCGCGTTTCATATTGGATCCCCCATCTCGTACCATACAGTGCACATTTTGTTTCTGAATTCCCCATTCTTTTAACATACCTTGAAATACTACTGAAATATAATCTCCGGTGTGACGTTCTTCAAGAACTTCTGCTTTCAAAACGATATTTTTTCGTTGAAAGTCTGCGGTAATGCCATAACATGTTAATGATAATAATGACACTCCTGATGACGAATCTGACCAGATATCTGCTGTGAAGGAAACTTTATCAAAATCTTGTTGTAACATGTTTTTTATTTTTGATGACACTTTTTCGAAAAGCTCGCTGCAAACTAGTTCCGTAAAATATTTTCTGCCTTGGAGAACATAGTTTGGAACAATATGATCTATCAATCGTCGAAACCCTAATTGTTCTACATGTTGAAAGGGCAAATCTGATAAAGCCAACATTTCAGCAATCAAATAGTCGATTTTGGGTTATCCCACATAGGGTTTGTATTATCCCACATTCTAGTTTTTTCCATATATTCGTCAAAAAAAGTTTGTTTAAATTCTCTTTTTACCGTTTGCAAAGATGTTCCCTGCCGTGGTGGTTCGTCGGTACTCTTCTTAGCAGCGTCTTCTTTCAAAAACAAATCATATTCTTCGGAATGTTTTCGTTGTAAATGATTTTTTAAAGAAGTCGTGCCTTTACCCTTACGGGAATATTTTCCATCACAAATTTTGCACTTCGCACATTCATCATTTACTAACACGAAATATTTCCAAATTGCACTGGAAAACTTCTTAGTAGACATTATTTATAATTTGTATCAAAATAATACACAACCGTTATGAACGCGCCACAATGTCACACTAAACCGTAACCAAAACAATAAATACTATCCGCGCAATGCAAGTCAAAACATGTCCTGCGTGCCCTTGCGGCAAGCGTACCGTCGACTATCATTTCAAGGTCGCGAGCGCTGACACTAATCGAATAAGAAAATAAAGATCCGTATCCGTATCCGTATCCGCGGATCTTGACACTAAATATCCGTGTTCAGATCCGTATTCGCGGATATACATTTTTAGCGATCCGGCACATCACTAGTCTGTACATACATATGTAATGTTAGGTGTTTATTTAAAACAACAAATACATATGAGCGAAAATCAACGTTTATTAAGAAACTAGCTGTGCCCGCGACTTCGTTCGCGTGGAATAGTGACTATGAGCAGCGTCTGTTTTTTAAATATATACTTATTTTTATTATGGATCATAATCACAGTCATTTTAAGTACAAGTATAGAAGCATAGAATAGCAGCATAGTATAAGCATAGTGTTCGACGTGATTCTTTAATTTGACATAACTTTTTTATTTATGAACCGATTGACATGAAACAAACACTAAAGCATAATTGAAGCATGCCACAGTATATTCGTGAAAATCGCATCCAACTCGGATCAGCCGTTTCTGAGATTAGCGTGAACAGACAAACAGCCAAAAAAAAAGTTACATACATTTTTGGGTTCGACATCGACATAACAATAACCCCTGCTATTTTTTTATTTTTATTTTCAATGTACAGACAGCACTTTTCTACAATTTTATTATATGTATAGAAGATTGTACACAATGTACGTATAATTTGCTTACAATAATTATGTATGTATTTGGTAATTTGCATTAGGTAATCATGAAATAAAATAATGAGTTTAATTTGGTTTAAATATGCAAGTTCTGACATGTTAATGTTAGAATAAACTCGTCGCGATTGGCAGTTCGGATAATCGCGAATTCGGATAACCGAGGTCCGGATAATCGGGGTCCTACTGTATGTTAATTTAACCAACCTGCCTACTTCAGTAGACAAACTATTTTGTAAGTTTGAATGAAACTTATATTCTCGGATATACTTTTAAAGACTATTAACTTTTAAAAACTACGAGATAAGTAAACTAGATTTACTTTTAGTACTAATAGAAAACTAGATTTACTTTTAAAAACTACATCTTCTCGAAGTTTCTGTTACTTTCTGGTACTAATAAACAACCGTGATCACGGATAGATGAGATGTAAATGTGTATTGTGTACGTTATGAACCAGAGCGATCTCTTAGCAGACTTAGCTCATTGTCACAGTCGTGATGACGTCATAATAGGCTGAACACACGAACCGAGATCGTCTCCGCGATAACAGTATCCTTCTCATTATACTCACACTGAGCCTGGTGTCCGGCGGGGCCTTGATGGGTATGACGGTTTGATTTCTAAAGTCCTTAATGGACCTGAGGTCGGCGTACGTGATGTAGGCCCTCGCGCCGTGCTCCGCTGACAGTCGGGACAGCGCCTGCTCGGCGGCGGCCACCGCTCGAGTCACGCGCGCCTCCCGCCCGGACAAAGACCGCACCTCGCGCCGCAGACGACGGACGCGGTTCTCTTCGTTCACGCCTCCACCTCCTACACCTGGGGGAAGAAGATATATTAGAACACCATAAACACATACTTAACTTCCTATATATCACCTTACTTATGTATAAAGGACGTTATATAAATTAAATTGCTCACATTTCAAATATAAAAACTTTCTGCGCATATGTTTTTTTTTTTCTACATACATATGAGTCAAAGGACAAAGTACTATGAAAGTAAATATGTATATTATTTTTGGTCACAGAAATTCTCAAAATTGTGATTCAGTTCATGAGTGGAAAACTATAAAATAAACTTCAATAAATGATAGAACATATTAGAGAAATCCATGCTTGTAAACCCTGACAAAAGTAAAATTTTACTTCATGAAAATATTTGAGTGGCAACTTTCAAACAACAATATTACATAGTTTTAAGAATTTGTACTAAATCTTGCTACCCTTTTGCCCTTGACTGAAATTCGTGTCAAGAATCAAACAAACCCCGCTTATTTAATAAGTGAATAATAAACTATAACATTCAAACTAAACTCTAATCCTGTCTTAGTGAGACATTTTATAAGAAAAAAAGTTTCTCATGGTACAAACTCACCACATTTCCATTGTATATTATTTTTGGATCTCTTCTCTAATATTCCTATCCCCTCTAACACGTTAGTGATGTCGTATATTCGACGTTTCTGTACTGAGAGATGTTCAGCTGCTATGTTAAGATCTAAGACACCGTTCGGCGACGACTTGAGGAGAGCTACAAACTTTTTCGTCAGTAGACCTAATGACGTGTCAAACCTGAAACAAGGCAGGCCGTGAATTAAATATTAAATATTATTATTACGTCGAAGAATTTCGTGGATATAAAGATGACTGTATATTCAACGTCTCAATGGACAAGCTCTACTCATCACTACCAGTATAGGCCGGGTTTTAGAGGACTCAACCAACCACTCAGTTCAAAATCAAATTAGTGGGTCACTTATTTGATAATTGATATCAAAATATGCAGTTTTTTTATTTTTCCCAACCAGAGACAAACAGGAGGTCAAACTATTCAAAAAAACAGCGAGTGTTCGAATTTGGATGATGGTTGTTTTAGGAAATCAGTGTCGTCTGATTAATCTAATATTTTAATTTAAAAAAAAACTTATCAAAAATCTGACTTCTACAGATGCTGATCTTATACACTCAGTACTTTAAAAAAAAAAAACCGTTCAGCTTTCTATTATTCTACTGTATAAAACCAAACAGCAATATAGTATATTACCCACACGACTGTTACAACTACAAACTAGCGTTCAAACACAATGAAATCCTATAAAATTTAAATTTAATTTACCTGTACGACAGATATGTACCTGGAGCGTTCTGTGTATTTTTTCATAGAACTGGACGGTCGGCTGTACGGGGTTAGTACTTTGACGCGTTTCTGTTTGGGCGTCTTGAAGTCAGCCTTCATCGGCACCACGTGACCCTGGCTGCCTGAACTACTCTCGCTCAGGTTCAGTCTACGTTTCACCGCCTGAAAGTAACGAAACAATTCATTATAGACATAAAATATTACAAATATAACGTACTTAATATATTGATGATAGAAACTTGATAAAAGCTACCGATTCTAGATTAAAGTATTATATTAGCAACTGGACTCAAAACTTTAAACTTAACAGCTTAATACATATCCATAGTAATATCGTATAAAATCATCAGTGACGATAGCACAACGAACTCCCGGACATTTGTAAAACATATTTCCATGTTAAGTTTTAAAACGTGCACAAGTTTATGAATCTCCAGACGGCGATGGTGCTTCACACTTCACGCGGCTATTATAAAATTCCACAATATACAAACAACACACACAATACGAAATTAAATAGTGATGACGATTGTTTTAGTTGTTCCGAAATATGTATACGGGTAATCAGTATACTTACTTTCAATATCAAATACGTCATCCTAAACAGAGATTCTTTCGTAATCCGCAACTCTCAAAATATAAGGTATCTCCTTTACGTTGGAACCATGGGCAAAACATTATTTTAGATACAATTAATATATAATCAAGCCACCACTAGGTAGAGTAACGAACGCGTGCGTCACATTATGAAAAATAAAAAGCAAGACAGATAGGCGGATGGCATTTTGAATAAACTGATGCAACTAATACGAAGTGAAGTATTGCGGGGTCGAAGCCCCCTTTAAGGAAGTGTGTGGGGAGAGTGCCCGTAGCTACACAATACACGAACATAAATTAGAAACGACACAAAAGGCACCGGGCTCTAAGAAGGGACTCTAGCAAAAGAATGCCAATTTCTTATCTCGGAAACTTTTATTATTATTAATAGAGAGCAAAAGCCATTGTTAAATCACCGAGTTTGCGGCTCTCGCAATTTTTTATTGTACCCCACTCGTCGTGTAAATCGGAGCAGATGTGCCTCTAAGCTTGACATCTCGAACGCATTCATTTCACCACCCCAGTATTGAAAATAAAAAATATATTCAGAGCCATTATTATACAGGATCAATTCATACATTATTCTAATATTTATAATTTTTAGATACACGAAAAGATAATCCCTTCGCATGGGGTAGAACAGTTTAAACGTCTCGGCTCCGTCCAAAGTAAACAACGCGTCGTAAGGAGGGTTACATACCATCGATTAGGTTAGTAGTTAAACGAAACGTAAAACGTTCAAGTAAGCATTCGGTGGGCGTTGTATCGTTTGTGAATGATAAGGACAATAACGGTCGAGTTGCGCAATGTAGGAGCGCAGGAACTATGTACCTGGCCCACGTGACTACAGTACATGGTGTGGTCAGGCTGGCGCGACATGTGCGGGCGAGCGACGCACAACACACATATGCTCGACAAACGTTACGAACCAACCAATCTAGAAATACGACTTTTAGATCAAACCAGCTGATATACAAAAGTATATAACTTTTACAAACGTCCTCAGGCAAATTGCCCATAGCGCGTCCCACGAAATCCCTCCGACGTATTTACCGTTAATTATTGTAAGCATTGCCAAAAGTTTGAACAAAAAACACTTTGAACAGAATAGTTAATATTAAGAAAGGGAAGTGTCTCCTATTAACACTTGTGTTAATGGGGTATTGTAATAAAAATTAAGACTACACAGGAAGCAAGTCATTATATGGAGAGGATGCAAGCATGTGTTTAATTTATTAATAATTTTCAAAGACAATCAATTTTATATCTGAACAACACTACCTTGACTAGCAAATCCATGTCAGGGTAAATACCCTGGGCATAAATATGCTTAATTTAATCCAAATAACTAACAATTTTCAGATCATTTTGATTTGATTACAGTATAGGTATTTTTGAGAAATAATTATGAAATATCAACTCATATCTAGTGTTGCATCATTAACTTATTATTATTTAAAATTAATGAATTATAACCACAATTTCCTGTATATACATACATGTGCATATTACAATTATAATCCATAATTAAAAACTACATATAAGTACCTTTCATCTTCCTTATATATGGCTTTGCTAACAACTTACCCCTACTCATTTTAATTAAAATAATAATCCCACAATTTGAAATTAGATTAAAATATATAATCTATACAATAACTTTTATTTACCAAATCAATGAAATTTTCATGTTTTTTACTTCTATGAAAATCCACTACTGTCTTGAAATTGGTCACTCATATTGTAAATGTACTCTCAATTACATGTAAATGAATGCAAAAGTATTTGGATCTTGTTAAAGCAAACAACTAACTATTCTTGCAACATTCATATTGAAAATGAATCCATAAACCGAGTATTTTATCAGCAAATCTAGAATGATAAGCAAAATTTCAATGGCATTTACTTAGAAAACCATCAGTATTGAAATAAAAGGTATTTGGGCTGTTACATGGTGCTTAGTCAGATACAGAATTGGCCTTACATCATGAATCAAATAACTATTGAATTAAAGTATCATAGATTTAAATCGATTTGTAAAAATCAGGTAGACTCGAAGACCATTTGATACTCAGGTTACTGACCTTAATGAAAGGTGCATGACCTCATTGGGCAAGCAAAGATCTCCTAAAATATATGATAAGTGAGAATTTAATGAAGTCACTCATATAAAGTCAAAGACTAGTATATATATTTGACAAATCATACCACAGTATGGCAGATGACTTTACAAGATGTTTACTTGAAAATATTGAATTCTATAGACAATTATTTTGTTAAATTTGTACTAAGTCATATAATATAGATATTATTATACAAGACTAGATAATATTGTTAAAAACTAATCCAATATGTGAGGAAACTTTGTGATGGAATAACCTCAAACATTGAGTAATGATATCACACTCAAATTGAATGCATTAATTATTCCAAAGAATGCCAATATTAAAATTAAGTTATAATTTTAGTATATGTAAAGATTACAACATTTTATGACATTGAATATCATATTTTATACTTCATATGTTTGCTGATTAAACACGAACATCATACCGTTGAAAGCCTTTGGTCTGGACCAAGTTCAAGTTTATGATGACTCCCCTAATGTTCAAATTACTATAGAATTATGATTACAACTAATATAATATAAAGGGATTTAAAAATCTGCATATATTTGACTAGTTTCAGACAATGTATGAAAACTGTATCAATAACTCTGTATAATACTATGAGAATCATACATTTGACACCAAGGAGTCGAGATCCAACTATAATTTGTCTTACAGTAGATAAGATATATGTTTAAATGTTGTATAAGTATGATCAGCTGATATGCAGAACAGTTGAAAAATGTGTTTTATTGTGACCGGCTACATACTTCATTCATATATTGATGATTACAAAACTGTTCAAGGGTGTAGGAGCTTATGGTATTGAGTGCTTACTTCAGATGTCTTCGGCGGTGCGGTGGGCGCCTCCCGGCGTATCTGGTGTTGAGGTGTGGCCCCATAGCCATGGTCGAGCAGGTGGTAGCTTATGGGCTGGCTAGGGCTGTCGTCCAGGAGCGTGGTGTGCGACGGAGAAGCCCCGACGCGTACCACCACCTCAGCTTCGCCTTCCGCCGCTCCTCGCTTCACCCCCCTCGGCATCGCTGACACACAATATTACAATATCAATATAGCAAATCATAATATGAATATTTAATGCTTAGGATCCTAATCATCTGAATTTAATTAGCGAAGAGGTTAGGGGAGCCGCGCGCGCGGAAATCACAAGTAAGAAGCCTCCGATGCAGAGTGGGTCGATAGACGTTTTAATGTACTTTATGTAATGCTAGGGCCTTCCTATACCACCTGCAGATGTCCAGTAATGCTTACGTCATTATTTTAACGACATTTTCCCAAAAAAAATCGACAAACTAGCGGTAATTCGTAGACATAACCGCTCGAAAAACTGTTGAACAAACACTCATGATATCACATATAATACTCAATAAAATGCTATAATACTTACGAAAGGTGTAAGCGAACGATATCCGAATACAGAACCATAAAACGACATTTAATGTTTTCGACGCAAACGCTACATTATCGAGTACTCAAAATAAAATGTCCGCCGCTTTGTTGGTCTCGATTGAACTCGTGGACATCGAGACGCTGAATAACTTTCAGTTAAACTCCACTATCTACTACACACATGTTAAATTATACACTTAATACTTCACTAATAATATAAAATATTATATTAATCCTAGTCCACATTTTACATCAAAATAAAAATGCAGGGCAACGTAACGACGACAGGAAGCTTTTCAGAACATCTGGCTTGCAAGCGACGTAGCAGTGGCGCGAACTACGCGCGCAGGCGCGAAGCGGCCGCACGAACCAAGCAACCCCTAGCGACGCCGTTCTCCAAATTCCTCCCCTCGTTTGTGAAGCCATAAAAAAAATAACGGATTTTTAAATTTTGGTTCGTCGACCGGTTTTATGCAGAGAAACGCTGCGCACTGCGCTTAGTCTGTTCAAGCCAAAACGTTAAACATCGTATTTGTACCGAAGAAATATTTGAATTTCCCATGCAGTAGTTTGATGTAAAATAATTTATTTCTTTAAAAATCTTCTAACTATGATAATTTAAAATAATATATTAAAACAAGTATACTATTTTGATCATAATAGTGTTATAAAAACTATTGAATAATACTTAAAACTGAAATGAAAACAATATCGTTGTGACTTAGACAGTTTCTACAATACATCTCGATAAGTTTGTCGGTTATTTACTTTTTTTATATTAATAACTGTCGATTATGTTGATAAATCATTTTAAAACCATTTAAAGATAGATAAGATTAAATACTTCATTTTAATAAAACAATACTAAATATTTTTATGACCTAATGATCATTAGCAAATTTGTTTATACCAAACAGAAATTTTAAAAGGACACGTCATATTGGTTAAAAAACGAAATGTTTAGATTTATGACGTCAATCACATTTTGTGATATATTATGAATTGTGATATGTAAATCGCTGATAAATATCGATCAATTCACTACTTATATCTTAAGAAGACTCGTTAAATTGCCTTTAAAAGGTACAAATTTTAAATTTAAAACACTCGTTGTCTCTTTTATGAAAGTTATATTACAAATAACATGATATCCTAAGATTTGAGCCGTAAAATAAGTCTTTTTAGTATATAATAAATAATTTTATTGTTACTGATTTTAAATATATCAAACTATAAATATTTATGCCCCGAAAACTTTTTACACAATATTTATGTTTTCATCAAAGTATTAGATCTTCGACTCGAATTAAATAAAAATCTTAAGCGGACATCTTGGTTTAGAGATAAGTCGGTTAAAATCGGTTGTTTAAAGTTAACTTATAATAATTTTATGTGACTTTTTTGAACATAATTTGTTGAAAATATAGAAAAAAATAAGTTGTCTAAATTTATAATTCCTAATAGCTTACTTTTTAGATGTGTTTTGTTTTTAACCGATATGTAATAGATAACTTTAATTATAGAGAGCATAATAATAATAAAAAATAAAAACTTACATTTTTTCTTATATTAATATTAGTGTATTCAAACAGTTACAAGACAAATCGTTTTTTAAATTATGAAATATTTTGCTTGTATATCAATGGCGTGGATGTTAGTTGAAATTTTTATTATAAACTTAACTTTTACCAATTAATATTTCTTAGTACTTAAATGAAAACATCGATGGAAATATACGTATTATTAATTCAAAGTTGTTATTTAATCTAATTAATTTCTTTTTGTTAAATTTATTGCTCCTTCTGAAATTTTCGTCAGACCATTTGTATATCAACTAATTCATTGGTCTGTAAAATTTAGTTTTACATTTTTTTAATCTGATTTTATATATATAATATAAAGTGTTACCTATAGTACATTTTATTTATTTGAATAAAATCAAAAAAAAAAGTTATATTTTAAAATGATTAAAAAATGAACTTGGCGTTATTACATTTTCTAATAGCAAAATTACATTAATAATGCATATTATATTAATGAGAAGAACTCTATGAAACCGCGAAACGGAAGTGACTGTAGAAATATAGCGGAAGCTTCGTATACTTATCATAGACAATGAAATGATCATCCGGCATTGCCATTATTAAAAACCTCCAAAAATATATGAACATAGAAATTTTATTTTAAATACAAATTATATTTTTATTATACTATTTACAAAAACAAAAAACTTTATAAAAGATTTATAAATTATTATGTCAGAATTATGAATATGTGTTAATAATCACGAATAAACATTTTCACTTAAATATTTGCTCTATAACTTACTAACCGAACGTCAAAACTTGTCTCAAATTAAATTCGTTCAAAATAAAATTTCAATCACCAAGAGGCCACTAAATAATCTATGGCGAAGTAATTTTGAGTAAGTTAAGTTATTCGATTTTGTTGTAACCTAATGGTGTCAAATGGGTATTTTTAAATATATTTACTACAATATAAGGAAGATATTTATACATATATACGTATATATATATATATATATACAGGGTGACTGGTGAATTACTATCAATATTTAAGGAGAATACTCGGTACATGATTCTCATTCGAATTATGTAAAAAAAATAGGCACTTAATTTTTGACAAAATTTCCGTATAAATAAGTAAAGTGTCGACACGTTCCTAGTGTTCAAGTGTGGACGCGTGCGGCGGCGTGCTGATACAACACTACGTCACGACACGCGTATGTGTGAGTGTCAGTGTATACCTAATCTGTAGGGTGTTCACACGATGCGTAATTAATTACATAACTTTTGGTTAACTTTACTTAGAAGTTTATTAATATTTATGTTATATTAATTTTTATTTTGTCATATATGATCGTCAAATATCACGTCCTCAAATATCGATAGTAATTCACCAGTCACCCTGTATATATATATATATATATATAAATATTTTTTTCGACAATTCTTTTGAATTGTATTGGCTGTACCTAATTGAATGAATGTTTTAGGTAACAAAAATAAGTATACAAATATCGTGGATGTGTAATTAACTCAGAGTGCCAAAGTGGTTTCACACTTCTGCTACTTTTTATTTTTTTAATAGTGTTATACATGTTTTTTTTTGTAACGTGGATCTCCTTGTTTAAAATTTAAAATAATAATAATAGTAATAACAACATCCCTATAATAAAATTAGCTATGTTCTTAATAATGCCAGCTGTGGACTTATAAAAGATTGCATTTTCATCAAATCTACGATAATTTGAAAACTCTCAACCGTTCAAAACGATATTTAAATAAAGAAATCACTTTGAAGTAGGTCATGGTTGTCGTAAACAGTAAACAAATTAATGACGTGTTATCCTTGATGGGTAATCATTTATTTCAATTACACAATTATGAATCAAAAAAAGTGAATAATATTTCTTGTTCTAATATATAACTACTTAAGAGTTTTAGGTTTACTTAGACGATTAAAATATGTTTTATTCCAAATATTTTGTCAATGGTTTCGCTGTTTTTTAAATTTATTTTGAAACAACTATAGAAGAAATAGTTTTTTCTAATAAAAACTTTCTTATGGGAGAAAGTTATTGACATTGAATTCGAAAAATTGAGGCACAAAAAGGACTGAATATTGGTAGTTAAGTAGATGGTCAATTTACGTTTTCTTAATTTCTTGGCCTTTTAATTTTTACTTTAAGATTATTTGACTGCATATATCTATTCGAAGTGACAAAAATATTGTATGACGTATCAAAATAACAGTTTTATAGATTCATTCTTACATTAATGCATTATGGCAATCATGTTTATCGCCAAATTATTTTTATTTAGATGTTGATTTTATCGAGGTCAAAACAAAGCATTTACATCTACATCTTTTGTTAGTGTTGACAAAAAATTTAGACTGTTGTCAAACTGATTAAAGTTCATTGAAGAATTATCGCTAGTTCTTCAGTAAACAACCAATTCAACTGGCATTCTACCTATAATATAGTTTTCTTTAGTTGGAGGTGACGGGAACAATTAAAACGATATGAAATTATAAGTAAATTTACATAAATTTGAACAATAAACTCAGTTCTAAGCAAAGAACTTCAACACTAATGGTGTTCCCGTAGGATTTTACGTATTTATATATTTTAACCTCATAAAAAGTTTCTGTTAACAGAACTTCCAAGGAAATTAAATGTATGTGATGAGCATAACCTTATTTTGGTATGTTGTAATCTTTTCAACCTGCATCTTCGTTATTTTTCGTAACTCATGACGTCACAACAAGTTGTGTCTTTGTTTGTGTACACGTCGAAATTAATAAATTAAAAATGTAAGTTATATTTTCAGATAAGAATGTCAAAAATAATGTGTAATTTTTTTTCATCTATCCATGCATGAAATAGAAATTTTGTAAATGCATTGGTGTGTTGTAAATAAAAGTATCTTGACAATTATGTATAACTGGATTTCCGCCCGCAGCTTCGCCTGCGCGGAGTTTGGTTATATCGCGTTTCCAAGAGAACCTTTCAAAAGTCTGGGATAAAAACTATCCTATGTTCTTACTCAAGGTCAACTCTATCTCTGTACCAAATCTCATTAAAATCAGTTCAGTGGATTAGGCGTGAAAGCGTAACAGACAGACAGACAGACAGAGTAACTTTCGCATTTATAATATTAGTAGGGAATAGTAGGGATGAAGGAATTAGTAAGAACGACAACAAAGTGACGTCTTCATAGAAATCCTCGTATGTTATTTTTTGTTACAGCGAACAGTGAAGAATGTCAACCAAAATTAATTGTTAGTACGTTGAATAGTCACAGACTGGAAATGAATAGTATTAATAAATAAAATAAATCCACAACAAGAAAGGCATATCTGACTTCTAATTATTCCTGACCAGAAATAAAACTTATAAATCAGTTATTGTTCAATAAACTATGGTTTCTAGATGTAGCAACCACCAAAAATCCCTTCATATCCTGAAACAAGAAACGGTACTTATATTAATGAGATCTAAGATTTTCGCGAGTACTCATTTAAATGAAACTAATATTTTCGGATTTTACTTCGCGTTTTTTATTTTTTATTTAGTACTAATATTAGTCACCTACACGATACTTTAATAACTATTAGACTATTATTAATTATAATGCGTATATGTGACTAAGCAGAGGCGTTTTTGATTTAACGAGTAGGTATACTTCAGTGCAATAGTATTAGAGCGAACTTTGAAAAAGAGGCTGGTGTTGCTCTACTTCTGTGACATCTGGAGTATTTTAAGTGAAGAGTACAGCACAGAAAGGAGACACGGTGCTCTCAAATTGTGGCATTTGTTACAACTCATTATTTCTACGACTGCCATACTCAAAGCTTAACAAAGCTGATTTCCATAACATCGTGAGTTCCAGACTTGGAAAGCCATTCTCTTTTGATACTCTGCTGATAAACTACAAAATTACTAACAAACCACAATAACAGAACCTCACATAGTTTCTTTGTCACTGCTTCACTTGTACGGATCACTTCTGACCACACCGCGGTTGTCAATAAAAAGATTATACACCCCGTATATGGCAATATGATCACATAATTGGAGATTGTTGGTAATTCACTACCATACCCTTTTCGTCAAATTTTCTGACCTACATATCCAAGTTGTGGAATAATCTTACTTTAATAATATTACCTTCGCCACTTCTGGAACAATATGATTTTGGAACCTTCAACAAAAACACGTGTTCTATTTTTAAAAGTTGGGAGCGCGCTAAAGTATTCTAACTTCCAGTGTGTATCAGTAGTGGTTTTTACAAATTTTTATAGTGACATAATATTGACATTTTACAGGAAGCGTACTATTTGTACTTAGACTATTTTGACTGAGCTCTTTATGAAAGAATCTGAGCTAATGATGGCATATGGCTAGGAATGCTTCTACTTGCCTTTTACTCCAGACAAGCAGTAGTCAATAATAATCGGTTTCATGAAACATGTTGCTTCCAAAGAGTTTGTTCATTTTAACAGAAGATTTCATGTAGGTAATACTAGCAAAATAGAATGTTTTGGCTACATGAACAAACAGGCTTCGTTCTTAAGGGTTACATTTAATTAAAGAAGGTCTTTAGACTATATTTTCATAGAGTTTGTCATCTTAAATGTGCTAGAAGTTTATGGTTTCTAGGTTTACGAAGAAAAGTTATGAGATTGAAAAAGTGATTTGCATTATTTTTCGTTTTAAAAGCCAATTGGAAACAGACGGAAAGATGAACTTGATGAAGAATATAAAAAAAATTGTTGGTTGTATGCAATTGAACATAAACTTATTCTTTTGAAAATAATAAAATACTTAGTTGTAAAACCACTTTAAATAATATTTATAAAATTAGATTGGAAATATAATATAGTAGTTAGATAGATGGATGGATGGATGGATAGATTTTTTTTATTCCAAAAATATATATAACATGTCTATGATAATCAAAAACTTTCCTATATTTCTATTCATAAATCTACGTTGATTGAAAATGTGTGAAAATTTTATTTTGGCATGTAACTGAGCTCGATTTTCCGCGACAGTTGACAGATCGGAGTTAGACTAGTTAGTTAGTTTTTCATCTCTAGTTATATAAAAACTATACTGACCTCACTTACGACACTTTTAGTATTGAAAAATAAATTTTAAATATTAGAAGTGTAGTTTTTTTTTATCAGATAAGAAATTCTTTTACTGACAAAAGCCCTTATTACAATTTCGTAAAAAAATTAGTTACTTATCTCATCTATGGCCACCCATAATACAATTTATATATGTATATTTAATTTTCTACATGTATAATTTTAATTACTACCTGATCGCTGGGTAATTAATTACATATGAGTTTTTGTTTTTAACTAAACAAATCTAATGTGATTTAAATAAAATTTTGCCGTGGAATTCAATTTCATTTATTTTGGCTCCATTTTTATTCGTTTATCAAGTTTTTGAAGTTGTCCTACATTCAAATTAATTATAATCATTTTTTTAAATATTTCTCCTCACAATAAGTTTAAACTTAGCTCAAGTCGTGAGTGAACTCTGTTATCGCTACATGTGAACTATTTACCTACATTACTTTACAAGTAGGTTTGTGCATTATACTAAAGCTATAAAATGTTTTATCCGAGTCTATTGGGGGTCAGGAAAGAACCGTCTTGCTAATTTAAAATATAAACCAATGTGTTATGTTCCTATAACTGGGCCGCGGAATAAGTCATGCGTTGCTAATACAATAATGAAAGTCATTGAATTAATAAACGTTCTGAGAAGTATCTCATGTACCTACTTTACGCATTTACGATTTCTGCAATTGAATACCTATTGTACTAATTTTGAGTTAATAATATCAATAAATAAATATAGATAGTGCTACATGTTAAAATCAACATTTGAAAAAATGTGTCAATTCTAGGATTACCTCTCAAGCATGGAGGAAGAGCAAAGATAGGGATGAAACAAGAAGACGACAAAATTAAATCTTTTAAATTCCAATATGGAAAAATATTTTTTGAAACCTGTACACAAGCATTCTAAATATATAGGAGAATTCGCAAGTTGAAAAGGCTAGTAAATTATTAAGTGTTTTAGAAAAAGATCTGAATTTAATAACATATAGATATTCCTAATTGTCCTGACATTAAATATAAAGAAAACAATGAGTAAAATCTGATTAGTAAGGAGTGTTGAGATCTATTAATTATTAATATCTGAACGTACCAAAAGAAATATGCCAGTAGACATTCAAATTGCTTAGAGTTCTAATTTCAGAACACAACATTTTCCATACACTACAAAAACTACTGTAGATATTGTTTATTTAAAAAAAAAGTATGGACTAGCTCATGAGGTACTAAATATTAATAAGAAAAATTGTGGGTGTAAAAAAGCGTGTAATTTGTATTTTAAGTACAGTTGCTCTTTTAGGTATTTTATCCTATTGATGGATCTTAGACCTTGATTATTGAACTTATCGATAACTGGATATAAAGATGATATAAATTAAATACGCGATTTACTAGTAGAAAGATAAAAATAAAAACTAAATCTTTATAAGAAATATACATACGAAACCTTTGTTAATCTATGAAATTTTCGAACAAAAAAAAGACAGAGAAAACTTGTGCTGAAGTTTCATAAAATTACTAATCTATTAAATCATTCACGAATCGTAAACATGAAACTGATATTTTTTTGAATATTATTCGATATAAAGATTTATAATATTGTTTATTTCTAAACTTAATAATTGTAAAAAAGGAAGGTTGATAAAGATTTACAGTATTAGGATATAATATGTAGACTTTGTCTATATAATTATGCTAACAGCAGGTACGTTAAATACTGTAATTGTTTATTTAAATGACTCTTCCTTTACCTTGCACTTTTCATTCTACTTTATGTTTGTGTGCGACATGCGATAGACGCAGAAAAACATGATATTATGTGATTTAATTTTAAAAAATTACATAGAACGAGCCGACCCCAACTGAAAACGGAATAAGGCTGTGAAGAGAGCAAGACAAAATTACATAGAAGAAATGTCGGTATAGGAATTTTTGCTATATGTTCTAAATAAATTGCAATCCATTTCCCTAGTTCAAGGAAACTAAGAAAGAGTAAAGTATATTTTTTATACCTAAAGAGAGCAGTTTCATGCTGAATTTTCAATTCAGGAAATTGTTTTCTGAATGATATTTATAAAAAAAAGTTATGGATTCCTACGTTACGTATCTATCCGTTAACATCATTTTAAGAATCAGGGCCATATGGAGCTACGTAAGAAATAGATTTTCATTTGTTTAATAAAATAAGTTTAACTAAATTAATAGCCATCGTTAAAATTGCTTATGTAAAAAAAATTCTATATGGATTCATGATGTACCTATTCATATGGACAGTTATATAATTGATAATAAGTGAAACCAAGTTTCAGACGAACATAATATAGTTTTGATGAGAGAAATTGATTTAGTTATCAAATAGAAATTATAACAAAATTTATCTTGAATGTTTATAAATACCGCCTACCTACATCACTTTTGACTTTTCTTCCAGTTTCTGAATCTAATTTTGTATGTTGAGAAATAATCTTAACTTATATTTATATTAATCAAAACTGAGAGAAAAGTTCAAACGTCAAATCTAAAAGTTACAAACTTGTTAGAAATTTAGACTGTCGTATAATTAAGTTTATAAAAATAAAACTTTTATTTATTCAGAATAAATATTCTATCAACGAAAACTCATATGAACGCTTTTTAACGGTTTTGTAATTCCACGGTATCGGTTCAAAAACATGTTCAAGTCATTGTTTATAAATAATTGTACTAACATGTGATTCAAATACAATACATTCCTGAATTAAATAGGTTTTCGAACGTGAGAATGTTATTACTGATAATATCATTATTAACAATGAAAATTAATATTTTTTTAAAAATCTCTATCATAAAAAATTACGAATGAATTTCACTGTATATTTCAATTCCTCTTTTATAATTATCTCATGCTTGAACCAAGGGATTTATTAATCATTAATAAACTGTCTTAAAATTTACGAAGTAAAGACTAGTAAAAGCTAATTACTAAACTTTTGGTTTCAGAAAGTAAAAATATAGATATTGACTAAGTACTTCTATTAATTTCTATACGTTATCTATTTAATAAATAGGAAGTACATTTTTATATAATTATATGCCTATATTACATAATATAATTATATGCCTTTTTATGCTCTCCTAAACATCTTCAATCCTCTTAATAAAATATGCCAATATTGGTCCCAGTTGTTCAAAATTCAAATATGTACATTAAATTTGCGTAGCATCTTTTGTGACGGAATTCCTAATATAAATTATGACGTAATTTCATATTTTAATAATACTTTCATTCTTCCAAAATAGTATTCTTATTATTATCAATAGACAATTATACTTTCATTTTATTGACTTTCTATCTTATATACTTACATATCAAATCATTATTATTTAAATTACTTGATGCAAATTATTTATATGTTTAATTTCTCCATGTTAGACTACTTTAATGATAGTGATTATACTTCCCATATTGTTTACTATAGAATAGTGATTATACTATATAATAGTGATTATACTTTCCATTATTGTTTTACTTCCCAGATTCTATAAAGATATATCAATGAACAGAAAAAATCTAGTGTGTTGTAGAATACCACAGACTGAATAAAACAACAGATAATATGAAACCATTGTATTTAAATATCAATTATAACAAAAACCTCATACTTATTATTCTTAGGTTGATCTATAATTTGCATGGCAGAATATGTGATCGCCTTCACCTCAGTGCCCTGAGGGTGTTTACCTATCTGGAACTCCTCACCAAAACACTTGCATACTATTCTAAACTCCTCGGTATTAAACTCTGTAATGACAAGTTTCTTACATATCAAAAACGGTTCAACGGAAAACAGAAAGAGTAATTCATCAAGAAAATGGTAGAGGAGTCCCATTAAATCGTCAGCATTAGCTTCGATGGTATGGACCTCTTTTATCTGTACATAATCCATTTCCGTCATGTAACCAAACATGGCCATGCCACACTGTTCAAAAGCCTCTTGCAATGTATCACCCCAAGCATGTAGTCTGAAAGGATTAGTTGCACAAGGGTTTAGGAATATAACATATAAGACTCGGAAGGTTTGTTATAACTTTCAAATCTAATTAAAAAATAGTTCTAATGTACCATTTATTTAGAATATGAATTATACATAAAAATATATGATATAATATATAAGAATGAGTGATAATTTTTTTTAGTAATACATATTTCTTTATAAAGAAAATAGATAAACATAAAAATATTTCAGAGAACTTGTTATATTTCATTGAACATTCATACATATGTATATGTCTAGAAAATAAAATAAGAATTATAAATATTTTTACTTACTGCACATCCGCTGTATGGTCCAAATCTAGAAAAAATAAACGAAATAAAAAAGGAAACTTTTATATAATATAACTACATTTTTTTTACAAGAAATATTTTTGAGGTTATTGTGATAAAAACATTTCCTCAATATCTTACATTCATATTTTACAGGCGGTATAACAAAATCGTCTTCATTGAGCCCACCCAGTTCTTCGTCCATCATGGAAAAGTAAAATAAAACTTATTTCCAAATATATAAACAAGCCCTCTGAAATGCGACTTGACTCAGCACTGTAACCGATATTTCTTAAAATCGATTATCTTAAAATTTATTATTGATAGTATTTGTAAAACAAATATTTTAAAGGAATACAAAATAAGAAAATCTTTTGAAATCTTCTTAGAACACTGAGAATAATATTAAATTATAGGGATATTCACTGTGAAAACTTAAACAAAACAAAAATGACAAACAAATGTCAACCTCATATGTTTTAAAATGTAGACACAAAATTAGTCTGTGGTACTTTTTTAACACCCGTGTAAAAATATTAAATATTTTATTTTTAATATGCAAATATTATTTATAAAATAATAAAAGTAAACAAATTTTAATTATTTTTTTATTTATTAGCTTTTTATATTTAAAAACCTAAAAAAAACAATAATATAAAAGTTTTCATTGAATAATATTAAGTAAATAATTGTTTTTATTAAATTTAGCTAAAAAGACAAACCGTATTTAAATTGTAATTACTACAGTAGGTTAAAGTAAGAACTTGTTTGTCACTGTCACTTTTAACAGATGATGTCATAAAATTCCAAAAAAATAATAAAACAATAATTGTGTTCTAAATACGAAATTAAATAAAATATATGTCTTCATTTTAGTTGAAAGCATCCCACTACTTTATTTATACTTGTTTTTTTTTTACAATTATACGATATGGATCCCATAGCTGTTTTACAAAGCCGAATTGAGCAACTTGAAGCTAAATTAGGAATAAATGCTTGTAATATTATTGAAGGACAGCAAGGAGACTCGGCTACTGCAAATTTGTTAAACACCGCTCAGGCTATTAACAATGCCACAGCTGAACACGAAAAGCTCAAAGAAGCCAGGAATATGGCTAATGAACTCAACAACTATACTGATCCAAATTTAGCTGAAAATGTAAGTGAAAAGTGTTATATATTATTCATAAAAAATGTGTATATACTTTTCCTAAAACATGAAAATCTAATTGATTTCAGTTGCAACAAAATAATATGCACATGCATGAAGTAGTTGCAGCTGAGCCTGTAATACAACATCATTGTCACTGTATGCATCGCTGTAAACAGGTAAAACCATCTTAGACATCTTAATAGAACATTTTATTATTTTAATAATTTTATATTTTATTATTATATGGTTGTAGGCGGCACCAGTTTTAGAATCTGAGCCAATACAGCAAGTTCCTGTGATGCAAGAAACAGTGAATAAAATGCATTTAGCAGCAGCCGAAGTAAAGGCAGAAGCGGATGCTGTAAGTCATTGACATAAGTTAAAAATTGTCCAAATTGTTCAGGCAAAATCAATTAATAGATAAAAAATAATACTTACAAATAAGTGTATATACATATAATTATTTAAAGAAATGTAGAGGTCAATTTATTGTATTTTTCATCATAAAATATGTAATGATTAATAATTTTTGATATAATTTAAGGTATCTCAAGGTATTCAAGAATTAGCAGAAACTTGTGGAACAGCAGCTTCAAAGACCTCTGAACAACTAGCGGCCGTGGCTCAGAAAGTTAATGAAGTTGAGCAGTCATTTCCTCGGCGCAGAAATGGCCTAGACTAAAGATGTGTTGGATAAAAATACTTTTGTATTTTTCTGCTATAAAATTACTTTGTACTATTTATTAAAAATCAAAAAGTTGCAATTGAGCACAACTGTAATGCTTGCATATTTATTTGTCTGAATATAGGAAAGGAGCATTTAAAGATGTTTTATTTATACACCTTATCCATGACTAAACATTTTATTTTGAAATAGGAGATAAATGGTCGATTCATAATAAGAAAAGCAGTAATTCTCAGGAAGAAATGTAGTGTTAGGGTCCCACATAGTTTACAAACATTTTAAGAAACGCGTGCTTAATGCAGCAATGGGATCTCCTAAGTATTTTCAGCGAAATTCTTACGAACTGATAGTTCTCCTAGATCCTAAATCCTAGATTACGGAGAACATTCAAATTAATCCTCTGGCGGGATAATACATTTTAGAACTTGGCAGGTGGATGTGACGTCACTAACGGTAACCGGCTAGCTTACTGACAGTTATATAGAGTGTATTTTGTCGCAGTATTAGGACCTTCATAAATGTTGTATTTAGGATTTGGCGTGAGTTGTATTTCATTGGTAGCTTTGCAATATATTAGGCATCTTTTGAAGGATCAAGTCTTTATATCTATTAAATATAATTATGTACATTTGCCTTTACAACCATAGACAAACGGTACCTACGTTTTATCGTTTTTGATTGTGACTTTTGAACATTTGTGAAGTTGTCAAACAAAAATGGCAGACGCTGCTGTAGAAACCGCTCCAGCAGATGAAAATGATGATAATTGGTTATATGGAGAATCAGCGAATGAACAAATTGAAACGGAAGCATCAGCTACTGATGAAAAAGCACAGGAGCAGGAAAATTCGAATAAGGAGAGAATAGTACGTTTGTAACAACATAACCTAAATTACGTATTTACTTAAATATTGTGTTATTTGTTATAAGAAATTTCGGCGCTGATTTTTGGTTGTGATCGCACGTCTAGACTATTTAAGTATTGTTTTCTTCAGGATGATGATGTTAAAGAACAGGAAGAGACGGAGACAAATGAAGGTAACAATGAAGACTCTCATTTCAACGATGAACACTTTGGTGAGGTGGACAGAGATGACCAGGACCAGGCGAACGGAGATGCGGACAGTCAGGACAACGGAGACTCAGACTCTGATGATAGTGACGACGTGAAAGTTACCATTGGAGAAATCAAGTCTGGGCCACAAGCTTACGCGAGTTTGAACATAAAAGTGAGTAAGGTTTATGTTTTAAGTAAACCAGACAGGAGACAGTGTTTAAAAAATAAACCTCATGCTGTCGTTGTAACGTTGTAATAGGGCTCGGATACATATGTATTAAAAAATCTAAAATATGTACATAAAATATGGACGAAAAAATAAAAAATATGGAGTATAAAATTAAACACTTTCATAATTAAACATTGTCTTACTATAAGAAAAGGGTCACTCGTGACGTACATCCTTAAGTTACATTTAAAAACTGATGAAAAAAAGTAGCGAAATATCTATTTCAACAAAAAATAACAGTTTCATTCAACTTCCATTACACTAGCACACATTTAAATTATCAAAATTAAAACTCTGACGATTTGGTCGAAATATAGCCTTACATCTGCTGATTGGTCTCATCTCAAGTCACATGATGTGATGGGTGCATACTTAAACATGCTTAATTCAGTAATTTTGTAAGCCATGTCTACAGCCCTCCTAACTTTCGCACAGAATTTTGTTAATTTTTTTAGCGTATTTAATCCTTTATTTTATCCAAAGCATTAGTGGCGGGAACATTAATTTTATGTATTTTTGTGAATATATAGATGATTGTGACATTTTCTTGTAAAATATGGACTTAACTTTGAAATATGGTAAAATATGGAAAATAAAAGTTGGTTTTTCATAGTCTAAATATGACAGTCCATGTAAAAAACACATTCTAGACTGAAAATCGCGTAAATTAAAAATATGTATTTACATATTAATCCGGGCCCTAGTTATGAATATTCATCCTTCAGTTTTTGCTATTAACTATATAATTAAACAAATCATGAATAAATTTGAAGCAGAGGTGAAAGACATATCAAAATACGTATATTAGAAGCCTGTTTAATCATGTTTTGCATTAAAAACTAACAGTAATCTATTCCAGTTAACTTGATTATTTATAATTACAGGAAATAATGCCTTTTTACTTTTTTTTTCTTATTTACTTCCTTTAATTCTTTAACATGTAGAGCATGATGCCTTTTTAATACTTCCTTCCTTATTAATAAAGATGACAAAATTTCTTATCTGTGTGTGTGTCTTTTCTTGAGTTCGTACATCTGCCTCCATAAACATAAAAAATATATAAACAAGAAGATAATATGATATTTTACAACATATAACTATTTATAATTTAATTCACATTAAAATATTGTCATATTCATTGTACATTCCCAGCGTGGTGTTGGCCTTGTAGCAGCTGGAACTGAGAAGCCCCGTCAAGGGCCAGCGGCCGGCAATAAAGTGACTCTTGAAGACTTAGACGGCCCCGGAAGCATCAACGGTGTGCCAGCACTAGAGTTTAATATTGACACGATAGAAGATAAACCCTGGAACAAACCTGGAGCTGATATATCTGGTGAGTATTGATAGAAAATAACATTCTTAGAGAAATAATGAGCAGTTTTAAAAATGTCAGTGTAATTTTATGTAGCTCTATCACATTTGATCTTCTTCTACCTGGCACTTTCCCAGCTTTAGCCAGGGTCTATCACATTCGATGTACACTACAAAACTAAATTAAAGTCAAAATACATGTCGCTCATCCAAAAGAATAATGACACAATTACCAAAAAGTTGAGAGAGTGAAAATGAGTTTTTGATGGCATGACTTTATATTTTGCAAGTTTTATTGGTGGTAAAAACGACAGAATTGTTTCTCCATTAGAGAAATTCCATTCCGATAGAGAGTCATTGTTGTTATGGTTTTGGCCTATTTTACTTTTGGTACCACATAAACATCGACGTATGTATTTGTCAGAAATTGTTAGATTAAAGAATCATTGTGATATTATTTCATATTCCTACCAGTTTATAATAATTATGCTTCTTAAATATTATGCTACTCTTAGATTAAAGTACAAGTACATACCTAATGGTACCTGGTTAAAGATGCCTTTAACCGTAATTTCTCTTGATCTCACTATTACTTTAAACACTACCCAGATATCTACTTATACAGGGTGACTGGTGAATTACTATCGATACTTGAGGACGTGATATTTGACGATCATATATGACAAAATAAAAATTAATATAACATAAATAGTAATAAACTTCTAAGTAAAGTTAACCAAAAGTTATGTAATTAATTACGCATCGTGTGAACACCCTACAGATTAGGTATACATACACACACACACACGCGTGCGGTGGCGTGGTGTTGTATCAGCACGCCGCCGCGCGCGTCCACACATGGAACACTTGGAACGTGTCCACGCTTTATTTATTTATACGGAAATTTTGTCAAAAAGTACCTATTTTTTTTACATAATTCGAATGAGAATCATGTACCGAGTAGGTATTCTCCTTAAATATTGATAGTAATTCACCGGTCACCCTGTATAGATTTATTATTTTCAATATTAGATTTAGTTACTTAGATTCTTTTAACAATAGTTTATTTGAGTTTTTAAACTAGAGATTTTTGTAATACTTATTTTTGTAAAAATATTTTTTTTATTTTAATAGTTATCTTAATTTTGTTCGCAATCTTTTTACATAATGTTATTGATGCTAAAGTAACACAACATAACCATTAAAATATATCAACAGTATTATTGGAAATATACATTATTATTTTCGATGTCAAACTTTTAAAACGCTCTACTGATCGCAAAAACGTAATTACGTCAATATTCTTTTGTATGAGCGATGTATTTGCTAAGTAGCCATGTATGACTACCAGAATTTCAGAACCTAGTATATAGAGTCATCTACCTAAATTATATTTGACCCCACCAAGTACAACTAATACACATTTATGCAATGACAAGAATTTTTATAAATTATTTTTATTCAAAGTATTTTTGTCTATGGATTAATAAATTGCTTTCCAAACTACAGTAGCCTATCTTTGGTATAACTTAATAATGAATAATATGTGTAATGTTTTTAGATTACTTCAATTATGGTTTCAACGAGGTGACTTGGAGCGCGTACTGTGAGCGTCAGAGACGGATGCGTGTGAGTGAGGCTGGCGTCGCTCTACACGTCGCGCCTCCGCCCCGCGCCGTACCAACTGATAGGAGGCAACAAGGTCTGTATACTCATGGTTATCAAGTCACTTTGCTAAGACTGTAGGCTCAGTTGAAGCATTATGTACTTCAATAGATTATGTTATTAGATGCATTATTATGTACAAGATTGTTACTCTAATGATGTAATTATTTCTACAGCTTCTTTTTTACAGAAATGTTCTGATTTTAAAAATAAAAGTAGATAATCAAAGATTGTCAATGCTATCTTTGATTCAAGGAAAGCCTTTTGAACCAACAATAAGTTCAAAAATGTTTAATAATATGTTTATGAAGAATTTAATTTCTTAAGTGTATTTGTCATGTCTTGTTATTATTATTTTCAGGTCCACCGAGACATGACGACATGCCGCCAGGGATGCAGAATAACTACCAGTCCAGAGAGAATACTATACAGGTACAGAACATAAACTAGTTGTCATTATATATTAAAATCTAAATGAACTGTTAATTAAAATTATATATCCTGAAGAGTTACAATGACTAACCTTGAAATGATTATTAACAAGTCGATACCTCCCCCGTAAGTTGTCGTATCTCTAAAAGTGTAATTTTACAGTAGAGCGTTTCAAAGATTCAAATCAAACCAAAATCTGCATTTATTGATGCATCTTGTTAAAATTTCGTATTTAAATTTAACATAATAGTCTCCTTAACTACGTTAAAAGATATTTCAATTAATATGCCTATTTTGCGGAGATATTGTTGGTATATTGTTCATACGACATTTTATTCCGGAGTAGAAGCAAGAAAGGTGTTGTATCTGATACTTACATTATACGGCGGCGCCCAGGTAGCACCACTTGTGGTATATGATAGTTACAACTGTTTACGTTGAAAATAATAAGTCTTACTCTGTTGTATGTAACCAATACGCGGCGCGACTTTTAAAAAAAAGGAATTGGCCAAATTGGTCCAGGTGTTTAGTTATGTGGTTACCAACACATTTTGCGATTCATTTTTATATTATAGACGATGATGTTCAGGCTAATATCGATTTATATTGTGATGACTGAATATCATGTTGTAGGTGATGACAGCCGAGCGTCGTGAGTACGGTCGCGGGCAGGTGCGCGAGGCTGCGCCCCCCGCCGACTACTTCAGCGCCCCGCCCCCCGACCACTACTACCAGCCGCCGCCGCACGCTCCACACATGCCCCCGCATCAACATACACCACACTCATACGAGGAGCCTTGGGGTATTTTTATTTATTTATATTTGGGAAACATACAGTGTGTTATTACATAGAATTAAGAATTATTTCTAAATCATAAACCAATAAAGTTTCTACTTAAAAATAGTACAAATGTTAGAGAATTCGTGTAAAAAAGACAACAGAAAGAGACAAAATTACAATTTATGAGTACAATCAAATCAACTAATTACAAAATTAAAAAAAAACACAATTTACATAAATTAAATTAGAATAATAATAATGAACATAAATATCAACAATATAATTAAAAATATTTAAATTTGATTTTAACAATTAAAGTAACATGTGAAACATCAATTTATGGCAAGTAATTGATTCAGTATACATATACATTATTAATTTACAAAACAATATTAATTTTATTAATTATTATTAATAAAATTAATAATTATTATTTATTAAACAAATATTCTATTAACAATTTTCTTAATTTATTAACATTCTCTATTGCAAAAAGGTCAAATTCGCTAAATCGTTCATTGTAATTGGTGCAGGCTCTGTATGAACAAATAATGAATATTCTCTAACATTGTTTCAGTTAGATAAAACATTTTTTTAGATTTGACTAGCTCGAAAAAGATTATCTTATTAAATTATTCCAGTAAATCTGCCATATTATTCGGTTTCGCATGTACTATACACATCCAAGTATCCAGCAAATATGATATACATATTGTTTAGGTATCTCTCTGTATATTATTATTTCTGTAACTTGAATAATATCTGGTTACCGAGCTTTGCTCGTTACTTAGGGATTATTAGTATTTATTTTATATGTTTTTTTATTTCGTGTAGGCATTTTTAAGTGAACACGTCAAGAATACACAAAACAATATAAATAAACAATTAATTTTTAGTTTAACCTCAAAACAAACACTCATTCACTTCCTGTTACTAAACAACGCCATCTGCTGTTGTGTCATTAAAGCAATTAGCAAAAAGTAGTATTATTATTCGCTAATAGATGTCAGAGAGTCATATTTTAAACGCCTCCTTTTATTGTTATTAAACTGGAAACTGTATCATGTATCATGTAAACTGTATACTTGTATATATCTAGTTTTAAATCTCTAATAATTTAAAAGCTGTTATAAGCGATGCTGTATTATACAATTTACAAGATGTATACTGTATACTTCAAGTATTCTCCTCACTTTATAAATATCATCATGAAAGGAAAATATTAACCGCAACAAAAATCTATTGTCTGTCAGCGGACCAAATGACTGACAGACATATACAAAATGAGCTTGTTACTAATTTCTTTTATTATATAAAAAAAGTGAAATCTAATTGACTATTAAAATACACAAATGCATACACACTTACCTACACACGACACGCTCACACCCACACACACACACACACACACACACACACACACACACACACACACTTACACATTCACTCACACACAACGAACAGTCTTTCTAAATAGATTAGTGATCCATTATTTATTGTACTTAAGTTACGTTTATGTTTATACTTTTACTTTAACTGTGTAATCCTGTATTGGTCTTAATATTATTTAGTTATACTTTATCATGTCATTATTATAAGCACTGTTGGATTACCGAAATAAATAAATATTTCCAGGTCACCCGGAGCAGACAGGCTGGGCTCCGTCAGATATAAAGGAACTAACTCCCGGACCCATGGGGCCGCCGATGGCGCTCGGCATGCCGCCCGTACACATGCCCGCACCCTACCCTACATACCGCTCACACGTTACACACACACACGAACGAGACCGGGACCGGGAACGAGACCGAGACCGGGACCGGGACCGGGACCGACGGGACCGGGACCGGAGGGATGAGGTGTGTAAGGTAGATGAATGATTGAATGAACCTAATAAGACATGGCGTCCGAATGAAATGATCTTATGTTGACATAGAGGGCGCTGTGAGAAATCCTTTTTATAAAAGAATTGAGTAAATAGTGATGTTAGTAAAAAGGAGATACATAAATTAGAATACAAATGAAACTATGCGGGAAAAACGAGAAATGTCAGTAGGTCAATAATCTGAGAAAAGCTAATACTAAAGTTTGAAATTCATACATATCTTGATGTTTAAGCATGAATAATGACTATTAACACATTTCGGTAGTGACTACTATTGAGATTAATTTAGTATATTTTTTTAAATTACTGTTTTACAGTCAATAAATTTGGAGCTCTCAAATAAAAAAAGGCAACATGGTTATTGCCAGTGGCGGCTGGTGGGTTATCGAACTGGTGGTGCACTTTACTAAAATTTTAAAATCAAAAAATGCAACAAAAAACCAATTGACATAAAATTTGATTATTTTTTATACATTAAATCAATGCGACGACATTTTTCTGAAGCGAAATATTCAATCACCTTTTTATTAAAATCGGGTATTGTTTGTATAATTATTTTTTTCAATACTAAGCATAGAAAGTGCATTTAGCAAGTGCATGGTATTTCGGAGAAAAGTTTTGATTCTTTTCAATTCCAATTCGTCATACATCGGGTGCTCTCGGTAATCTTCGGCCGCTCGTGCGGCGCTCGAGAACCGACTCATTACTCGGTACATTTCTATGAACTATCTTTTGTTTCACGCGCCAGGCGTATTAATTCGTGTCTCATACAACATGTATTAGCCGTCCTCGTGCACTCGCCGAAGCGCACGAGATATTAGTTTAGTAAAGCGCTCAAACTTTTTGACTATAATTAGAAATTTAATTTTTTATACTTGTAATATTTTTTGTATGTTTGGAAAATAAATATTAAAATGGTAATTTAAAAATAAAGATAAAGTAATATTTTGTAACTTTTAATTCCTTTGATTTGGTGGTTCAGCGCACGAGTGCACTTAAGGTACAGCCGCCACTGGTTATTGCAAAAAACTAGGAATGTCAATGACTGTCCCACTTTTATCAAGTGCACATAAATTGTAAAAGTAATCATAAAGTAAATTATTCAAAGCTAGGCTATAGTAGGGATTTTAATTAATTTAACATTTACTTTGAGGTAAACCATCAAATAGAATTTGAGCTTCAGCAGTACAGAATGTCTTTAGAACTTGCAAATCATCATATTTTGCTTCTTGATATTTTTAGTTTATCTAACACAAAAAAAGCATAATAATTTTCGTTATTTCTCATATTATTGAAAACAAATATAAATACAAATTAGTATGAAATTTATACATACCATTGTACATGGCATCTGGAAGGTAAATTTCTCCCTCAGGCAATACTAGCAGCACAACAGAACTCTTTTTACTAACCACAATAACTGATTTTATATAGCAACCATTGTAAGAAGCCCGACGCATATATATCTTGGATGATTGCTGCTGGCATATAGCTGACGTATTTCCTGAATTTTAATTGGGCAAAGTTTCTTATATGTTTCAAGAGACTCCAAAAATTTGTCGAATTTCTAACTATAGTAGAATCCTCTTCCTAATTAATGACAGTAAAAGGTTCAGGTTTGTTTCGAGCATTGGATAATAGATCATAAAATTGTTTAGGAGTTTCTATTCTTGTTTTCAGTTTTACAAGTCCAAAGTTTTGGTCACACTCCATATAAGAATGACCACGAATTGGAAATGTGATTGTAACTTTATCAAAACGCTTTACTTTGTGGACAATGAAGTGGATAAATTTTATCATTTTGTAATTCTTATTCTGGCCTCCAGCAGAATCACAAAAGATGTCTAAATATTTCATCTTCTTATCCAAATAATTCATAATGTAATTGTATAAAAATGACATAACTTCTGTAGAACCCTTTTTAGCTGTAATTTCAGAATACACATAAAAGTAAGACTTGCCATTTGACAATGTGTATATGTGTATATTAATGTGTACATATATTAAAGGAAAAAAATTACAATTGCCTGCGATAATAGACATCATTAGTACTGATATTGGGCAAGGATACATTTTTCTGATAATCTATTGCTATAGCTTCATAAGTTGGATCTTGTCTAGTTTGATTCTTTGCTGCTGACGTTCCGCCTTCTTAGCAAGGACGCGTAGACTTTCCTTGTTTTTAACAAGTCAGTTCAAATGAAAAATTGACGACTGCAACTGACTGTCCATATTGTTGCTACAACAGAATAGCGGCACCAAAACTATACACAAAGATCCACTAGATGGCACTGTCAGAAAAATATCGACAAAATACTGACATTCCTTATTTTTCCCGCATGGTCTTCAAATGTAGAATATAAATGTAATCTAAATAATAACACGTAGTTAAAATTTATCTATGTTTACTATTTCCTTTTATTATTAATAATTGACACATATCTACATACATACGTTAATACACACAGACATACTAATATAATATATGTCATTACAGGAGGAAAGAGACAGGGATCGCGAGCGTTCACGATCCATTAAACCGGAGAGGATACGAGAGAAGTGAGATATACTATTTAATATATTACACATTATATAAATAAGTCATACAAATACAGTAGAAGCCCTTTATTCGCGGGGTATATGTTCCATAATTTTGCCGCGAATACAGAAACGGTGAATACGGAATGGTAATTAATGGGATTATAGGGGATACGTTCCTAGGTGACTAAAAAAACAACAAATATATAAAAAAATATTTAATTTAAGTTTTTGAACATTTGAATTAATTATCTTAAGGCTTAGGCAATGGTTTGAAGAATTTTGTAAATTTTTCTCGCTTGGCAGTTTTCAAAAGCTCTTCAATTCAAACTGATATACAGCAACCGCATTAGCAATTTTCCTCTTAAAAATGAGACTTCGATCCATGGACGGATCAATGTTCATGAAGGAATCGCAAAGCTCATTTGCCATTCTTAAACCTTCACTAAGATTTTTCAAATTCTTAAATTCCAGTGTTTGTTGAAGCCTCTTCTTCAATGGGCTGTGAATTTAACATTTCCTCCAAGTCGGTTTATTATTGAGTTATAGGTTGCTTTCATTCTGTTTGTTTACATTCTCAAAAACACCGCTCGCGGCGAAGGCGGCATTTGTCAGTTCTCTGCGATATCATTTAACAACATACTTATGGTTAAGTTGTAATAAGATCTATTTTACTTTTTTATTAGTCCATATGACAAGTATATTGTGTTAGATACTTATTGGAATAATTTTATTATTATGTATGTACTTATTAGATCCGCGAATAAAGAAATTTTTAGTCGCGAATATAGAAAATGGGTAGCATTTTTTGAATCAGCGAATAGAGAAAACGCGAATAAGGTGCTTCTACTGTAACTAAAACACAATCGGAATCTGTAGTTTATGCTTGAGTAACGTCGACTAACATGTCCAATGTTACAGATCGTATCGTCGTGAGCGGTCTCGTTCCCGTTCCCGGCGCCACAAGTCCCGCTCCCGGTCCCCGAGACAACGGGAACGATCCCGGGACAGGGAGAGGAGCATGAAGCCCAAGAACAAGGACGCCAAGGAAAAGGACGAAGATAAGTGATAGCGACCACACTACACGACACTAGCTATAAGAATATCATAAACATTTGTTTAAATAAATAGATTTACTATTTAATTTGTATTTTATTTTTAAATACATCTTACTCGCCTATTCTTCATACCTTATTGTTCCTATGAATTCTTAACATACCGAGACTATCAATCGAATGAATAATAATATTTTTGATCCCGTCGCCTTACCAAGCGATAACTGGTATTTATTACCTTTTTATTCGAAGAGAATCAGTTTTTAGGGAATGACTTTAATATTTACATTATATGCTAAAACTTCCTTAACCTGGCTTCAAAGTAATATTTCCTCTTTTTAATATACGCTGTATATTAAAATACATACTTTATTCATATGTATAAAAAAATAACAAAATTGCGTTTTTTTGCTCAAGATTTGTGAAGGAAAATATTTTATGTTACAGTCATTTTTATTTCGTTCACGAACGCCGGTAAAGAAATTCAAGTTAAACGAAGCGTGAACCGTCAAGTTTTAGGTAATCGTTTCAAGTGAAAAAGCGATTTAGTTTTTTTTTTACGGTTAAAAATTTATCGATTACTCGAGAATTAAATACGAAGACACAAACATTTTGTAATTTATATGAATGCAAGAAATAAGTTAGAACAGAATCAAACATATTATTCATGATATCTATCCTAAAGTATTATCTTATTTTTTTATGAATTGGATTGTCAACTTACGTAATGGTCAGTGGAAATGTAAAATAAAAATTTATAATTTTGAGCCATGAAGACATCGAAATTTTACGTGGAAGGAAACAGCAAACTGTTCTGATCTTTGGAGTCCGTAAGAGAAAATGTATGGTTACATACTCTTACAAGAAAAAAAAGAGGCTCCTGCACTCTGGTTCTCTTACAAGTAGTTCAAAGCGGACCAGATTTTAATAATAAAATTAGTGCAATCTTTTATTCAATAAAACAATTTCCGGCAACATTAATTTTTATTACTTTTATTTAGACATCCCACACAGAACGGTAGTCCATTTATAAAATAAAGTTTAATGCATTCAATATATGTGTGAAAATTCATATGAAACAAATATTAACAATTTTACGTCTAGTTTAAAAAAAGCTACAGGTGAAATCAACCGAGGAAAGCAATTACTTTGTATAATAAAAATAAAAACGGAAAACGAATCGAAACGACTTCGTAACTCGTTATTCGGCGCGAAATCGTTTGTGATTTATTCATATAACATCAGTATTCCGTTCTGTTACAAAAATCCATATTTTTCTGTTTAGTTCGCGGCACAACGACTTCAAAATTCAAATTCTGTTGTTGAAATCAATAATTGGTATTTCATGACCTGACGTGACACATGTACTGCATCATTTAAGGTATTTTTATATTAATTTTATTATATCTTAAAAAAAATATTAATCATTAAAATGTTATGTTGTGATTCATCTTTTTTCAGTAACAAATTAATAGTCTGGTCATTTTATACATATAATATGTATCTACCACATATAGTAGGAAGTAGGAACCAATTAAGAGGTAATTAAACGTCGGCGTGAGCAGAGATTAATATCTCCACAAAACAAGTTTTATAGCAGAACTAAATTTTATTATATATTTTATTAAGTTCTGATGGTAGAAACTAGTAACTGTAGTTAGCGTAGATTATTTAGTTACATTCGAAAGTGATTTTCGACCGCAACTTTTCCATTTTTATGAGAGTATCATTAGATATGAATTGCTTTCGTGACAACCAAATTTTATACGTTTAATTTATTATTTAACTTTTTTTACTCTTAATAACATATAAGAAAAAAATTGCTGTGAAGATAATTTTGTTATGTAATATTAATTTAATAGATAATTTTAGATAATAATATAATTTTTATAAGATAATTTTGTTATCTAATATTTTATTTAATATTAAGGTTGAATTCTAAATTTAAATCACTTAATAATAAAGAATAAAAATTCAGATCTAATTAATAACATACAGTAACTTTCAACTATGTGTTATAGAAGTTTTTAAAAGACAAACTGATTGACGCCTTCCTTATCATCTTTTACTGTTCGATATAATAGGTATGATAACAAGCCCTCGGGTCACTTTAAGGTGTGATCCTTTTTAATAGAATTACATATTTAGAATATCATTCAATATTTCTCGTTAGTTTGTGTCGAGTGTTGTATGCGGGGGTGCGGGTTCGTGTACGTGTTGTAATAAAACGCCAGGTGCTTTGTAATATTATTACAGAAATGCTTTATTAATTAATGTCTAAATAGATGGATCACCATATAAATGTTATCTAGTACAACCTACAAGACGGGACGGCTGGAGCCGCGATAAGTTACACCTCGTCGCTCTCGACGCCCCGCCTCTCTCCATAACATACAGGTTTTACAAATCATCTTGTTAACATTTTTGTACAGCCATATACAATAATTTTATTTTCAATTACATCTAGACGTAAAAAATCTGAGGTGTCGTAGGAAACTACGCTTCCTATAAAAATAATTACAGACGGGGAATGAGGAGCTACGCTTGTGACGTGCGACCGGCAAGGCGGACCTCGGGCTACTGTCAGCACAGCACTAACAATCATCACTATAAGGACGTGCGCGCACACACCTGCCTCGGGCCAACTAAATAACTTAAGTTACACGTAACACATAAAAATATACAAAAATAATAATTCAAAAACTATACACTCCGGCGCTAAGAATATTCGATAAGCTATGTACGATTTTAAAGCCGGTATTAAACTTAAACGAGAGCTTGACTTGAACACTACACAAAATAATAATAAAATCACGACTATAGTGCCGATTGTCTAGAACTGCCTGCGGCATTCTTCATCACTCCCAAGATTCAAGGTCCCCTAGCCCAGCTAACAGTAAATCTACAACGAGCTACATTACGGAGAAGCACCGTCTCATCGAGACCGCAGCCTTCCTTCGATTCATAAATTACACGAGAATGAGAGACTTTCAAATATTTATACATAGATTCATACGAACAACGAATAATACTAGAACACTTAAGAACTAGAAACGCAAAAATCGCTACGCCGCGGTGAGGCGACGGCCGAGCGCCGGTCGGCGTCCGTCGCTGTACAACTATCGTTTAGTAAACAGTTATCGTATCGTTCTGTACATCAGTCTGCCGCTATATGTACAGGGCGCCGTCCGGGCGACGAGCTCTATACTTACAAATGTACAATCGCAAATATTCACAAAATTTATAATAGGCAGGGATCACCCGCGCCGTCGCATCAGCCTACTCCGCGGACGTGGCCACTCGCTCACACACACTACAGGACCGGGTTGGGCGGCGGCGGCCCGATGGGGCCCAGCTCGGGCGCCTTCATGAAGAACTTCTCCAGCTTGGCGATGATGTGCTTCCCGTACGTGTACTTGCGCAGCGAGCCGATGTGGGGCCGGATCTTGTGCATCAGCACCTTCCGCTGCGTCGGCTCCGCCACGTCGATCATCTTCTGGACCACGTAGTTGGCGTACTGGTCCTTCATCATCACGTGGAGAGCGCTGCGGAATACAAATCATTAACGACCGTTCACACATAGCTCGTACGGTACGAGTAAATATCATAATGTATATCATGGCACGTCTCTCACTTATCGTTAAACCCGCACAGCTCGTCGATGAGCAGGGCCCGTTCGTTGCGCGTGGCGTGCGTGACACACTTCTCGACCACGTTGGAGGCGAACTTGTGCTGTGACAGCTGCAGCACCTTCCCCCGCACGCCGGCCACCAGCCGCGACCTGTCCTCCGCCGCGCCGTGCTCCAGCACGTGTTGGACCACGTAGTTACCGTACTGGTCCTGTACACACACGGATACATCGACTTAATATTAATAAACTACTTCCACATATATAAGGGGGCTCTCAGTGTGTGTGAGGCGTGTACCTGTATGAGCTGGTCGGTGTGCGCGTGCAGCTCGGCCAGCACGGGCGCGGTCTGCTCGGCCGTGCAGTGCTCCAGGATGCGTTGTATCACTCGGCAGCCGTAGGGGTGAGTCGACAGCGCGTACACTTGGCCAGCAAACGCGTTTATTATAAACTGTAACGCCGCCGGTTCGACGCACTCTATACATTTTTGTACCTAGAAGAGACAACCAAATACGTAATCAACCGATATTCACAGATACCTATTTTTTGTATACATATATACTAGAAGACTATAATTGACATATTAGTTAGTTGTCAAATCTAACGTAAAAAAAGCGTTTGTATCAACAACTACTAATAAATTAAAAATTAATTAAAAAAACATTGTCCAGCGAACAAAATTGTGAATCTAAACCATTCCCAGATCCCCTTGAACACACACAAAAAATTTCATCAAAATAGGTCCAGTCATTTGAGAGAAGTTCAGTGATATACACACTCATAGAAGAATTATACATATATATGTATGTATATCCAGTGAGCGGTGTGTACTAACCACGTGGTTCCCGTTCTGGTCCTTGACACACTTGAGCACGTGTCCGTCCAGCTCGCGCACCACCTCCTGCTGCTGCTCGGGCGGGATGGACTCCAGCGCCTTCTGTATGACCCGACAGCCGTACATCTGCAGCGCCAGCGCCAGCACGTGTCCGCGCACCTGCAACACCAGTGTACGTTGTATCATAAGCTACACGTTTAACTCTAACTCTCGTATCATCATTGTTTGAGTGTGTGTATGTGTGTGTAGTTATCGTATGTGTCTTTATATATACCTTTTGAGCTAACGTCGTCTTCTGTTCCGTCGTGCCGAACTCGAAGAACTTCTGTATAACATAGTTTCCGAACACGTCCGTCATGAGACTGTACGCGGCGCCGATAATTTCATTAAACACCATCTGTTTCTCTTGAACTGTTGCTCTCTCTAACTTCTGTTGTATAAACCTACAAAAGAAAACAATCGTTAAGTATTATTGTCCCGAGAGTCGTTGATCGAGTTAACCTACGACCTGTCATATTCTTAGAATATTTAAAGCAATATAACGTCACATTAGAATGATAAAAAAATATTAACCGAATTGTAACAACATGATATTAAAAAATAATTTACGGACACCGATCCAAAATAAATCGATATCATATGAAATACAAATTACCAACGACATCACGTAGTTCAAGTCAAAAGTATAAATATTTGAAGGTGTGTACTAAGTAAATTCTCGTGTTCTCCTCCGATATAACCATTACATATATTAGTAGGTGTAGGACATTGTCATCAACACTGCTATGTTATAATCTACTACGTCCGCGTGGAATAGTGTCTTCCGGCAGATTTTTGGTTCTTCCCACATAGTTCCCGTTCTTGCGGGGTTTTCGGAATGGTCGAGTTCCCGTAGAATTTTCAGGATAAAACCTATGTTTTTTTTTAAATTCACAATGAAGTACTCTTAACCAACAACATATTTATTTGTTTATTTGAATAAATATGTTGATACAACTTAAACAAATTATTTAGACCAAATTAGGTACCATAAAAACGGTTTTTGTGAGTTAATCTTAAAATATAGACATATACTGTCGCGGACTGTGTTTTAGATCATTAAAAGAGCCATTATTCTTTAATACATATTTTTTGTGTATCTAGAACCGTTTTCACGGCGCATGCAACGGAAGGCTTCAAAGATGAAATAATTTCACCCGTTTTTTACACATTTACCACTTTATCTTTGCTCTTATTCGTCGTAACGTGATGTTATATAGCCCACAGCCTTCCTCGATAACTGGACTATCCGACACAAAAACAATTATTCAATTCGAACCAGTAGTTTCGGAGATTAGTGCTTTCAAACAAACAAACAAACAAACTCTTCAGCTTTATAATATTAGTATAGATTATTATCTGTGTCTGTCTGTGTGTGTGTGTGTGTGTGTGCGCGCGTGTGTCAGTACCTGGAGCCGTGCTGGTCCTGTGAGAACTCCACGATGTGGTTGGCCAGGTCCCTCAGCTGCAGGTTAGGGAAGCGGTTGTTGCGGAAGTCTTCTAGTAGCCGTGAGCGTCCAGCGGCCGGCTTATCGCCCGCCACCAAAGCGCCCACCCCACCCACGCCCACGCCGCCCACGCTCCCCACACCACCACCGACCAGCTCTGGAAACACTTCAGTACATTACAAACTATTTTAAACGATTTCTTCTGTTTATATTTTTCATTAACTTAAGACGCCAAATATTAAAATTAATCTATGTTAAACACAATACCAAACTAGCCTGCCCTGCATTTATAAACGATTAAGTGTTTATAAAGTGATTGTAATGACTTAATTCATTATAACATGACATGTTTATATACAGTTATTTCTTTATATACAGCCAGTACACAAAACGACATTTCTCATGATGTCATTGACATATACATACATACGTATGTTTATATGAGTGTGTTTATTCAATGTTTGTGTAGTGTGTTTGCCTTCTTTACCGTCTAGTTAATAAGTATCTAATATTTATTCCGTGATCTCTTCATATATATACGAGTAATGTTACCGTGAGATGCGGAGTCATCTTGTATTCAATAAAATCTATAAAATCGCCTTCTTTATGAGCGACCTCAGCAGTAAAAGCGACATTAATTACACTTTATTAACACGACATTGGTTCCGACTGAAAAATATATTCAATATAAGTAAATTTATCATCATAGTTGTATTATGTGTAAACTTTGCCGCTAGTGACGTCACGGGGAGTCTTCAGTAACTCCACCTTACTGTAAAATAAAGAAACACTCATGGCAACATGTATGACAGATACAAAGTGGTATTCGTATGTTATTGAAATTATTTCTGTTATAATTCACAAAAAAGAGATGTTATTATAAGCGTCAATTTTATGAGGATGTCATTTCGCCTTTAAAGGGAAAAACTGATGAACTGATTTTGGTGAAACATTGCAATACAGTTACAAGTAGATTATAAACCGGTATAAATAATATGGAAAGTTATCCTTAAAATCCGAGTAGTTCTCGAGGGACGGAGGAGTTAGTCTTGTATTTTATGAAGTCGTATATATTTCTCAAGCAAAACTTTGGGTTTAATTTAATTTTCGCAACCGAAGTCTGGGCGAAAGCTACTATAAAACAGTATTGTATATTTGCGATCGGCTCACGTGCTCGATGTACATATTGACGTCACAACCACTCGCAAATTGTTTTCCTTTTTCATTAAATAATAAAATGAGTACAAAAAAAACATCTATACTAAAAACGTATTTTTCTTCCATTTCTGTTAAAGTAAATATGAAATATAATTTAATTGGTTCTTGTATTATACATAAATCATTTTTTCTTCATAAACCATGCATATATAAGATACATAACTGTGGTTGTATATACAGATGGTACTATAACATTGTACAATACATAAAAATAACTTTTCCACTCCAGTGCTAGTTCGTTTACAAAGTGTGTACATATCAAAAATAATTGCAAGCTTGTCAATTAACGGAAACATTTTTTTGCTGACGATACGTTAAGCTACACTTATATATATTTATACAGACACATTTTTAACATCGAATGTTTTGACAAAAAACCAGCGGACGATAGTAGAGGCCGTACTTTTGTTTCGTATAAAACTTTCCGTGTGGTCTATTTTTATGTTAAATAAAAAACTTCACCACACACAATAATCGATCGCTCGTATATTGAGTGTTTCTAGTGTGTGGGAGGCCGATGATATTCTCAGTGTATCGGGCACAAGGAGAATGTAATGCCGTGTGTACCTAGTGTTATGGTACATGTAGTGGTACGTCCAGAGTGTACACCCTACACAGTACATGTATGGTTGCGGGGTGTATGTGGTACCAACCTGAGATGGTTCCGACACCGCTCAGTTTGCTCAATAGTGATGACGACGAACCGAACATTCCACTGTTGGAGGTCAGGCCTTGCGCTAAACTGCTCACTCTGCAATATACGTACATGACAATCAATACACACGATACGATATCAATAACATCACGTTACCGTCGCGGAGACGTGTCCGCGGACGGTCCGCTGTGGGGGAACACAAACAACACACGGACACATTACACTAAACGTATTATATCATGTACAATGAACAATATACAAAGCTATTTACACATCTTAGATGACGGCTCATCATGATAGTTATCCTCGTGTCTCCCTGCGTGTTATATATAACTGTTGTAACTACATATGTATATATACAGGTGTGTCAGACTGTAGGTGTACCTGTACTTGGCGGTCTCGGCCCCGGGCGCGGCGGACACCGGCCGGAGCCCCACGGGTCCGAGGGCCCCCAGCGGCGGGGACAGCGGTGAAGGCCCCCACTTGCGCGTGTAGTCCTGCAGGCCCCCGCCGAACTCCAGCGAGTCCCTCCTGCCGGCAGGGCCGCCCGCTCCTCCGGCACACGCTCCTGTAACCACATACATCCCTGTCTCTCTCTCTCTGTCTCTCCTGCTCTCTCTGTCGCTCAATTCTGTACAACACTATGTACAAACTTGAACTAGTCCTCTGTGTGTGTCACCGTTACATAATAATATATATACATAACATGAGAGGAGCTCATCATCAACATCAGCGCGGTGCCGGTGTCGATGTCAGCTCCGTTCACATTCCTTCATATCTACATCTATCGTCTACTGTCAATATATATTCGACTAAGTTACTTGACATGGTAACACGAGTGTGTTTTAAATGAAATAAGGAAAGTACAGGATTATTCATGGATGGAACATTCCATATGAAACAAGATGTTCATACATAGAAGCGTCTTTGAATGCAATATATGTATTTACATAAAAATGTATATAGCTATAATGAAATCATGCTGAATATTATGTAATATTATCTCTACTCGGTACTATACGTACGTTTCTAATTAATCGGACCAAAAATACAGTTATTTAAATGAAATCTATTCGATTCTACGTATAAAAAGCGTAAATTTTTTTAGTGTATAAAGTGTTTCAAAGCAACATTCCAGATGAACATACTAATGTTTATTTATTTAAGCTCTGTTTTAAAACCTGTTCTTCGTTAATCAAATGGATGCTTTATATTTATATAATACATGTATATGTAACTATAACCCAATCTCTATCACTTAATGGACCGACGCCCATGTCTCACCTGTCCCCATAAATCGTCTATGAACCATCACATCTTTAAATATCTTTACAAATCTTTTTGTTTATCTTTTATAATAAAGAAAAACAAATATAAAATATTCACGATCAATTAAATCTTCATAAAAATCCTAATGTAAATATATGGAAACCTGTACATATTTACCTCGTCGTATATAGAAATGATAGAGAAAATAATATTACATTTTTTAACCCAATTGAGTCAACAAGTATATAGGAATCATTTTTTATGATAATTTACAAAGGATGATGTTTTAAATATTTAAATGTATTTATTAAATATCACGGATAGGTCTGTTTGTCTCTATGTATGTTCGTATCTCGAAAGTGTTTCAAAATCAAATAATATTTATCTGTTGTGAAGACTTTGCTGTATATATTATATAAGTGTGTATGAGTTACATACACAATGTATATAATATTAAACTCGTCAACGCGACGGTGAGTTTCTTACATCAACCATGTTAACTCACATATAATTTATCATCAAACTTCACAAAGACGAAAATATTGTTTAGGAATCATTTTCATTATTATTTTAGAAAATAAAAGTATCTCCAAACTCTCACGATAATAATATGTTTGTATGGACAACAAGTGAATGCCTTTACATTTACGATAATATTTATAATATGTCTACTAGTTTAATATTTCATTATAATCTTTAAACAAGTTTCTTTGGTCATATTTCATATAACTGTTAAGGAGTTGTATGTAAAGTCAACCCAAGTTCTAATCTATATTAGTGTCAGTGTGTGTGTCGTTGTTGTCCTCACCTGGTTGTTGTTGTTGCTGCTGCTGCGCGGCCGGTTGCGGCGCGGGCGTGGCGGCGGGGTGTGCGGGCGCGGGGTACTGTCTGGGCGCGAGCACTCCTCCGGGCGACACCAGCCTCAGCGGCGTCCCGTTCCTGCCGCCCATCACCAGCGAGCCGGGGTCGTAGTAGGGGATCACGTACTGTCCCTGGCCGTTCACTTGCTGCTCGCCCTGCTGCGGCGTCAGAGGGCGCCGCGGCTGCTGGGCCTGCTGCTGTGCCGGCTGCGCCACCAGCCCGGGGTATACTCCCCAGGGCGCCGCCACTCCATAGTATGGCGGCACGCCCGCGATCAACGCGCTCACGTACGGCGCGCCTTCCTGGCCGGCGTTGATCACGTACGGCGCCTGTGTGAAAGCCTGCTGTGCGGCGAGCTGTTGCTGCAGCTGGAACTGCTGTTGTTGCTGTTGCTGCAGCAGCTGTAACTGTGCCGCAGCAGCCTGCCCGCCGGCCGCCGCCGCCTGTTGCGAACGGAATAACTGCTGTAACAAAACAAAACAATATTTCAATATGCGGTAATTAAAAAACATAAACATTCAATGTTCCCTAACTATTGTATCTTAATTGATATATCATATTAATTAACATTCACACAGTTACTCTAACACAACGCGTACCGCCTGCCTGATCTCAGTCGTAACATGTAACAGCTTCCCCTGGCCGCATATCGTAAACTCCTACATGTTTAATTAATACTGAACGGTATCGCTAACTGTTCGTTCGGTTGTTGTGTATCTTTTGTTTTGTTTTTTCTATTTTTCCTCGCTCCGCCGTATCCTGTATCGGATGGCCGCTCGAGGGCTGCTCTCCGTGAAGCTCGCTAATTAACACAATCGTTTAAAAAGTTAATAACAAGCCGCATAGCTGTCGGAGGCACACGCCGCGCCGCACTGCACACTGCCGGCTCTTGGTTTTAAAATAAAACGTTCTTTATAACCTTTAACGGAGATAGCAGAAATTTATCTCGAAAATTTCATATTTATACAAAGACGCTAAATGTTCACGACTTAAATGTATATACGATAGAAAATTCTTCACTTTTTACGCTCTATTTAATGAATGCAATTTTATCTTAAGCTATAAATGGTTCCAACGATCACTCTACTCGAACTAATACATATTATTATGCCATGTGACCCGTCGTATAGGACCATCGTCAGCGTATTTTGTTATCACAGACACAACACGCTACATATTAGTCCACGTGAATCATGTTATTTATTCATGTATATAACCGCGAGCTGTCCCACTGCGCGGCCCAGCTGATGGTGAAGCTGCTGCCCGTGAGTCACCGGTCCGCGGTCGTTATATAACGTGACGTCAGCACTTCACCTACCTGTCGTGTTGTGATCACACGTACCGTTGGCCGTGTTCCAAGCCGTGGTCTCCGTATACAATATAACACGCCAGCCCACACGGCACCTTCTGTTTCGAGCGAACTAGCCACCGAACAGTTTCTAAAGCGTCCAATGATACGTATGAAATATCTATCCCGGAACAACGTGGTACATTAAGATATTACCATAAAGATTATAGATACATTAAATAATTACTTATCAACTGTGAAACAGACGCAGGGACCCGGCGGCCCATCATATTGTAATTTCAATTACGTCGTTGTGTTCCTTCCTTCTCTTATACACAGTATGAACCCGGTGACTATTTTATTTTTCATTAGCTAATTGACACGAAATGATTATTATCAAAGGTCGTAACTTCGCGGGCGGGCGAATTTTAAAGTGTCGGTTCGTTGTAAGGGAGGGGTGGCGGGAGGGGGGGTACAGATCTCTTTTGATCTCGGCAGGCTGGCCGTCTTCTGTTCCGAGGCCAATTTAATTCCTGCAGGTGGTGGTGGTAGTTTAATTCCCCGTGTCCTGACGTCGCACGTGCGCTAAGCTGGCTAACTTGACCGCAACAAAATTAAGTCGTCCGTTTCGCAGGAAGGCGCCAGCGAAGCAACGTCTCGCATTCAATTAGACGTTCAGTAATCCGGCTGCGGCGAGCTTCGATACCAATTACTGGGGTGTTATTAGTGAGGGAGCGGAGGAGACAGCGGCAGGTGACGCCCGGCCCCGGCCCCGGCACCCGGCACGTCTCACAGACGACTCTGATCATCTCGGGTTTTATTGTTACATACCAACTACAGGGTACACCGTACACCGTACAGTACAGATTACAGGCACATTTTATAAGTGTGTATGCGTAACTACAACACCATCTAACAATTCAGAGTACGTTCTGTAGATACATATTCATTTTGTCAATGTATCAAGTTGATAATAATAATTATATTTAGATAATATATTTATAGCATAACAGCTTCACTTGTGTAATCTTAATGTCGAGTCACTTGATGGCCGTGTCTAATGTCCTTCATATGAACAGTGGACTGTGGATTACGGAAGCATTAGTCGGAGGGCATTTATTATTTAAAGACACTATGTGACGCTCCGCGACGGGAGCTCTCCAGAGAGTGTCCCGCTCCAGGCGTCGACAAACAAATTACTCGACAAAGCAATCAATTACAAACGAAAGGAACCTAGCCCGCGCCTCTTGAATCGAACGCTGCGTCAACAATGAGCTTTTAGCGTCCTCGGCGGCGAGGTGCTCCTACAGAACAAGATACTATAATACACTCCACTCCACAGTGTAGTATAAGCGTTTAAGGAATCCTTAACGTAATTGTTCCCATCGGTATAAAGGGAACGAGCAAAGTGAATCGGAACAAAGAGAAGCGCTCCATCCACGTCGTCGACAAATTATGTTGTTGATCGAATACGAAAGTTAATTTGTTGTGAGTCGGAGGTCGGAGGTCCAACGAGATTACTGTGATCCGCGGTACCGGCGGCGACTCCTGCTCAGCCCCCGCGACACATCTCAGCGACCCTAACGAGTTTATCTGCCCCGAGGGCCGCCAGCCTCGCTCAGCCACTTGACGAACCGAGCTCATCTCTTACGTTATCAACGGCTAAATGTAATCAATTTTCACGTAATATTTTGTCTTATACACTTTTTATACAATTTCTCTTCACAAAAGACGTTTTATCTATTTTTAACTACAATTTAACCATAATTCCGGTATTTTAGGGGTTGTTCATTACTTATTCTATTGTGTTGGATGTCATCAAATGAGCGGTTTATATTTTCAATGTTAACGAGGTCGTTTATGAGGAAGGAAGCTGATAATAAAATTGATTCAATTGTTTTGAATTCATTTCGTAACAGCAATCAAAGATCAATTAAAAATATGATCAATATTAATTGTATACATCTAGTTCAGCTTATTAATTACAAACTTAGACTTGGTTTAAATTACAATTTTTCATTGGATGCCCTACTGCTGCCTTCGACGTAGAACGCCAGTACATTTTAATGAAAAGGTGGTTAAAGGGCGAGGGCGGGTTCCCGGCTGGGCGGAGTCCGGGCACGCCTACGTCGCCCACGCCCTGACAGAATAATACAACTAAATATTTGTATTGACGATCACAACAACAAATCAGAGAAAAATAGTCATAAAAAATCACAGCACATCATATTATATAAGTATTTATATTGGGGCAAGTAATACATTGTAATCAAGGCTTAGGTGATACAAAACTTCAAATAATCAAACCGCGTACTTGTTGACAACTGATAACAAACAACATAACAATTGCTGTATAATCTCCTTATCAGGTCTATAACAAGACACAGTAAAAGGATACGTAGTGTTTGTTTTTATGTAACACACGGATCTCAATTAAATAAACGAATTAAGATATGGGTTTAAAGCGAATTAATAGGTTATAAACTGTACTCTATATTCGTAAAGTTAAAATACAATCGTCCGCTGATTACTTCAAACCTATACTCTGATGGAATGTCAGTCGATAAATAGTGTAGTGAATCAAACTAATTCAATAGATAAAACTAAGTTTATAGTTTTAATAAATGCAAAATGTTTAGAGTCATTTATTCCTTTTATTCATATTATAACAGAATCCTGGTGTCTGGACGAGTAAAATAGTCACGTGAGATATAAAAATCAAACTTCAAAGTTTGTTGAACTATTGAGATGGAAATTTCACTTGCATACATGATGTCATAAGAAATTTATTACGGTACCATTCAAGAGAGTACACGAGAAAAGTGAAGTTCTCATCTAGATTTTATATTGTTACGTTGTTACTTCTAAAATTAATCAAACCGATTTTCAAAATTACTTATTTAATCGAAAGGGAATTCTATCGCAGCCGTATGAAGATACATTTAAATGAAACTAATATTTTCGTATTTACTACGCGATTTTTTATTTTTGATTATAAACCACATATTCCCGAGTCTCGACATTTCGGTTGCTTTACAGCAGCCGTGATCACGGGCAGACGAGATGTGAGAAAAAGATACATTTTCACGGAGAGTACCTGATGAACTGTTCCTATAGAATTATTAAACCATAAAACTATAATGACGAGTATTTCAAAAGTTGTTTATAAACAGGTAATGCAAGGCAACAGTTAGGTTTTTCATAAAATGATCGTTAACAAATAAACGTTTATCCTAAATGTGTTATAATCACCATAGACATGTTTGGTATGTACCTATTGTAAGCGGCGGTAACCCATCCATCTCGTGTGCCGAGAACATGATCTCTTTACAAACTTAATATTAACTGTTAATCATGCTATGACCCAGGTGACACTTGGTTTTAAAATCCGGTAATTTTTTATACCTACATATTTTAATTATAGCAAATTTTAAACGGTCATTAAACTGTTTTGGTATAAATTTTAATTTCATTACCGCGTTGAACAATACCACCCAAATAAACAAAAAAAATAATGTTATATTCAATCATGGAAAATTTAAGGTAAATGACATTGTAGTTACATATTTTAATAATCTTATTATAAGTGCATATTCAAATTTGGATACATTTAAACTTCTATATTTATTTTAAATATAAACTGTATAATATATTAAGAAATTCATTTCATTTAAACCACTCTACCCTTTATATATAATTTGTAAATTGAGTAATTTTCATTTGTATTATATGAACAAAATAGTTTTTAATTCTACTCCAAGAGCAGTAATTAAAGGCATTCAATAATAATAATTAGCTTAACAAATCGTCGATAACGTAAATTATATTATATATCAAGTGTACAATCAATATTAATGTTTCACGGATATTTAAGATCGACTGCGTGTCTGTATTTGTAGACGTTAAACGTGCATGACACACACAGTAGGTGCAAGCCAGGCCAGGTCGGTTCAGGGCACGAGGGTGGTGATGTTTCAGGGTGCGGCTATACTGACGATGCTTTTATCAAAATTAGCCGGCGCACCCGCAGAGGGAACACGCCCTGGTAATAAAACACGAGTCTACATCGAGGACGTCAGCGGCCGTCAGCCGCGCCCTGACACCTCACCCTCGTCCACAACCTACTACGACATAACTTATTATATTTCACACTCACTGAACTATTCCTCGGTTTCAACAAACAAGCCGCTATACAACTTGTAAATTGGCAACTACAGTAGATCCCGAGCTCGTCCATCAACATTTTTTACCCTATTCTACATCCTAAACGGCTATCATAAGGATAAACACGGGCCGGCGGAGATTTGTGACGGCTCTATGAAGACACAGACCATGTGGAATATAATATAAATGGGGTGGAACATTTTGAGGAACGTTTGATACGTGCAATATATTATATGCGAGTACAGCGTCGGTCTGTGTCACGTCTCGCGTTTCCATCTATTACGGAGCGTATTTTACGATCTATGCCAATAACAACACACATCATATTTAGTACTCAACTTGCTACTTTTATTGTCACATACATAACTTGTGCTTATTTATTTACAGCGAGTGGAAATGCTCTTCAATCTTGTGCAATACAGTAATATGTTTTCAGTATAGTTCGTTCTGAATGTTAATGTGTCTTAAATAGACATCCAAAGTGCGTCTTCGTGACAATCGAAGTTGGCCAAGCGTTTGTATAGTGAGGTCGCCGGTCCGTTCCTCTTTAAACGTCATCTGTATGCGTGTACGCACGCTGCACTACTAGGGTGTAATCTAAACAGCCAGCGTGTGTCACAACATGACTTATTTACTTTTAACATTTACTTCACAACATTTAACTTCGAAATATTAGAACCATCCGTTTATATAATGTATAAAAGCTATTGATCATATCATATTATATTGTCAGTGTATTACGTTGCATATCTTTAATCATATGTATCAAAAAGTTTTTTTTATTCATATTCTACTAGTAAGATAATCGCTAATTTTATTTTGATATATAAATGTATAACTTGAAAGTTGAAACATATTTTCAATGAATCATTATTAATAAAGTAATTTTCTAAACCAATTCATTTATGTATCCTGTGTAATTATATATAAATAGTTTCTATTATATTCTTTAATTTAATTATTCATTACTTACAAAGCTGAAGAATAACAAACATCGACTAGACCAAATAGTTCATATATTTAAATCAAGTGAATTATAGTCGTATTTACTTAAAGTATGAAAAAGGTACTATAAATAATTAAAACTTGTGTTCTTAGAGGTAAATTCAATGTGGTGTAGTATAGCGAGATGACGAGCAGAGATCAAGCATTAAATTAACTATTTGACAATGTGTAACTTTTATTATCACTATTTGATGACTTTTTCATTGTTTGGTCAAACAATATACAATATCCGAATTGTAAATCTTAATCGGGCCATTACAGTACGGTATGTGATCGGTCTCGTTTAATAAGGAAACGTGAAATAATGGATGCGAAGGTGGTGAAAATATGAATACATTACAACACCAGCATTACGAGCAAAGTAATCAGACTCACGCACCAAGGCGGCACACGACCGCTACCACCGCCGCCACCCTCACACCGAACACCGAACAGTATATTATTTGTAAAACCAATAATTCACTTACCTACACCTTCATTTCGGTCCATTTACAGAACAATAAATTTTAGGGCACATTATAATAATTGTTGTTTCTTCTCCGCATTAAATTAAGTCGAATATAAGAAACACATTAGCATGGAATGCGGAACATATGAAATGTTTATTATATTCAACGATCGACAAACAAAACAAAGGCAGAAATGACGTCGGTCTAACAGACTCACGAATGAATCACTTTTATCATAGATTATGCAAAACTACATCACCAAATAATTTCGCCTTCTTTATAAAATTAACTACAATTAGCTTTAATTGTATACTTGCTTAAGTATTATTCAAAATATAAAGTATGTTTCTCATTTATTGTAAACAATAAACATTAAATTTGTAAAAGGTTGATTAATTTAATTCTACTAAATTTCCTACAAACCGAGTTCAACGAACTATAACGGTAATTCGATCTCAATATTTTGTTATTTATTTTTATTCATTTGGAAAGTTTAACTTAAAACAACAATCATATCAATTCGGTTCAATATACGTATTATATTATACAGTGGTGTCAAATAATAAACGCTGGTCGATGGTGTTGTTGTTATGTTGTCGTGATACATTATACTATAACATTATGACGGCAGAGTCCGAGGTGAATGTACCCAACAAAGTGTGCCACGCGCCCGAGAGATACTTCGGCATGGGTACCGTTAGTGGAACGCGGTCAGCCCAGCAGCGGTACCGGTGCTCGGGCCGGCCACGTCCACATTGAATCACCATCAGTTTTCACTATACACGGCACTTACACAGATTCTTTGTACGGTACAGTGTTCTCTAATATCACCTGCCTGTTATAAAAGTCTCGTTCCGTACGTCGAAGTAATCGGAGCGTTTCTAATATCTACACTTTTGAATCAGTTTCACCGCACGCCTCTTGGCTTCGCTCTTATTTATTCGTTTTGCGAAATCGTTTGAAATCTGATATCGTTCTAGCGAGTTACCGAGACTAGATTTCTCACAAAATTTCACACGATCTTCTTGCAGTTGTGAGTTAACCTATTGAATTCCCATTATTATAGTTGTCTCGAGATATCCGACAAATATAATAAAGTTGGAAGAAGCGAGTGAAATCCGAACGGTACAGTTGAAGATCACATTAACGGAGGCGGGCGGTGCCTCGGTGTATGCCTTAGTAAAGACTGTATTATGAAAATGTGCATGTTAAAAGCGAACAAATGAATATTTTTCACAATAATTGTGTTGGATGCTGGGTGCACGGCAGGTAAGGCGTGAGGTTCGCTGCATTCGGGGTAACAATTTGCATTTCAAATGTGGGCGGCGTGTTGTGTTGTGGCGTGGTGTGGTGTGGTGTGGATGGTGGCCCGTGGCCGCGTCCCGTGCCCGCCGCCCACAGCGGAGCGCTGCATCCACCCCACGCACCAGACAATGTCACAATCAACGTCGCGTGGACGCTTTTTGGCCGCTATATGATTGCCGATTGTGGTTCACCATAATATTCACCAAGATTTATTTCCAGCAACTATTAGTGGCAACTAAAATCCCTACACACTATTTCTATGACTTCATCAAAAATGTCTGTCTGTTACGATTTACGATATATATTATCATCACAAACTAACGCCAAATATAAATATAATATCATAAAACCCATGGTCTATAACGGTCCTTGTAGCAGTCATCGACTGAAAAGGTAATGCAAGTAAAATCAGCCGAGTCGAGTAGAGTTGAGATGCTATGAATTAATAACGAACTTCTCCCGCGACGCGTGTTGACGTCCAACAAGAGTAGCGCATTAGACGCCAGCATTGAAATTTTCCAAAATCTCTTTCTAATTATCGTCTATTTTCTCGCCTTCTTTATTTTAAAAATAGGAAACTTCCCACTCAACGCAGGTATACATTCAAACGGCCCGTCAAAAGTTATGATTTTTACATTAGTTAGATGGAAACACTTTTATTTTTTTAAAGCTATAATGTTTGCCGGAGGAAGGGAAAACAAATGAAGGATGCTTTGTTAAATTCCAAGTCGGGAGGTTACGCTGTAAAATATGACGACTATCTAGAGTAAATGGTGCAATCACCGGCGGATTTACAAGATTTACCATTCCTACCATCACACCTTTTGCTGATAGGAAAAACACATCAAAACTAGTTTTGTTCCGCATCAACTATTTAGGTCCGTAGCTTACGAAATAGATACTGGTTATGAAAATCACGATTATTACAACGAACTATTATTAACGCTGATAAAAACGTGCCTTTTGTTTTTACTTCACCTATATTTTTATTTCACATAAACACCAAACAAAAGCTTCTGCATACATTAAAATTTCATGTTTGTCCACATTCCAATTTCCCGAGTGTAATGTCAAATTTTGTCAATAGGTATTTATAACAAAGTTTTACGAATCAGCGATACATAGATATTAATTTAATATATAAGAAAGTACATTTAGAAATGAGCTCCCTTAGTTCACATTCAAATAAATCTCCTTTGGAACGACTCGGTTTGAAATTAACTGTTGGCGTAAGGTCGGAGCGAAATGGGTGGAAAAGCGGCTCTTAATTAAATCAAGTGACACGTCTCCGTACGTAGCTTCAATCACACGACCTCAATAAACCCGAGCCGATGGATCTACTCCTTTTCATGCCAGCCTTACCAGGACCGAGACGACTACGGATTACGGGAAACTTGTAACACAAGTAGAATGTGCTGTTAATTAACTTTTACGAACAATATAAAAAAAAAACTACCGTTCATAAATTCACATCGGACGGCTCGTCTAAACCTGTTTACGGTTATTTAGACGTATTTGGATATCGAGCTTACAAAACCAACGGTTGTTTCTCTTTTAGTATCTTTAACTTCTATTTGATTTTAACTTAAAAGCTTTTTATAATATTTTGTCTCTAAATTGTTACATGCATAATTTCATGTCACGACCAATATTAAACAAGGTCTTTTAATGTTGCACAATCTGTATTGAGTATCCGTAATGAACTTTTATCTTCGAATTTTATTAACAGACAAATATTCAGCTCGGATAAGCAGCAGACTATGTCAATTCAAGCATTTTGTATATTGTACGATTCCTGCAAAATACGAATACTTCTACAGAAATAAAATTGAAAGAAGAAACCGTAATTGGTATCACAGAAAAAAAGAGAATTTTAATCCGCAAAAGTGTTAGTGTTAATCGTCCGGCTGCGTCGTTGAAAGCCTAGTTTTAATAAGAGCGAGTAAAATGTTTCGGTATGAGCCGCACGGTCCGCTGGTGGCTGGTTGGCTGGTTGGCTGGCAACAATAAAATGCCCCTCAGAGTGGCTGCGGGCGCTGGCCGGGTATAACTTCTGCAGCGGCCGGATTGTTCGCCGATCGCACTCATTATTTCCGTAACGAGCTCACGACAACCGCCGCCCTCCGCCCGCCACCGACAACCCCGTCCGATATAAACCGGCAATTAATTAGCAGACTAAACGCCATGGTGTTTTACATCCGTGATGTTTACACTACTCTCCGGCGATAATGTCATCGTCGATGATATCGGACACTGCTTGCCTTCGCATTAATTAATAAAATATAATCAACTCGACCCACGACCCGCGACCCGGCCCACCACAGCACTAAAAAATTAAAACACTCATTATTGAGCTCGTTATAAAGTTCAGTGCATACAAATTGCTTATTTGCATAAGGAATAGTTACGAGTGCCGTCGGTAACATGAAGTAAGGAACTTACTACAATATATATGAATCATCATATCCATTAGTTATAATTAAAGACAAATATATCCTAGACGCGGCGAACGAAAGAATCCGTAAATAATAACCGTGAGTACATTACGAGTGGTCATGGGGCGTATGTTAACTTTTTATAAGTATCTATTAATTAAACCGTTCATTAAAATGGGAGTTAAGTCTATTTGCTAACATAATATGATTGGTAGCAAAATTTTCTTTTGCCATTTTAAAACACTGTGCTGCGATGAAGTGGGATTTCCTACCAATAAATGGGAAGTATAGGTTACCAATAAAACAGTATTAAATTTGTCACGTTCGTTATTTAGTAATTAATATAAATGTCGTCAAACACCGGTCGAGCGGTTGAGTCATTAATTGAGTTATCGGAATCCCCTTGTGAGCATCTATTATATGTTACAAGTGGTCGTGGTCGTGTTGTAACAGCTGGCAGCGGTCGTTACTTAAATTAGTTAACAATGACACATATCGCTGGCAAACAAACAGTCAGGATTCCTAAATAGAGCGCGGGCTCTATTCTGGACGGTCGGCGTCACCACCTCACCGGTGAGACGGTGAGCCGAGGAGCTCATCACGCCGCTACTGATTCATAAACACCTCGAGCCACACGTCTCCAATAGCTCCGCTGCACTCCTTGGATCTGATTTATGACGCTATGACGAATACTAACATGCGAATATACATTAAAATGACTAATATATCAATTTTATTTCCTATAACGTATTGTAACGCAGACTCCGCCCGCTCATCCTAGTCATCTTTTATTTACGATGCGAATGCTAATTTTCTGTTTTTTTTTTTCTTCATCTACCTCTATATTAATTCTAATACTTTAAATGCAAAACATTCAAGTTTCCATATCGCTATATTTTTAAAACAAATACAATTGCTCATTTTTGGGTATGTATTTGCCTTCTTTTTATTGTTATCAGATGACAGGTGTATGCTAATGAATCTCACGATCGATCAGTCTGTCACTTGCATCATACACAAATATATAATAAAAATCACTATGCAGAAATAAACCAACCCGTTTTTGAATATACAAAATAAACATCATCATGTTAAAAGAATTATTAAGAAATATATATTATATACCAAAACTCTTAGCTATATTAGTAATTATGAACATACACAATTTTTGCCTATTTTAATGTATACTATACGTAAATACATATATGTTCAGTAAAAAGCCCTAAGCGGGGTTTATATATAATTGCTAACAACTAAAATTAAAGTCACAGATATATGTACCTCACGAACAACTTGTCTAATATGAGAATTCATTAAAATTAAAATAAGGAGCTAGCGAAAACGTCTCTAATATTTTGAGTATAATTTGTTACTTCAAAAAAAGTATCATATAGTAAATATAAAAACATAAAATTCACATTAACATAACCTACTACTTTAAGACTTATTAGTCAGACATCAACGTAGCACATAAATAAAGAGATGTCCAAAAATTTTATCAAGTTTCCTCGTCTATAAAGTTACTTAGGATAATAAATTGATTGATTAACATCTGTACGGTGTGTGTGTGTGTGTGTGTGTGTGAGATGTTATTGATTGGTTGTTTTTTTTTGTCGTACGTTCAAGGTGCGCGCGCGCGCTCAGTGTTGCATGTTGCGTAACGGCGGACAACTAGGCAGGACGTTGATCTCGAGAGCTTGAACTTGAGGCTCTATACAGTAAACTACGCAACCAACAAATAACATACATACATAACAACATATAACATTGTACTATTAATGATCACGTTCTGCTACTGCATAAACAGCGCGACGTTAATATTTTAATTCTCGTTCGGAGAGCAGCAGCGACACGAGTATTATCTACAGGAAAATAATTTTCCATCACGCCAGTGTACCAAAAGCTGTCCGGAAATTGTAGGAAATTGCAGGAGAAAATGAATCCGACGGTTTGAGAGGTCCGGCTGAACGTACCGAAGATTACTTGGCTTACGCGGACGGCCATTTAGACTTCGACTCGGATCAATTTTATTCGCTGACATCAACTTTTTATACATCAACGCTAATAAAATGTATAATTGACAAATTTGGAACGGTTCATTAGAACCAGTTCCATAGCCGCATTAATATAAAATATAAGACTTCATTCTTCCACGTAACGTGATCAGTCATGCATGCAGATATAGTCTTGGAATGCGCGATGTGGCGTATAAGGCGAAGGTGGAAAGGAACAGAAGAAATAAAAGTGCTCTCCATCAATCAAAGGTAGGAGGAGCGGAGGCCACGCTTCCGGACGGGGTCGCGGCCGAGCGGAACGTACCTTTGAATAATGAATATCCACACAGGTGGTGGGCCGTGGTATCGTGAGCCGTACCTAACTGGACGTGATATATGCCGTCGCCGGCCGCATGCATAATTTCACTTATTTTATGTGGTTAATTGTCGAAAATGACCGCAAGTGAAATATATTCCAACGTTTTACGCCACCACAGCCCGGGTGGCGTATAATGTATTCTACGGCCCGAGCGCTCCTCGCCGCCTTCGCCTTCTCTACTATGCCGGTGTTTCTTTGTGGTGCTAGCTTTTACTATGTAGTAACAATATGCCGGCACCACAATATGCATACGTTGACACACGTTTCATGCAAATCACGCTGTGATAACTTTTTACTTTATACCCCATTTAATACAGGTACAACATACGGTTTTTTTGGTATCTCGATTGTTTAATTTTTTTTTATCGTATTAACGTTAAGTTGTTTTGCACAAAAAATCAAAACTAAACTATAAAAATAGACCTTTTACATATTTTTGTTTTGTTTGATCCGCATGGAAAATCTTTATCTGAATAATGTATATGGGAAAATCCGAATAGATATTAATAATATTAAAAACCTGAACGTACTTTGATACTGTCCGCGATATATTGACTTGCTAAACAACGGCTCTGTCAGTTGTGTTGCATTTGCTTTTCAACAAATTTAATCTCGATGGATGTCGTCATATAATAACATGATTGTTTATTAATAGATATTCAATATGAATAATAATTATACAACATTTATGAATTTCGCGTTCCTTTCGTTGCTAGTCGAGTTTACAATACCGCTGCATTACAATTTTTCAAAGCAGACACAGACGACAGGGTATAACAAAAGAGCTAGGAAGGCGCAAATAAACGAGCTCTGCGGCTAGCAAGCGAGCGAGGATGCACAGACCCCACCTAATATCTAACGTTTAAAGCTAGGTCTCCCTCTCGTTACACGAAAACCTTCATTGTTTTATCACATTGTCAACTAAGTACCGCAACTACATACATTCACTGAATACGGTCCAATATTCGGTTCGAGAAACGCGTGTTCGTGCAACGTAAACATCTCGGAGCACCGTTATCAATAACTAGCGGTTTATTCACAGGTATATAAAGAGAGCGGAATTAATTTGTGTAATGCAACTTTTGAACCGTAAAAGTTTATCATCAAAAAGCTTCGTGAAGCTGGTCAGTGAGATATATCTAAATATCTAGCGTGTTTCGGATGGCAGCGATGAATACGGTAGATCGGCCGACAGATACCCTGCCCGCACCGGCCACCAAGACTAGAGGCATATCCGCAACCCGCAAAACGTACAGACGGTATACTTTGTAAACATGTTCACATACATACATACCCACTACATCTAGCACGACCAGCTGACTTTCATTAACATACAAGTTTTTCAAGTAACTAATAGTTAGATTAAATTATAACTCATAAAACAACATATTTTCTGTATCAATAATGATATCTGAGACAGTATTTTTACTAGAGCGTCTTGTGTGATGTTAATTCACTTCGTCTACCGATACCACTTCAGAGTAATATGTGCTCCGTGTTTCAGACCTTTTTCAAAAATATATCTCCTAATCATAAAACATGTTAAAATGCTATTTCCTAGATAATAATTAAACAAGAACATATAACTATCTAATTTATAAACTATGTATTATCGGTGAAGTATATTTTAAAGATAATTTTGTTGTTTCTATCAAATTTAATATTAATTAGAAATACACCCTCGTGTTATACATTCAATCATATGTTACATGCAACATTTAAATTAGTAATAGACAACAACGTATCGTAAATCATTATAATTTAGACATTAATTCAGTACCTTATATTTGTAACTTCCTAATATTAGAAATATTTAATTAGGTGCAAAAGAAACTTTTTTTTAATATAAAAATTTTAATTTGATCACTTTAAGGAAAGTTTGAGATTTAGTTTGTTGGTTTGGCTATATACTTTTTTTTAAGTCACAAGTGAACGAAAAAATAAATTAATTAACTGATAAATTACTAACCTAACCTCACCTCCAATTTTTTTTATTATACTAATTATTTAATTCCGTTTTCAACAATATAATTATTCATATTCATTTTGTTACATATAACTACAGAGTACGTAAAGTAAGTGTTCTTAATAATGTTTTATGCTTTCTAATTTCCATACGTATTATTTTTTTATAAATAAATATGAATTAAGATACGGTCTCAACTCAACCCGTAATGAGACAAAACTACTCAACTTGTTTTAAGGAAGTAAGTATTTTCAATAATCTAAGTTGTATTGTCTTAGATAATTTAACGTTGTCAAAAAATATATTATGGTAATACCCCCTGTAATATAAAGTCATCAGAGTGATGAAAAAACGATTTTTATAACCAGTTATGTGTGCTTCCTTGTGCATACAAAAACATTGTTATTTATATTAAAAAAGGCGGACAAAATCACAGTATGAACTACTTCAGAATGAAATAGGTAGGCATGCTCAAGTATTGATCAGTTCGTTATTGTACGGTCATCTGAGAACATTGAGATATTCAAGTGAAAAGAAATTATAAATTACAAAAAAATAAAATAATGTAAAGTTTAAAAACTTCAACAGGCAGCCAGAGATCTAGAAGAATAATAATAAAACAAAACAGCTCCACGATGCGAAACTCATTTAAAAGTTTGAAAAACTATAGCTTTCTCGACAAGACGTCCGTCTACGACTTACAATTTGTAATTTGAGATCCTTCCCGGCTGCGGCGGCCGCCGTCACCGACGTGCTCACGGGAGACAACCACTGGTGCAAGTTTATGTAACGTTTGGGTAATAGTTTAAGGGACACATCGGCCTGCGCGTAGGCACGCTCCAGGCAGGCGGCCGTGGCTCCGTCCAGGGCCAGGGCCGGCTCGAGCAGGGCGCCGCCGCCCTCCAGCACCACCATCGTTTACCGAACAATCAATGTTTGATATGTATATGTCAGAACACAACACGCGTATCACTTCACAAGGCGCGACCGTAGCTCGTGCTCGTACAACTACATGTCTGTCCGTGGTGCGTGCCGCCTGTACGGCGTCGTTCGCGGGACTGGCGCGCGGCGGTGTCGGCGGTGCCGGCGGCGAGGCGCGTCCCTCCTTCGCCGCCCATCGTCTTCTCCTCGTCCAGCAGCGTCGCCGTGGTAGCGGCCGACACTCATCATCACCGACAACACACCACTCACATAACAAACAGCTACATCTAAACATTCGACTTCACACGACACAACTCCGAGATGTTATTCACTCTGTACAAGTTTTAAATATGTTTTACATTTTAATTATAATATATTACATAGATGACTCGTGAAAGTGGTGATCAATCTATATCTATGATACCGATATCGACGGGTCGAACAAGAAGAGTCAATACTGGAAACAATCCGAACCATACAAACCCTTCATTGAATAAATCAAATGTCTCAACAAGTAACAAACTTCGAAACAATTAGCAAACTCGGAATAATAATTTAAGATACTGTCGAAACGTTCATTAAATTTTCAATGTGTATTCGCTAAGTGATGCTGGGAAAAACAAAGATCCTTATAAAATCCTATACTTTCAGTTTATGGCAAGACACAGCTTAAAGACACTTAGAAGTACATACTTCTTACACAGTTCATACAAATTCTAAGCCAAAAAAGGATCAAACTAAACATACATTTATATTTTAAGCCTACATTATAATTTAATTGACAGTTTCTATAAACACTTTGTTTTGTCCAAATCTTATCGCCGACTGTTCAGTACGTGATTGCAACACATTCTCCTCAGAGTTTTAATTTATATAACATATATCACAATGGATGAGCAAAAACTTTCACAACCATAGTAATTCCAACACGAATCCAATTTACAAGAATGTTCTCTGGAGACATATGTCGAAACAATGTAAAGTTGTGAAAATGTTTTTTATATCAAACAAACGTTTCAGATTTTACTGTATGACAAAAAACTTTATGTATCGGACACAGTGTGAAACAAAAGCACCGAGGGTGTGACCGGGATCATCGGCCTGTATCAAATATAATAGACAAATAATATAGTAATTGTTATACAAAAGGTAGTCAAGACACAATAGACAGTGAACGCGAAAAATAATTAGTTATAAACAGTGGTATTAATAGACGCTAGACAATAAAGCAACCCCCGACAGTCAGTCAGGAGGCTAATGTTGTACGATCACGCGAACCACCTCCGCCTCGCACCACGAGTACAGGCGACGGACAAACAGACAAGGGACAACGACACAGATACATTTAAATAATAAACATTCCACTGCACGGGGGCATTGGAAACCTTTTAATTATTTAAATATAAATGTTCCAGCGATCCTCTGACGGCGTGTAGTCTTCTTTCACAACCTCAGCGTTACATCAAAGTTCCGTCAGAACATACATTTCCTGACATAGTTTGATAATACTATTAATGAAATATCTAGCCAAGCAATACATAAACACAACTTGTATAAATTCCTAATGCTTGCAAAGCTGACTTTAAATTATATGAGAATTCTGTTATTCTTCCAGTACGTGTCTGCTCAAGTTTTTATCTGTTGCGTTTTTAATTATATGTAATAATTGATTTTGTCAACTATCATTATTATGAACAGGCCCTTTGTTACATATAGCTTGTGCTGGGAGGAGCAGAAACAATTTAAGGGAAAGATTTTAAAATCCATGAGTTATTATTGATAATACAGTGGTATGGACGATGATCATGTCGTCAACATCGTTTGATGGTAGCGGATGGTAGCGGTAGCTAGGTAAGTGACGGCACCTGTCCGTAGCGCCGTAGCGGTGGTCCGAGACAGCAATGTATCGCGCGGCTCAATTATTCACACTGCAATCCGCACCATCATCCGCTTGCTACCAAATTAAAAGTAAATAACGAAATGAAAACAAGCGCGCCCGGGCCGCGGGGGACTCGCAAACCTTTTACCGTTGTTGAGCAAACAACTGCAGCTAAACACACTATCATTTTATTGAACATCTATTTGCCGTTCACGTAAAACCTGCCGAAACAGCAATCGCTGTATTACAAAAACATTCTATAGTATTATGAATAACAACATCGAACGTGTCTGTTCTCTATTCTTATTAGTTGACCGTCATAATGAAATGACTTTTAGTTTTCTATAGAAAATTTCGCTTTTAAAGAAAATAAAAACGAACAACAAGAAAAGAGCAGCGAACGCCGCTCCCCTCATACGGAGCAATTTCGAAGAACAATGAACTAGGATGAATGGTGGTGCCAAGTAAAAAACTCTATTTACATCATATGCACATTTCCAGCTAAGTAATAAAAAAATATGTGTGAAAGTCATATTATATGAAACACTGGCAAACATTATATAAGACAGTATATACTATATGTCGGGGGTCTGATACATCTGTGGGCATCATTAGTGACAATACCAGGCGCGGCTTGCGTAAGTTAAGACAGTAACGAGCGTCAGTCATCGTGGGGTACCAGAGTAGCCCCTCACGAAAAATGTCACAAAGCAAAGTGTGTCAGGAGCTATATCATTATTTCGACAAACACAAAGTTGACAAGGTGGATGTCAATTCACGGACTAGTTGTCGAATATTGTTTTACATCATAATAAAAAATAGTGTTATATAATATTAAGATGTGATCACATTTCGAAGACCCACTGGTTTGACCTTCACGGTACACGTACTGGCAGAAGAGTCCGGTCTAATATTTAAACCAGTTTTAATATATTATTATTGAAAGAAAATGTATTAACATATTTTGTCTAGGTCAAATGTTGATTCCAAGTCAATATTAATTTCCTGATTATGAATCTGTTTAAATTGACTTCTATGATGAGGAAGACACGATTGAAATAGGGAAGGTAACATCTTCACTTAAAATTATAAATTTTCACAGAAACAACAAACTATTTCACATATTATGTACAAAAACTTGAAGTGTGAAGAATTATTCAGAACAATAAAAAAAGACGTGAGCAGAAATTATGCGATGCACGTTATAACGAATTGCAGGAAACGTTACATTGAAATCAGAAAACTGCAATATGAACTCTAATGCAGGTTGAACGGCCGAAGAAGCACCAGAGCGTGGCGCGTACGCCTGTCTTACACTCTTATAATAAATACTGTACGTAATACACACGCACCTATGAAAGCGAATAATGTTAATACAACAAACAAAAACAATTATCATTCATTATATCCGTAACCTCGTCATTATAATTGTAATTTAAATTATCAACAGTCATAATTCGAGTCTCTTATATTTGTATCACAGTAATAATGGAATCAGTTTCAGTAACAAAAGATTCTATATCATCTAGATACAATGGTACTTAATGAAGGCCATCTCAGCGGATCCGTGTGACAAAGCGTTTTATGATGCACAGTATATAAACACCGAATTAAAGAACAATTAAGCGAGTCAAAGCAGGTATCGTTTGGAAAGCTACGGGATAAAACAAATCGCTGGAGCAACAAAGGAGGCTTTTTCGCGGCCATTACGGAGGAATGCACAGGAGAAACAGGCGTTACAGCTTAGAGGGTGGCGCGATTAGCGTATGCGGTGTTCTGTGGAAGGCGGCATCCCCGCGCCCTCCACCGCCCGCGCACCCCCGGGCTGCCATCACCCTCGGGAACTTCCCAATTTACTATTGCCGCAAAGAATATCTTCGATGTAACGTTTTTGCGGCACACTAGTGACCAACAAGATACTTCCGACAAGTTTAGTTGCCTGAGTTAATAAAATCAAGACGAGTGGAGTATGTAATATGCTTTATAATTGTGAAAATAAATCCTTTATCTGACGGTGAATTTTCGTAGGAGGCGGGCGTCTAGAGGAGCGCGAGGACCGTAATAAGGGCTACCATAAAACGTTACATTAGGTAACGGCGGCTTCTGGGGCGGCTATAAATATGTTCGTTCGGAAGTACGGCCAGTGTCCCGCGGGAGGACGACACGTCGCTGCCAGGTCGCAGGCCGTGGACGTGTTGCGAGAATAAAAACATCTCTCACCTATCGTAACTCGTACATGTAGCTGCTCGACCAATCAATATTACTTAGCAATAACACACGGCTCACATATTGGGGGTATTTTCTTTCACTTTATGTACTGCGCCACTTCTGAACCTTTTACAACTCTGTCATACGGACATCTGATGTCTCATAAAATAATAATAACGCATTCGTATAACCGTAAGATACTAACCTATTTATGTTTGTTTCAAATAGTTGATCACTTTGGAAAAATGGAAAATAAAACATCGATAAACTAGTAATGTTACTTTCTCGAGAGAAACTGTCTCGGTTTCACTGTACGACTGACAGTGAAACTTACAACGTAACTTATATTCATCCTTGTAAAATGACGCAGTTGACTATGGAAATGTTAATTATATCACGATTTAATATGTCATTGTATTTATTTATTTAACTCTTCCCACAATTCGTCAATCAACAGAAATTGTTAAATTTTGTAAATTAAACAGGAGCAATTTTAACAGTAAAGTCAACACACCTTATAACTTGAATAAGTCAAAATCATCAAATCACCTCAGTAAACGAAGAGAAAACAAACAATGGGGGACCCTTAAATTGCTTGCCTTATTAGACAGACCTTAAAAGTTTAGAGCGGGCATAGTTTACAGAGGTAAGCTCGAGGTCGGGCAGGTGAGTTTGTTTTTACAGCAATGTCAACATCACCACGGGACGAATGGCAACTCTAAACAATGCAAACATCTTGAATGCATTAATTAATCCGTCCGTTCGACATTGTAGTATATTCGTTGTCCCCAGCGGTGCAATACGCGCTGCTGCACGTCCATCAAACGTCACTATCAATTACTAACAGGACTCCGCCCCCGTTAAGGTTATTAAACTGTCGATCTCCACTCATATTTTTCAAATTAAATTGCCGAGGCGTTAAATTGTATCGTTTATGTCGAATGCGAAAGAAAATTGACGACCGTAATGGTTATATAATAAGTTTGTAATTGTCGTAAGGCTTCAGTTAAAATAGGAAAATAATTAAGTTTATTCTTGTTTTCATAACGTCAGACGGACTAACTCGAGTCGGCTGAATAACAATCTGCGAGTCTGGTAAACGAATTTTAAATAAAACTGAGGAGGGGTCGGTCGGTCGGTCGGTCGAGAGCCGTGAGCGACCGAGGCGTTTCCAACTTTTGTCATTGTTTCTATATTCCGCGATGCAATTAGCGCAACTCGGGACGGCGCTGCGTATTTTCTTTCCATCGTTTATAGCTCCTAACATCGATTCAATATAATTTTGATAAAAGGAAAACTATAACAAACAACGAGCTTCGTCGGTACAGGAGGGTAGTACCTAGTCGCTATTCACTCTACATCGAATCTAAATATGCAATTCATTGTGTGACAACTATTGTGCCACTAAACGAAGTAAGGAATGGAATACTTTAGAGTACCTGCAAAGAACACCTGACGTCAAGTATGTTTAGGTGCAAGTATAAAATGTTATATATATAAATCGTGTAACGTTTGTAGGCCGTATCGGACGAGCTTCGTCCAAGTAGAGCTGTGTGTGCACAACAATTATATCAGGCAGGCAACAGTGGAGAGAGGCGACGTCGCCGAAGAACACGGCGCTTTGCCTCGTGGTAATTACCTAGCTGTAGCTGGCAGTGGGGGCCGCCGCGAGGACCATCTCCTGTCAGGGCTCGCGTGCAGGCCACCTCTCACGCCCATATTAAACGCAAGCTAAGAACCCCGTGCTACATCTGATAGCGTGCAATCAATTTCGCGATCTACATGCTTTTACGTCGGCACCGCCCCTAGATGACGTCATGTTTTATAAATCTACGGTGCCAACGAAAATGTTGTATCATAAACACTTTAGTAAAATATTATGTTAATAGTATGAAAAATGCATCAGATTAAAGCGGTCTTCATACTGTTAGTTTCGGTCTGAAAGAACCTAAATATTTCTACGTGTTACAAAAAGTATCTCACCAAATAAAGGCATTGCTAGAGGCTTTGGTGTAAAATAAAGTCACGCGATCGTTTTATCGCACACCTTCTTTCCGTTTTATAGGAAAGATAACGTACATTTAAAAAGTTTGCATGTCTTCACTACATCGCCCTCGTATTTGCAAGTGGTGTAATAACCTTAAAACTGAACAAGCCTTCATGGAAATCAAATACTAATGGACAAAATGAAACAAAACATCTCATCTTTAGTTTTAAGAAAAGTTAAAATACTAAATAATAGTAAAGCCGCTATAGTAATATAGCTCGCTCTTGCATTACAGCATCGAAAAATAAATGTTACGAACGGAAAACAAATACAACAAAAGAGTAGAAAATCTCTTTGCGAGTGGTAAAATCCTCGTAAGTCAATTTGGTATTATGAGGTAATGGTGAGTAACGGGCATGATTTACGCGGTACGGTCGGAGAGGGCGCCGGCTCGTGCCTCCGCGGCCAGCCACAATTATCGGCCCGCGGGCGCTCTCAATTACAAGGAGGCGCGCCCCTGGGACTTCACTTTGCCTGCCATCGGCCCGTCGGCCAGCTAATCTTTTAGGCTCACAGAGAACGAGAGCTCTCCTGACGACTGTTTGTTTCCACTGAACCGTAATATATTATATATACACAGAATGGCTCAAGATATATATAGAAACATACAACATACAAGAGGTTCATAGAAAACGTACATCAATATATAATAGTTGAATAGATCAGACAGTTTCAATGGTGGCGTTAAAGCGTATCGTTCGTTATGATGAAATCTGTTAAATGATTCATTGGATATACGAATTGGTGTTTGAGAGCGCGATCAGGTCGAGTGGCCCGTTTTAATTTGCGCGGCGACACACGAGTGGATTCTGAGCTGTGGTTTGCGGGCGGCGAGGCGTCGAGTGCCTTGCTAATTGCAACGCCACGCTATCCTCAACGAGAACCGTGCGACGTTATGCGCTATCATCAAACAAGCACTATACATATTTGAGCCGCAAGCGTTTATCATTTATAAAAAAAAATATATTATATATAATGTATCAAAGTAATAACGCATTCCATTAATAATTCATACATTCGTAGTTTCACATTAACCAGACGTAACAACAAATTTCCCCCCACGGACCCGATACTGATAAGCCCGGCCGACCATAATCATATCGGTGTAAACATTAATTACACCTCAGACAGGACCACCGTAAACGATCGCTAATTATATTTTATTGTGTGTTTATGAATGAGCTGTTTACAGGAGAGAGCTGAAACATCGTCCAAAGTAATTTCTTAGGAAACAAATGAAACCGCTCCCCTCGCGCCACAGACCGCTTTACAAACCGCGGCCCATGTAATCGGATAATAAAAAGGGCGAACGCGGTAAATATAAGATGAGGAAGACAGTTTTACGACCAGCACCTAATTAAGTGGTGAACCAAACGAAAAGAACAAGAAAACGTTTACTGCAAAATAAGACGACCCTTTCACCTTTACCGCAGTCTTATAGTTTTATTTGTACACTACACATTGTATAGAAGGCATGTCACACATTCCTACATTCACAATGACGTGAATTAACAAAAAGTGAAGAGTTTAAAATACGGGCCAGTGTATAATAGACACGGAGGCGTGCGGCGTGCGGCGTACGGCGGGCGAACACGGGTATTTTGGGAGAGCAGGTATATATCGCGAGAGGAATTCGACCTCACCTGAGCGCGCTCTTCTGACTCACACGGGCTAATTCAGTTCGCTCCACATTTATTTGCACAGCGTTTCTCACAAACTTATCAATACACTGTTACATAAACATAGAAAATTACAAGTCTATTCTTAAATAAGACAGAACTAGTGTAATGAAATGGACGTTCCAGTTTAATTTAGTCCATGTCGTCGTAACACTATAGTGATTAACGATTTATTTACAGGTCGTACCGATTCAAAGGGCAAAGTTTACTCTGTTGGGGGTTGTGGACATGGGTCTAGATCGGGGCGATTCATTAGCTGGGCCGCGTCAAAATAAACAAATTAACAGGACGGGCGTGTTTTACACGAGTGATAAAAGGGAACCAAGGAGATGGGCCGTACGCCAGCACCGTGCATTATATAAATCTCAAAGTGACAACGCGAACGATTATACAGCTTCCAATTATTGTGTATGAAAGCATCCTGTTGGCATTTTGAACACTTTTAAAATGACGCATAGAATAAATAGGCTACGCGACTTGTAGTTAACATATAGTTACATTGTAGGATGTAATCTAATTGTAACAAGGGGTATGTCAGCGACCGAGGTGATGTAAGAGTGCGGTCGGGGCAGGTCACGGGACGCAGGTTGTGCAAGGGTCTGATGGGCGATGGGTGGTGGGTGGTGGACGTTGGCCGGTGGACAGGAAGAGTGCAGTGACAGTGCGACACGCATAAGGCTGGCCGCTGTACAGTAAATGGCTTCAGTTAATTAACTTTAATCAGAGCCACGACCATCTGCCGCGCCGCACACGCCCACGTGGTGTTTTGTTACACTGTTAAAGCATGTGCTCGTTTCTGTTATTTTATCTTGGAAACCTTATATTTATTGCAATTACAATATACACGGCGTTTAATTGTTAGGCCTTCGTAAATATTTTTCTTATTGTTTTCTTCGATGATATGACCACCAGTACTACAAACCTTTATGTATGATAATTTGACTGTAGTATTCTTATAAAGAGTATCCAACTCCAACCTGAACATCCAAATCCAACCTGAGGATTTTGTCTATCGTACCCTCCGCTCTATCAATTCACCTAATATATAAGACTACATATAATGTATTCGTGAACATCAACAACAAAAGCTATTGATTCTATGTTTCAAGTTATATCATTGCAGATAGTGTAAGTTGGAGTGTTGGCGTGCCCCGAGCCTATTAACGCATCGTGACGAACCATCCGCAGGTTCTCTAGCACGGTGTCGGTGTGGTGTCGGTGGTGTCGGTGTGGTGTCGGTGGTGTCGGTGGTGGCGGTGGGAGGCTCGGTGCGGCAGAGCGTGCTCCGCCTCGATCTTATCGCCTTTTCCGTGAACACCGCACCGTCCGATCGCCCCCGTGTCTTTATTATATATACTAGACAATAAATTTAATTTAAGAAACCACAATACCGTAATCCGCTTTCACGGCATCGCTGCACTTATGTTTATTCAAAGCTTTCAGTGAGAATGCAAAGTCCCGACACCGCGGGAGGTTGGCGGCGCGAGGCTTAATGAGCGGCGAATCCTTTGACCGGTCGCATCTACTCTACTCCACATAGATGAAAACTCTGAGCTAATTAGGCGACGCTGATCTGAAGCCACAGCAGAATTAGTGCGATTGTGACGGGGGTTCAATTCAACGCTGTCATTAAATTATACCAGACGGGAGCAGTGCAACTTATAATATCCCTAATGGCTTACAGTAAAATTGTTACCAAAATATATTATGGAAACTACACCGTAAATGATAAAACACTATTATGCGAAAATATCAAGCTGAACTTTAAAGGTTGAGATTAACGGTTCGTAACTTTGGTATAGAAAAGAGTAAATCATTTATTAATTTATATATAAATGTCAAGCGTGCGTCAAAACAACCGCCCCTATTTGAAATGGGGTCCCATTCACACCCTATTGTTAAGTTTATATAGTAAAGTTAATTTGAAGTGAAACGATTTCACTTTTCCACGTGCCCCATTGAGTTGAGTTGTACGGAGCTTGCGACCGATTCTAATAACACTTAAGATTTCCTCCAAGGATAAAGTACATGTCTGGAAGCATTTACTCTCTCCATAAATTTTTGTACCAATTGACATTTTTGCTGGCCAAGAAATATAAATATTTTATTTCCCAAGAGGACATCGTTACGAACATCTTGATGATTTAAAAAGGAATTTCACCGTAGAATATACATAACATTACAATTACACGAGACGCATTAGCAAAAACTGGACTTTAAAGGTACATTACAAATTAATATAATTAGCATATAAATAATTGATGACTGATGCTATATTAAATAGGATGAAATAAAAGTTAAGCTCGTTTGATTAATCTGGGGGATTCCCTGTTAAGCCGGGATTTGCCTGTGGTGTCACAGAGAATCCTCGCGGTCGCTCAGGGTAAGCTTACAAATCCAACGTGTCATTTCCTATGAATGTAAAGAGGTTACCAAAGGATCCTAACACCACATACAAATGTAACAAAATTTATTACATCAATTTGCGTACAATATTATATTGATATATAAAAAATAACTCTATATAAACAGATAGTAAGGAACAGAGGACCGGCATCTAAAATTCGTATGCGGTTTGAAATTTAATCAAGCATCTGACCACGACAGCGCACAGCAATTTCTCATAAATACAAGAGGTAACAATATAATACAACAACGGGTAGCTGGTAAACATTGAGCGGCATTATGCGTGCTGGAGAGAATTCGCGGGTTGAACGCCGGTTACGACAACCGGACCACGACACACAACTGTTGTGTTGTGTTATGTTCGTATAATAAACATAGTTACACTGAATTGTTTTATGCGAGACTCATTAATACATTTAATGCGATTTCCTTATAATTTTCATAATATTTCGACACCCAACTTATTATGATATAGCAAAAATAGAAAGCGTATTTTATTAGCAATGACAAAAGTCTTAGTACATCCTGCTGTTCTATTACAAGCAATTAATGATCCGATTGACTGTCCGATTGTAACTTTTCTCTTTTATAGCTGTGTTGTTGTACTTTCATTGGTCGGATGGAAAATTATGGGTTAATTATAACTCGCGTTACTTTATACCGCAACTATGATGGATTTGATTAGTGACTGTGATTAATATCATTTTAATTTGAAACTGTACTAGTAGCAAATATGGGAAAAATTATTTATTACTTATAATACACGTACAATTTATTTCATTTTGATTTCAAATCTCTTTATAAGAAACACACAATACTGTCATAACTTATAATGATGTTTTTGGCGAATTTTTTTTAGTTAGTTTTGGAGAGGTTCTTAACAAAACGAAACCACTACTACATACGTAACAATGCGACCGGAATACTTGTTGTTAAGCATTTGATATGTACAATTAAAGGGCTCGAGTGTTTGAAGTTTTTATTAGAATTTGAATTTTGAATAAAACTCATTTACAACAAAAAGTACACAACATAGGAAAATTCCTTTTAATATTAAATACGATTATGTTTTATAATAATTTGTGAAGACCATCTGATATCAAACCAATCACAAATCGTTGTGCAGTGGTTTTGAACCAACTCAATCGTATTACGTCTTAACTATAATAATAATTAATAAATCCCAAATAAAACCAAATTTATTTATGCGTCAACATTACAAAAGATATTAATTATTATACAGTTTTTCACGGTCGCTTAAAACAAAAATGTTCCAAGTAGGTAAACAATTAGGGCGCAACTTTTAATACCGTTTCTTATTTACATCAAACCAAAAGACAATATTGATAGAAAGTATAATCTCTGAGACAAACGTTTATAAATTGATAAACTTTATACAAAGTTTACTTTTTATTATTATGACTATATTTTCAGAGTTTGGTACACAAAAGAATATTAACTTTCGTTATATAATTAAAATGTTAATGTTCAATACATACAATTGTATCTTTACATCTTTGTTCTTTTGAAACTTGTATTTATCGCCTTCCGCAATGTATATACATATATACAAGGCGACTTATATACCGTTATATTCTATGTATGTATCTATACAACAATGTATATATATGTATTGTTGTAGTGTACATGGAAGGTATCGCGTGCCACGGTCCTAGTCCGTGTCTATGTCTCCTTTACTTTATTTCATTCCATATTTCGTGTCTCCTTGTCTTGAATCACGCCTACTCTAACCTTGTCGTCTATTAACTGTAAGACATGGCATCTTTTTTTCCGTTTTGTTTACACGACATCAAGACTAGTAATGTTATTCACTATCTATTTTTAAGATAACAAAAATACGTCTTTATAAATAACGACTCGAGCGTACACAGGTTGCATAATAACAAACGCTGATCTCATAACTTTTATTGTTAGCAATCTGTACAGGAATGTCTATTAAAATTAAAGTTATTCTCAATGATAGTCTCTTCTCTTACATTTCTTTCAATTGCTGAATGTATTTTACTATAATGCTGAATAATCAGCTGTTCAACAACAAACAGCTGATTCTTGATAATTTGCAATTTTTTCCGATAAAATTTATCCGCGCAATATTTGATTAATTACTCGATGAACACGAATGTATAGTTTCTACAGACATAGCTTTTAAACAATTAAGAGCACTAACTTGTATAAAAAACATTTTTTAGTGTATATAGTTAATTTGTCATATATTCGTTGGTAGTACAAGTTGGTTTGAAACATAGTTTCACATCGCCTTTACGAGTCAGGGTCTTACTCAAGTATTCAACGGAAATTATGCCCGGTTTCTCCAACGGATGAACGATAAAGCAAGATTTGAGTATTCGCTCTATAAGTGGAAGTTAACAAGTTATATCTACGGTAACTTTTATATTAACCAATTCGTTTAATTCTCTATCTATAGTTATCATCTCAGAAAAAATAATTACATCTTATAAAATGTTGAAAATTCATTATAAGGTAGGTGCAAAGTTTCCAAACTAATTATGTAAGAACGTTATTAAAACGTCTTCAAGATGTAATCATTGTCTCGGCAATTAATTATTATAGAGGCGGCTGAGGGAAAGCTCCTCTTATTGGCGTGATAAATAAGCGTAGCACAGTAACAAAAAGATGGCGATTAATCTAAGTTTAGCTAGTTAGTAGGGCGGGGAGCGAGCTGATCGGAGTGTGGCGGGCTCGTTCAACTTTAATATGCTGGCGTTATCTCCGGTGCGGCGCCGGTGAGGGCCGCGGACCTAGACTAATTACAGCCTCTCATCACAACACAGCCGAAACCATCCGACACGTTATATATCACCAGACATTGTATCAATTATGATAACAACTGCGATCTGTTTCCACGTACGCCATGTCATGATAGCGGCTAACGGATAGCTGGCGGCTCGCAGCGGTAATACGACTTCGCTTCATACATATAGTGTTTGCGAAACGTGAAATATATTTCCCGTTAATATAATTGCGTTATATAATACGTTGCACTAAATTCGATCGAGTAAAGGAAATCACCCAGAAATTATCACTGAATAGACATTTCCTTATATTTTAACTTAAATACGGACGACAATTGTTCAGAGCGTCCGAGAGAATATTATAATCTCATAACGACAGACTTGACAAAACTGTACAGTTAAATGAACATTCCGTGGATTAATGTGATGTTGAAGTTTCAACTTAAATGAGAACAGAAAAAGTGGGACTGCTGAGCACGTCTTTATTAGTGACCACTATGACTGAGCTCTTAATTTCGTTGCCAAATACAAAACAAAAAACATTCCCATGTAAATCAGTTCGAGTTGATATACTAAATGGATGATGATAATAATTCGGTTAAGTTATCCGTCTTAATGTATGTTATTACAAGTATCAAGAGCAAAGTTTTGAAAGTGCTCGTTAACTGGTTGGTAGACTTCAATTTCTCCGCGTCCGGCGGCGCGTGTCGGTGCAATCGGGCGCGGCTGACTTAATGCGATCCGATTCACGGCTGGCGCTCGGTTCGTTGCAACATTAGACTTCATTCACCTTCCGCAAACACCGATCAAAAACTATACAATAATCCGCATTCCTATTTCACAACAATATAACAACCAGTTACAATAGAAATCGCGTTACAATGTAGCGTCACGGATTCGTATCATGTTAAAAAAAATATTTTTGCATTTCGTTTATAATATTTTTACATGATACATTAACATTAATCGTACGGTGATGCAAGACATTCAAATTGTTCACCGGTAACAGCTAACAATAGTTCGACAGCAGAGCGCCACGGACCTGTAGAGGTCCTAGCACTGATTACAGTTTCAATATATAATGAGGCGAGCCACTCTCACGCCTACAGCCGGTGGGCAGAGCGCTAATTTCAATACCCTCTTGATTATTTAATAAACACGTGGTACGAGCAACTAAACAACGGGAACAAAGGGAAAGCTCGCGACAGGTAATTAATTCAGGAGACAATGTAGCTTTTTGCTGCTAAACTATTGTCTTTGTCCTCGGTTCACATATTAGACATTCTTGCAAGCAGCGTTGAAAACTGCACATAGAAAAATGAGAAAATTCACGAGAGAAAGTGTTCATATATGTGTGTGCGGGCGGTGAGGGGTTTGAGAGGGGGGCGGGGTGTAGGAGGCCGAGGCGGAGGCGGCACAAGACGGGCGCACAGTTTAATTTCCCACGAGGTCGATCTCTGCGCCGCGGAGCGCAACCCGCGGGAATTAATTGCCAGTAATGAATAGTCAAGTGAACGCCCGTTAATTATGTATAGATATGCTCAAATTAAGAAATAACACCCGCTGTCTCTCAAACCAACGACGCACATTACATTACACCTGTCGTAAGAATCACTCCCGTCCATACACCTAGAGTGATCTTAATTAGATATCGCGACACAGTTAGAAACTGTCTCGAGACTATAAGAGCTACAACAATGGCAAAACTAATATGACAATTATAAAGTTTTTTCTTCGCACATTCTACAGAATAATACGAAATTTTCACACAGATTGTAATTTAGAGCAGGTTGCAGGTAACGAAGCGACATATTGTTTTAAGTTCGTCGACCTCTTATTATATGCTCTGCTTGTTCACTGCTCCGTTGAGTTTAAAGAATAAGATTTTTAATCTTATTCATGCTATGTGATTATAATAAACATTCACATGTACATATATTTTTAGCTTTTAATTTAATATTTTTTCTTTCTTTTGACCTTAAAATTATATACTAAATTTATGTATGACAAGAAACTTAATATGTATAAAATAAGAAAAATAATATGAAAACAAAGGGATTACGGCGTATGTATGTTTTATAACTTAACCTTCCCTTCTATACCATACAAATCTTTATAACCCCACGCTTATCATTAATAGTTTCTAATGGCATAAACAGATCGGCACCATCCGGCCTACAGATAAACTCTCAAATACAACTACGTCAAGATTAGACTTAACGAAGTATTTAATAAAATAAACCTTCACCGAAATAACATTCCTATACAATTCTCGTTCGTATTTAATTCAAAAATAACATTTTATAAAAACTAACAAAAACGTAGTGGGAAAATATAACCGTAAGGTATATTAGTATGACGGTAATACGACATGCGACAGATAAGACGTTATTGTGTCATCATTGGTATTGATAGTGGTTCTATCACACAGACCGTTACAATCGGTAATGATGTTAGGGTGTAGCGTTATTGCTTCCTAGTGTTGTGTGAACTGGCGATACTAGCTAGAGGCTTGGGGGACTGCAAGCTCTCACATACAACACGCTAACGGTATCGCCTCGCCTAGTTACTTTTGTATGTAAATAATACATGTAACTTAGAATTAAATGTTACATCAGATGCATCTTCAACTTATGTTTGAAATATCAAAGATTTATTTTTAAAAGAACGATAGTATTTACTTATGAAAATTATCAATCAACATCATAGTTAGTGACGATAAATGTTTTTTAAACGTCTGTGTGATGACGCCTCGTAAAAGAAATAAAACTTGTAGATAATCAAAGGCTTCTGCGTAACGATGTAAACTACGCTCGGTGGAAGCGACTAGCGAGCGCCCCACAGACAACCCCATTCTATTATCGCCCTTTACAAACGGCGAACTCAAAAAATCCTGGCTGAGCAACAACTGCAATACCTCTGCCGTGATAGTCTATTGAAACGCAAATTAATACAAAATGATATAAACAGGAAATGATTTGAAATTCCATAATTAGTAACGTTTGTGACAGAAACGTAAACATGCTTTTAAAGTGCCACGATTATTTTGTTATAATAAAATATATAAACTGTCAATTAATAAAAATATCTGAATTACTATCACATCTTTGAGTTTAGTTTTATCAAACAAGGGATCATGCTCTCCCCCCCCCCCCCTCTCCAATGTAAACCAAGATGGTGGAAAACTTTTCTAGAGCGTTGTATGATAAATAAATCTCTATAAAGCATTCAGTCTTATGGTTTCTAGCGTGAAGAAAGTAGGTTTACGATTACCTCGGCCTAAAACCTTTCACTTAAATGCTTTTACTGCTCGTCACACACACTAACAAAGGATAATGCGGAGCTCAAAGGGCTGCATTGTTATATACAATTTACTCACTATATAAGATCACATACATGATAATGTGCGAACCATTCGCAACAAACTAACTTTTTATAGTCTGGTATTATTGAAAACTTTTCAATCACAATGACAAAGTATGTAACTAGCTATGAATTAATACTATTGGCATTTAAATACAAATTTCTTATAACGTATTCTCATCAAACATTAATGTATATTGATAAAAACCTCTCATGTTATTTGTATTATAAGTTCGCTGAACATCTCCTAACGTCAAATGAAATATATTTTTTGTGTATAATTGATTGTACTTCATCTAATATGATAGGACCAACACAATGAGCTCGACAATATCTTCGGAGACGGTAAATATAAAAGGGTTGTTATTAATGATGCCTGTAACATTAATATTAACACACAGACAGTCAATTCAGTCCATTGTGTTCCGTAAACAACGTTCAAAATTACATCAACAATGCCTTATATTTTCGTAAAACGATTTAATAATCATTGAATTCAGTATAATGACCATCAAAAGAAATTAAATAGCTTTTAGCGAGGACCGCCTTAAAATACTCAAAGGAATTATGATGTTTTTCTTCTTTTTAACTTCGCACCTGTCAATTTTAATATAGAGGTGTTTGGTTTTATTTTTTGTTTCAGATGAATTTGACGAGTTCATTATACAGGATGTGATAAATTGTAATTATAATTTGTCTGAGTTATCCTCGACAAGGGTGTAAATAAAAAAGTATAATTAAACGATTCACTTATATCTTATAGCGGTGTTATTTAAACAAAACGAATGTTGCTAGATTATATAAGGTATATTAGTTTTCCGCCCGCAGTTTCGCCCGCGTGGAGTTCGGTTATATCGCGTTTCCAAGAGAACCTTTCAAAAGTCTTATATAAAAACTATCCTATGTTCTTTCTCAAGGTCAACTTTGTCTCTACACCAAATTTCACTAAAATCAGTTCAGTGGTTTAGGCGTGAAAGCGTAACAGACAGACAGAGTTACTTTCGCATTTATAATATTAGTAGGGAAGTAGGGATATGTCCAAAAACTATTCTTTATATTTACCTGCGTTATTTATTTATGTCAATCTAATTGAACAACATACATTCTTCAATGTTATGATCATGTTTAAGTAAACGGATCGCTAAGAGTAAATTTCTTAGTGTACAGTTAATTCCTTAAATGACGGTACGTCGTCAAACACAGATCGATCTACGAGGCAATAAAAATAACAGATTATTGGGCTAAAACTTGTTAGCAAATATTACATCATTAGTTATTACAAAAACAACTCGTGATAGGAAATGGAACAAGACAAATAATAATTATATAGCCCTAAACTAAATTTAAGAGGTAATAAGTAAAGTATAATTACATATTAATAACACAAAACTAAAGTGATTACAAATCAATAATCATACGCTATAAAGTATATGGTATACCAGTCTGTAGAAATACATTGAGAAAAAAAATTAACGCATTATAAAGTTTAAGTTATTTGAAAGAACACTTTAAATCTAAGTTTGCATGGTCTGATATTATATGGGGTGTAAGCTGTTGTCTTTTATCAACTATAATGTCAATAATGTGTAAAGATTTATGAATGAAAAACTATCTACTCTCCGAATGTAGAGCGACTATGGAAAAATGAAGTAAACATAGAATGTAAAACAGTTATTTCAGTCTTCCTTTTCTATGACCACAATAAAGCAAAGTTCATGTAATTCAACATTCAATGTCATGTTCTGAATATCGTGTGTATAATGCAAAATGTATAATGCAAAACAATATCAATAAATATATGTCCATATATAAATTCGTACCGATCAAAAGTTTTATATAGTAAGGGTATCGTCTCAGTCATTTAATTCTGAATCCAGTGATAATTTAATGGTCAATATTAGACATTACAATGTCATGTTTTGTTTACAAACGAGGAGTTTGTCTAACAATGCAAAAGTATTAACCAATTTATCAACCACTGCAGTATTGACATTAAATTTATACATTTAACAAACACAACATCTACGAATAATAGCATAAAATGAGATAAAAAAATTCGAAGTGTCAATTTCCTAATTGCAACAATTATTAACTGACCTCATAGAATCGCAAAATGTTTTTCATTGAAAATGCTTCATTATTTATATATATTTAATTCTAAAATGCCCGTATTTCGGTTTTAGTTAACGATACCATAGACAAGTGTTCTCTGTACCAGCTAGTACCGATTGTGGTAAAGATTAAAACTTTAACGCAATACTAAAAGCATCACTCTGTATAAACGCCGTTTGTAAATACAGCAAAGGTCAACGCCCTGAGTCCGGTGATTCGATACACAAGCCGTTTTTATTTTACATCAACGCGATTGCTTAGCGAGGAGTGTCGAGAAGACAGCGTCACGTGTCAGACATGTATCAGATATAAGGTCGTACATCATCTTTAATACATAGTTCAGAGTACTGATCAAGTCTGTGAGTAGTGTCAATTTACAGTCTGTATATGAGCGAGCCGGTCTAGGATATGTCAGACACATTTTCATCAACAGATATCCCTTAGTTTCTTCTGAAGCTTGTCCGACCCTGACTAACGAACCGTGTTAAAATAACTGTAACCACGCTAACTTTGAAAGTAGCGGGTTTCATGATTCAATATGTATTAACCCAGGATGATTATCGCCATACTATATTCTTGACTCTGCCGTGGTCATGATATGACTGGTGTAGTCATAGTATGTGTATAGAAGGGTTGTTGTTTACTGACCTGCAGCTCGAAGGGTTGGTGATGCTGCGCAGAGTCCGGCGCGGCGGGCACCACGGACGCTCCGTTCACGAGCCCCGCGCCGCCCACTCCGCTACTGGACGCGCTCACACCGCCCACGCCACCGCCCACCCCGCCCACACCGCCCGCGTACTGCACAGATATTACATAGATATTAGATGAGAAATATAAGAATTAAAATTGAAATTAAATTGTAGCAGAATCAGTCATTTATGATTAAACTTGACCATGGCTTAATCGAAATTTTATACACTAAATATTGTCAGAACAAACTTTAGACAAATATTACTCGTTCACTCAAATAAAAAACTAAGTTAGGACAAACTAAAATAAAGTACTAACCTGTTGTGTGTTTGCAAAACTGTTGTTGTCAAACTGTGGGTGCTGTTCCATTTGTAATACAAGTTCAATGTGCTGGTTCATAGAGTCATTTAGATTCATGCCTGAAACATAACAAATCAGTTATATTTTCTTTCCAGCTTGTGTCTTGAAACAAAATAATGTTTTCTTGTATTTAAACTAAACTTTATCAAAGTCAGGGCACAGCAAAGGTTTTAATTAATAATAAAACATGTTTTTATATAAAGTAATCATTATTTAAGGTAGTAGGTACTCACCAGGATGAAGTTGAGGATGCTGTGGATGTGGCAGACCTTGGAGAGGAGCAACTCCAAGCATACCGGGGTGATGCTGCAACAATATATTACTATTATAAATATACACTACAAATATATTACATTTTTTATACACAAGGAAGTATGGTCATTACTAAGTCATCAAGATAATCATAGTTTGCCAAAACTGATTTAACTTTTAAATATATGAATATCGCAAAATACCTTCCATACGTAAGGAATAAGAATTACAAAAAAAAAATATTGAATTCTATCCAATTTTTTTGACGTAATTTGCAAACACAGCAAGGGACCATATTATGTATATGGAATGCACTATTGGTGTATATATTTTAAAGTATCAACTAATACCTGCGGGTGCTGCAGATGCGGCAGGTGGTGCAGCTGCGGCTGCGGCGCGGGCAGCGCGTGCGGCAGCAGGGGGAAGGCGCCCGCCTCGCCGTTGCGAACACCCACGCCCACCCCGACGCCCACGCCGCCCGCGTTCACCCCGCCGGTGCCCACGTTGTTCATGCCGCCCACGCCACCCTCCTCCTCAGCGGGAGACGGCTGCCGGGAGCCAGGGGTGCGACTGAAACAAACGGATTCAAACAAAATTATTTTCAATGAGAAATATGTAATATACAGGGTGACTGGTGAATTACTATCGATACTTGAGGACGTAATATTTGACGATCATATATGACAAAATAAAAATTAATATAACATAAATATTAATAAACTTCTAAGTAAAGTTAACCAAAAGTTATGTAATTAATTACGCATCGTGTGAACACCCTTCAGATTACGTATACATACACACACACACACACGTGCGGCGGCGTAGTGTTGTATCAGCACGCCGCCGCACGCGTCCACACTTGGAACACTTGGAACGTGTCCTCACTTTATTTATTTATACGGAAATTTTCTCAAAAATTAAGTACCTATTTTTTTTACATAATTCGAATAAGAATCATGTACCGAGTATTCTCCTTAAATATTGATAGTAATTCACCAGTCACCCTGTATAGTTAATGTATGTAAAATAACTGTTTCCCATCTCCATACATATTGTAAACGACAAATCTATATATCTATTTATTTTCTTTGGTGACCGTTTAGTGTTATAACTTTCTATGACGTAACAATGGATAGGGAATTAAGCAAAAAACAAATACAGATTTTGGTTAATACATAAAACATAAAAGAGTATTATTTAGTAACCACGGTTATATCGTCAAATGGGTATGTAAATTATTAATTCTAAATAATAAAGCGGCGTTTTTGAAAAAATTTAACTTTTATATCCCGTTAAAAAGTAATTTTGTTTATGACAATTATGTACCTCTTTTCAAAAATTAGTCAGTGACAGTTATTTTAGTTTCGTACATACGATTATCGATTTGTTTTTATGGAGCTATTAATTATTAATAAGAATAAACAAAAATTTTAACATATTCTTTTATTGATAAAAACTTAATTATTTCGATCTAAGTGGACCTTGAAAAACTAACCACAAAAAATTAAACCTATTTTATATTTATATAAATTTTAATTAATGTTTATATGATAAGCACGTTTATAAAAGCGTGATATGTGTGAAACAAAAATAGCCTCGTAGGTCATTAAATTATTCGGGTAATCAAATCTTTCTTAAATTTATCGTAGTAATCTATACGCACGCACACACATACACGTCACACATAGGCACTATCAGTCGCGATGAATCATAAAATGATAATTGATAAGAGATCGCGGTCTGGTGTCATTGAGTGAGGCCACAGCCTCGGTTATTGCCCGCCGGCCTTGCCGACCGTCCGCGGTCCGCCCCACACACACATATCGTCACTCAAACTGGTTATATATTTCTCATTCTTATGAGCCGGTACAGTGAATTATTACCCGCTGTTACTCTAGATACCTTCCATTCTTTTGTCTCCTCACTGCTCACGTTATATACGACATGCAAGTATCTATTACAGAATCGATTAATTTTCTAAAATAGTTTACAAACCGTTAGAATCTCGAATTAGATAACACATGTAAGATATGATGAAATACGTAATCTCTTTTATAATCCTTTTTGTTTTACTTTATAACCTTTAACCCGTCTTAGTCTATTCTACAAACGCGTCAATTTTAAATACAATTATTAGTTGGAACAACAAATTGACACAATAACAGATGGCTTTTAGTGGTCAGTGTTTTAGTTTCAATGTATCACATATTAATATATGAAGTTATGTTAGGTTCTCAACGGTCTCACTTACTAAACCTGATGGAGGTATTTTTTTTTTTATGGGAAAAGGAGACAACCGAGCAGACGGCCTACTTGATGGTGGGTAGTTACCGTAGCCCATTAACATCTGCAACGTAGATATGCAGATGTGTTGCCGCCCTTGTTTGGGGAAAATGGGGAGTAAAATGTGGGAAAGGGAGGGAAAGGAAAGGGTGGGAAAAAGGAAAGGGCAAGGTGTGTACATGTCAACTAACTTGAAGGCCTTGTCGTCGTCCTGCCCGTTGTGCAGTCCGTTCTGCAGCGCGGCGTGTTCGTGCAGCTCGTGCAGGTCCTTGTCGGCCGGCTGCTTGTCGTCGGAGCGCTCGTCCAGCACCATGCCCCGCAGGCCCGCCACCACGCCCGCCACCTTATCTCCGCCGCCCGCCACGCCGCCCGCCACTGCACCCGCCGCGCCACCCTCTACGACACACACTGTACGCTCAGTCGCCACCACCGTCGAATTTTAAACACTCGTTATGGCATTCGTTAGGATAAATTAATAGAATTTTAGTGTGGTTTATAAGCGTTTCCAGTTAGTGATGTTTAGTGTAGTATCAAAGTCATTACCCGTTGGGGAGCCTCTCAGCACGTACTCCACCATCTTGACCCCCAGGCCGGCGGTGTCTCTCGGTGAGAGGATGCTGCTGGCATCGCCGCCGGGGAACGCTACCCCGCGACGGGTACCCATCATTGGTACACCCACATTGTGTTCCACTGCTAATGATTTTATAATTATTACATACAACAACATACAAAACAATTATAAAATATTTAGAAGGCCTAAATTGAATCACAAGCCAACCTTGAGCAGACCAAGTGGGGTCTCGCCACATTTGTTCAGGGTTCAGCTGCAAGGGTGGTAGGTGCGGTGGTCCTTTGATATCACCTCCAGCTCCAGGTCCTTTGTCCCACAACTTTTTTGCAGATGGTGCAATCTGTAACAGAAATGAAAACAAATTAAGTAAAATTTATTACTTGAAAAGAAAAACTTATACCGATATATAAAACAATTAAAAATGTGTGAACAAAATAATAATACCTAAAGAGAATTCAATTACATTAATTATAATCTTTATGTTATTCACAAACAAAATGAACACTTTACAAAAATATGCAAATTATTTAGACATCAAGAACATAGCCATAGTCATAATAATAACACAACCATGGTTTATAAGTCATTGTTATAAACAAGAAGGTTCAAAATGATTAAGTTTCAAGTTATTAAAAGGTTAAAATTTTTAAAATGAATGACTTTTATACATATTTACAATAATTATCTCTATGCACACATCTCTTTGAAAAAGTTATCTCGACCATTCAATCTTTAATGTAAAACTAATTGTTAGAATTAGATATGTCAGAATTAGGATCTTCATAAACAGTTCTCAAAACTATTAAACGGTAAACAAGTATTGTTCAATGGGATCAATACTCTCACTAATACATTCCCATTTACACGGACTCATTAAATTGATCTTCGACAAAACCCAGCATCCACTTATATACTATAATTATAATGTACTCATATAATAAAACTTTAATATATTATATAAACTTCTATCATTGTTATAAACATATCATCAATACTAATATCAAGAACTTTAACACGACTACACACATCATGCTTGTAAAATTTGCCTGTCAACAATTTTTATACACAATAATCTAAGTTGTAACAACATTTAAATGATATTGACCTATCACTTTCTAGGAAAACTTAAAACTATCACTTTCTAGGAATAATTAAGACAATGTCAATCTTGTTAATGATCAACATTTATTCAAGAAGTATCCATTCATTAATCAAACACATACCTCTATTTATAACGAGACTACAGAGTAGAAATTTAACACATGTTGAATGATTTCACTTTTAAGATGTATGAATAACAACTTTGTTGAGAAAGAAGCTTAAAATTTACAAATTTTTTTCAAGTTGAACTACTTGTTTAGAGTTCTCCGAGACGAATTTAGTTCAATTGTTTGGGTCAAAAACGTACATGGTCAAAATACAAATAATAAACGATTACTATAATTGTTCACTATATAAATACATATAAGCGATGTTTTAAATATAAACAGTAACTATGAAAGCTTTCCTAAATTAAACTTATATAGTTACTTCTTGTTTGAACACCGGTGAAACAAATAATACGAACTAGAAATGGCGGACGCCGGTGACAAGTAAACAAAACAAAAACGGACCTGTTGCATAGAAAAAACAATATTTCCATAATTTCATGACTTAAAATAATATCTAAATACAGAATCCTATACTACAGAACACAAAAACTCACCATGTCGGGGCCCATATCCTTAACATTAGGTTCGAAAAAAAAGTCACTCAAAGGTTTCATGCGTACAATCCACCTAAAGCTTTGTAATCATGTACCACAATGAAAGCTTTTAAGACGATATAGAATACAGAACATTGATCACTCGTTTTTAAACAACGAAAACACCACTTATAAGTAAAACACAACACATTTCTTACAGTAAATCGTTCAAATGCAGCAAAATAAAACTGAATAATCTAAACTCAAAAGTACAATGTTGACTTGTTTCGAACAAAGGACATACGCCGATCACAGCGCTTGCGCTAACTTCCCCGACTACGGGAGCGTCGGACGAAGTGAAGCTTCAAGAAATTGTTCACAGATGGCGCAAAACACCAAAAAGTTTATAGAGTGAACGAACTTTTTGCGCTCATTTCAAAACTTTAATCTGATTCACGCAATACTTTTTTCAAATACGTCAAACGTAAAAATGGCAATTTTAATAATATGCGTAAACAGTTTTTATAGCTAACAAATTAGAAGTGACCGTTTTATATTTAAAATATTAATAATTTAGTTAAAGTAAACATATTTATAGAATTATTAGAACTTAAAAGACTTTTCTTGCAAGTTCAAACATATATTTTAATATCAGGAGTTATATCTACGTAGTATACATACAACAGTCATTTTACACTTTATCCTAATTGCCGTCGTTTGAAAAACCCCTTAGGACACTAGAACGAAACAGCTTATAAAAGTCTACAAACTGTTAAGAGATTTCACTGCTGTTGTTTCGTTTAAAAGGAAATCAGCATTTCTCATTGACGGTTTTTCTTTTTAAATTCATTATAAAATATTATAAGTACATGTAACATTAGTAATTATAGAAAAGTTTCATCAATAAACATCAAATATAACAAAAAAATATTTAAAAAACTGTCCTAGTAAAGAACTGTTTTTTTCTATTTGGTTGTTTGCAAAAATCGAGATTGAGTTACTAATATATAAAATTATTATCTTGAAAATTGAAAAAGTTACTGTATTTATTTTTTAAATATATCAGATTATTTTAAATCTTAGAAATGATTCTCTTTTCAGTACTATTCAATAGAGTTTTGGTAAAAAGTTTGTTACACATAACAATGAGCCAATAAAGTTGTTTTATTATGTATTTTAAGACAGTCCTTTTAAGAATGTCATACATTTTTGTGAGTGGTAAAAGTTTCTATATAATGTTAAATGTTATAGGTAAAATAAATAAACATATATGCATAAGGCAACACTCATTGAACAAATATATATGGTAGAAAAATATACTAAATAATGTCCCTTAAAAATACTGTTTTTATCAAAGTTAAGACAAGACAAAATTTAAATATTGTAAATATTAAAATGATATAAAATCAAAAGTTTATATGAGATATAATTCTCATTCATTTCATTGATTCAAACAACTAGGAAATAATTATTTTTCTACAGCCTTTACTTAAGAATAAATATATTTGATATATGAAAGATGAGGTAAAACAATATTGAATATTAATTTCATTTCCTATTATAAGCAAAATGTTGTTAGACTGTACAGATGTTTGTTTACAAACCTAAGTAACATTAGCTGTTATAGTAGAATAACTATTAATCACTGAAATTATGTGTCTGTTACTTATTAACTCAGTGCTTACTAAAATAAACATAAGAGATTTCAATAAAATATATGTATAATATAGTACATGTGAAGTTTATGTATTTTAAAAGTTTGTTCAACTTTTTGAAGTTTTATTAAGTAATGGAATTGCATCTTTATAGACAAAAGATATGAAAAATTGTCAAATAGAATGTAATTTTGATGGAAAATATTTGTCAACTTTGTATTTATAATAAACAGCATATTACCGATAATATTAATAAAAAATTATATATTTTATATGTAAAATAAAAAATATATGTATGTAAAATATATATGTAGCATTGAAACTAGTTGTTTTTAACATACATACAGATTATAGTGATAAAAGATTACTAAAAATTATAAATTATTTACTTATAACCTATACACCTAAGTATGTACATTATAAATGTCACACAACACAAAACTCTAGCTGATAAATAAAGATATGTTTGCCAGCCTGTGGGCACTGATATTATTTAGGTGGTAAATTATCATTTGAAGAGCTTTTCTTAACATATTCTATATTAGAATAATAAATTGTGAAACTTCAATAACTATATTAGTGTCTCAATTCAATATATTATATAATAAACGGATATATCTTTAATTAATGGTAATAACTTTAATTTAAACTTAACATAGGATAATATATATTTTTAACTAACACTAGGTGACAAATTTTTAATTAAATATCACAAACTTTATAATTGTTTTCTTTTAATAATTATGACCTTTTGACACACAATCAGTATATTTATATGAGTGATTATTATTAAACAATATTTTGTATTTGTTGTAGAGTAAATAATAACTATATCTGATTATTTTGGAAGTTAGTGACTTCTTCATAATATAACTTATAACAAACAGACAACCAATTATGACTTTTCATTTCATTTAACTGACAGTTCATCAATATCTAAGAGAAACAACAAAATAAATTTAAATCATTCCATTTTAGAAGTCAGCATTAATGATTTTAAAAAGAAAAAAATAATGGGATACTCATTCATAGACTGTATGAAAAAGTATTTATTAATAAAATTTATACACTAGTTATACTGTCATAATATTGAGTTATTTCATAAAAATATGTGACCTGAATTTTTTATGTTATAGTATAGTAAATAAGTAATTAAACTGTGAACAGCATACATTCATAAATATATATCAATGTAATCCACATAACTCATGTATAATACTAATGCATAATGCTTCAGGTACTCAATATTTGACTCATACATTATGAGTGGAGCATTTTATCAATTCAGCATATGTATAGTGAAACATATGATTCAAATACTTCAACATTTCTGCTTTTTAGGATAGACTATATTTATATGACATAAATAATAAACAAATATGTATATAAAATTTAGTATTACTGCTAAATACTAATTGCTATTTCAAAACACTACTATAATTGTTACAAATAAGATGTATGTTAGTACTATTTAACTAATATGAACTGTTATACCGATTTATTTAATAGTATAATACTACCGTAATTTATATGTTATTATATATTATATACTCTAAAGCTACTCCTTACCTGATTTCTTATTGCAGCGACTGGTGTAAGCCCAAGTTGATTCTGTCCTTGTTGTAGAAATTGATTTGTTCCGGGGGCAAGCATGCCAGCCTGACTTAGATACATGAGGTGCTCAGCACTTTTGCCCATGCCATTCATAGGAGCTTGCATGGGAGTGGCTGGGTGTTGATGAATATCATATAAACCTTGCTGCCCCATTTGAGGAGCATTCTGCATTCCTTGAAGAGGTTGCAGCATCATGCTGTTCTGTATGGCCAAATTGTTACCCAATGTGTGGTTTTGTAATGGAGCCAATTGGGTATGGACCATGTTTGTAGTCAAATGTGCCGGGTGGCTTCCAATCACAGACGGGTTTATAGCTAGCGTGCCCACCGAGGATGCTATCGCCTGGTTAATATATTGTTGATTGGTTTGTGAGTTCTTTAACTGTATATGACCTTGGTGTTGTATGTTATTCATTGTTATAGGAGTATGATTCTTCCATTTATCTTGATTCTGAAAAAAGAGGATTATTCAATTAGCAAAAACAAAATAACATTGTAAATAAATGACATCTACACAGAAAACTTAACATATCAAGACACTTAAAAGGTTATAAATAAGACTCAGTCCTCTAAATAATATTAATATGTAAATAAACTTTTATTCTATTCATACTTTAAAATTAGACTGAAATGAATCATAATAATAACATAAAAGTCAATGAGACCAAGTGTGTGAAGGTTACTGTACTCAATATTTATACATAATGTCAGTAATAGTCTGAGTTCCAAAGTGTACAAACCTCTGCTATCGAATCTTCGCAAACCGCCCAGCGTTGTTTAGGAGCTAGTGTAGACAAATCAGCTTCTTGGTTCTCTCGCTGGAACACATAATGTACAGCGGCGTCGTCCTGGGCTCGACTTTGCGATACTCGCGCTGTCTGCAGACCAGCTTCGCCCGCCTCTTCCTCTCCGCCAGTACCCGGCCACTTCATTGGGCTACCGTGAGGTTCGAGCATTCAGTTTCACTATTCTTCAATCCTATGCAATCGTAAACAGTACGTATTCTTCGATCTTCTGTTTATAGACAATACAACTTTACGCTGCTATTATTCTAGTCAAATGTGAATTCGACCATTAATCATCATCAAAAATACTATATGAAGCTATTGGAATTGGTTACTGAAGCCATTTAAAGACTATAATAGTCTTTTTGTCTTTGTAATGACAGCTACTAGTTTTATCGAAGCACGATGACAGCCGCTATGGGAATCAAAATATTGCATGAAACTGCAACGGTCTGTTTCTCAAGTTAAACACAAAGACAATAGATGAAACCGATGATAAAAAAGTAGTGTTATGTGCAATAATTTTGAATTTAAATATTATTTATAATGTACCAATGTACTAACTTTTAGTTTAAAGATATTAGTCGGCGTCGAAAACTGAATCGAATAAACACTCAAAATAATACACTATTCACACAATTTCTAAACAAAACGACCACAAATATAATTACTATATGTACACAGAACTATTTACAATGTACAATTTTTACAAAAAACTCGGTTTATGCCATTTGCTACCGTCGATACTTTTCGATTTAGAAAAGACTACAAACATCCTTCACTGCCTGTCCGCCATAGTCGGTCGGGCAGATGCGATGCGCGCGCAACGCGCAAAGCTATAATATAAACATAAATAAATACAGCCAACGTTTCATTACACATTAAAACATATTTTAATGAAACTAATTTTTTCAAATATTACCGTACAATAATAGGCTGAAATGGAATATAAAATATCAATAATAATTAACTAAGTATGATCATATGAATGTTAAAAAGCTTTAAAAATAAATACGAATTAAATGTTTTACTAAAATTATAATTAATCGCTTAAAGTTAAAAATGAATACTATAAAGCAAATTAATAACTGTTTAACTTTATATTCCTATACACAACGTTTTTAGATATTTCGAACAATGAATCATTCAAGTATATATTTTGCAAATACATTTAAACATTTTGCTTATTACGGTATAAATTTAGATTTTTAGATATTTGACTTAAGGTCTACATACTATTTTAAATTAAATTATTATTTAAGAATATAGATCCCATAGTTTTTTACAAAATATTTTTCACTGCTGTATTTATAATCTCCAGTTTTGAGATTCGTTTTACGTATCATACACAAACAACGTTTGACTTTAAACTTTGTGACTTAAATTTCCATGTGTTATGTGTGCAGTACACATCAAATCACACAATCACATCAAATACTTAGTTTACCCACACTAATTTGTATGTGTATTTTTTAACATACTTTGATATAAATTGTAACTTAAATGAAAAAGCCGTATTTTTGACTTGTATGAAAAGTTCTATGATAATAATGATGATTGTTTTTTTTGGTTTATTTACATATACTGTATACTAGTTTCATTATCATGGATATATGCAAAAAAAAATCAATTATTAGATTCTGTATTATTCCAGAAATCATTTTAAATTAAACAACTTCAATATTAACTATTGCAGTTTTATTATTATTTAACAGAAATCTTCCATCTTATATTTCAGTATCAAATAAACATTTACCTAGAAGGTATAATTGTGTTTTTAATATTAAATCAATATTGAGCTAACATGAATTTAAATTCAAATACAAAATAAAGGAAAAAAATTTTATCAACAGAAGCAGTATTCGAACATTTAACTTCTGGAATATCCAGATTAAAATTAACGATAGTTCTTTTTTATACAGTATAAATATTTACCAAACATTTTCCATAGGAACATAAATGTGTATATGGGTAAGGGATTTCAATTATGTAAACAAAAAAATTGCAAACTTATAATATTGTATGTAATAAATGAAAATAATATCAAAGAAAACAAATTTAGTGATAGTGTAATCTTTTTTATATAAATTACGAAAATGTAAGGATGGACAAAAAATAGTAAGAATAGCAATAAGTATGAAAGTCATTTATTTTACTTAAGAGATAATAAAAATTATATTGGTTTAATCTTGAAATGCAGTCCTATGAGAGAGAAGACAAGACATTTGAGATCCTGCACCAGATAATAGAAACAGCGCAAGCCTTCAGGATCTCTGGACTGGTTGACATCTACCAGCGAGCCAGTCTTGGAGGTAGTGAATGAAATGTGCTCCTCGCCAATAACTATTTCAAGTTCCTGAAAATTATAAACATTCATTTCATTAATAATTTTTCTTATATAACTACTTACTGTTATTAAGATTATATTGATATGTATATATTCCATATATTAAAGTCCTTTTACAGTGATTGTAAGAGATTAGAACTACTTGGGGTTTAAATTACAAATACTACTTTGTATGAGACAATTTTATTATATTGTTGATATTGTTAATGTGAAATAAATTTTATATACATAAAGCGTATCTTACCTGTCTACCAACTCGGTCAGGTTGAGGCCACAGACGATCGTCTTCATGCATTATTTCAGAATCAACAATGATTCTTTTAAGTTCGTCCATCACGCATGGATGCACATATGCTTCCTTTCTAATCATAGTGTCGTTCTTATAATTAGAATTATTGGCGTATCGCAGTTTCCCGTCAGGCCTGAACTCAAATTCAAGAAACTCATGTCCAAATTTACCTTTGTGGCCTACATAATAACGTATATAAAAATCTGAAGACATTGCAGACTCGGTAGACGCAATTTTGAATGGAATAGTTACAACGTGTTAAAAAATACTTTTCGTATCGCTTTCGCTTATAATGACACTGAATATTGTTTAAGAAACATTAATAAATTCACAAAGTAAGCGGCAAAGCTAACAAGCCACAGGTTGACAAGAGCAGATAAATGACAGATGTTTGTCGTTGTACGAGAGTTATTATTCAAATATTTATATTCTGTTTCTATAGATATAACCTGTAGTAATTTTTATTCAAATGTTTTATTATTTTTAAATGAAAATTCAGAATAATAAAGTAATAAAAATTTATGCGAGTTTAATACATTCAAGTCAACTTGATTTCGTACCCATAATCTACTAATACGTAGTTATTAAATCATAAAGTATATTTTTCAAATGCTTAGTAGCAGAAAATATTATTGTCATAAATACTGTATCAATTATAAATAATATCAATGAATTTGTACTTCACCGAATTTTGTCTCATTATAATTTATTTTGCAGTTATGTAGAGTTACTAAAATACTTGTTGAATAACTTAAAAAGAGGTTTCATTGAGAAATTTACTGTCTAGAAAAAAAGATAATTTGAATTTTAAAATTCAATCATCAGTAAGTTCTTTTACGCAATTCATTTGTTTTGTCTTGCTCAAAATAGTTTCTGGTATTCGAACTCTAGTCCGTAAGAAAATTCTTATTATTGCAAAAATATTATTAAGTATAGTATTATAATAATGAATTGTTTTAAGTGAAAGAATCAGTGGCGTATAAGTTTCGATAAGGGCTCCGAAAAAAGCAGTCCATTTGACTTTATAAGAAGTATTATTAATGTCTGCAAATGATTACTTACTTTATTCAATATATTATAAAAACTTTAGAAAAAAATATCATTTTCTCCGTTTGTGTAATATAATATCAGATTGTACAAGAAAACCAGTTTGATAGTTAGTACAAGACATAGACAATATATTGTAGTAGGGTATAGAGAAGAGAATTTAGAGGTTTAAAAAGTGTCAGACGTCAAATCTTTTCTTTCTGACCCAGCGCAAGATGGGTGAGTATTTTGTCGAAATTGTGCATTTTATCCGTTAAAATCTTTGTAACGGAGTTATATTTATAATTGAAATTTCATAAATGGATAGTGCAATACTCGTGAGTGTTATTGAAAGATGTATTTTTGTTATATATCTTTGATTTTACGTGAAGTGATAGTGTTCTTTTCCGCTATGGGTGATATGTATTTCGTTAATAACAAACATTAATATTTAGGTATCAGTCGTGATCACTGGCATAAGCGAAGGGCCACCGGTGGCAAACGTGCGCCCATTCGCAAGAAGAGGAAATATGAGTTAGGTCGCCCGGCTGCCAACACCAAGGTATGTATCATAATATAACCTAAAACTCGTCCATGTTGTTACTTGTTAGTGACTTAAGTTTGTGACTCCTAGTTCTCATTCGGGAATCTTTTTCCAGCTCGGTTCCCAGCGCATCCACTTAGTGCGTGCTCGTGGTGGTAACATCAAGTATCGTGCACTGCGTCTGGACACTGGAAATTTCTCGTGGGGTTCCGAATGTAAGGGAGCTATTCATGTCGCTATCATGGTTTCTTTTACTCAATTAAGATAATAATTTGTATTGTTAGTATTTTTACGTACGTTTTATTTACATGTAACTCGTATTGCAGGTGCAACCCGTAAGACTCGCATCATCGATGTTGTTTACAATGCGTCCAACAACGAGTTGGTGCGTACCAAGACCCTTGTCAAGAACGCTATCGTGGTTGTGGACGCCACACCATTCAGGCAGTGGTATGAGTCTCACTACCTGTTGCCACTCGGCAGAAAGAAGGGCGCCAAGTTGGTATGTAACACTATTTAACTCTATCTACACTGTTTAAAGAAATTCCCTATTAATTTAGGTCTATTCACTCAATATTTCCTTTGTCTTGTATATTACTTTTTCTCTATGATGATAACCTTTGCGTGTCATATGATTTTACATGATTTCAAATGCCATAACTGATGTATGACCTAAAATTCACTGAAAAAATCAGAATAAACTGTATTCAAACATGTCCTCATGGTGTTTGGTGTTTGTAGACTGAGGCTGAAGAGGCCATCATCAACAAGAAGCGCAGCAAGAAGACTGCCAAGAAATACCTGACGCGACAACGTCTAGCTAAGGTTGAAGCTGCTTTGGAGGAGCAGTTCCACACTGGACGTTTATTAGGTGAGATGAACACTGTTTTTGATATTTATATTCTATTGATAAGACTTAGATGATGAAATTGAAGTTTTGAGACTGCAATATGAATGGGTACCGTTTTGGGAACTATTTAGCAGTTGAATGATCATATACTGTCATAGTTACTCTGATTTTATTGCAAGATACTAGACTTAGTTTAAAGTGAGTTTTGTTTCTAATATTTGATGAATATATTTCAGCATGTGTATCAAGTCGGCCAGGACAATGTGGACGATCTGATGGTTATGTGCTGGAGGGCAAGGAATTGGAGTTCTACTTAAGAAAGATCAAATCCAAGAGGGCTAAGTAAGGGATGTAATGTAATAATAAATGTAAAAAACAACACATTATATTTTATTTAAAGCCAACAACCCTGTCCTTTTAATACAATTTGACTAATTTTCAAATTTAATTTTAAAGATTTCTCTTGATTTAGTCTCCTTAATCATTAACTATTAATAACTGTTGATAAAATTCGTGTTTAGTTTTGAGTGTCAAATATATTTTTTTTTATGGAGATAAATTATGCTATCAAGGCTACTAGATGCTCTAATCCTGCTCTTATTAAGAAACTCATTTTTCCAAAGCTTATTAACTATTATTACGCCATCAACTACGTTAAGAAATGAAACTCGTGCTCATTATAATATTCTTGTATTTAGTGGATCCACCATTTTGCCAGCCATAAGTGCGACGTTTATTGTTGAATCCATTACAAAGTAGAGAAAAGGGTAGGTCGCTGAAAATACCACTGGGTTTCTGTTCACGATGTATCCTGCAAAAAAATATTTGGGATTATTTGGTGCTTTAAAAAGATTTAAAGTTTTATAGAGATAAATTATAAGGCTTTCATAATTTGTAAGTTATACGATATCGAAAAGTTAGTTTTTTTATATTAAAAGTTTGTTTTCAATTTTAATCTCTGTATTACGACCAGCTACTTTAATTTTGAAAATTTATTTTTTTACAAATTAATTTCTAATGTTTTATCGATACAAAGATTATTTTTAAAAAAGGTTGTCTCTATGAATATCAATTAACAACATAATACGTAATATAAAAGAAGTAAACCTTATAAAAGCTAAAAAAATTCAAATAACCATTTCGAAAGCCACTAATTCTTTGATTAAGTATATTGACTAAATCCATTCTAGTTTATATCTACCCGCATAATAAAATAAAAATATACGTAATATTTTTGTATTTAATCAATAGAGTAGAATCATTCGAAATAAATGACAGATCATTTAATGTCATCACTAGATTATAGATCGTCCTTGCCATGTAAATGCGACGGACCGTTCAAAAAAAATAGCAAAACAATTTGTTGCTGACACAGGAAACGAATCATCTCGTAATTTTCGTGCTTTTCTCATTGACGTAATTGAATTGTATGGACATATCTGAAAATAATCATTTCCATCTCGATTAGGCATATGGGTCGTTGTAATGGCGGTGCATTGGACGATTTCTATAATTGTTAATGACTGACTGGTGCAGGGAGAGTCGCGGGGCGCATCAATGGAGGCAAATGCGCGTGTCGCCGCGTTGCGCCACCGCAACTCGAGACAATAGAAGCGGTCTGATCTCACTCACCACTTAGCAATACGGAATTTGCACTCTTTTGGTTACTATTATATCAACAGCAGACCGTATAAAGAGGGCAATATGATTCAGTAATGTTGCCAATTTGCTAGGAATTGATGTTATCTTTGTCGTTTTCGTAATGGTCTCACGTATGGTTTAAATTACGGGGAATATGTTTAAAAAAAAAATATTTTGTTTAAAATTGGAAATTTGAAAGTAGCCTAAATAAAAAATAAATTTCTACTATTTTATTATCACTCGATGCACCTTGATTGAGGCAGAAATATTATCTTTTTTTGAATTTATTATATTTCCTATTAGCAAAATATTGTGGGAATAGGATATTGATCCTATATCCACCAAGTTTCTAGTCTTAAAGAATAATATAGAAAATAATCAGAATTTCAAAAAAAGAAGACTTGGCAGACGATACTGAAAAATAAAATATATGTATATCTAAAATGCGTACCTATTCTCCTATTAATACACACGGAATAGAATTAAGATTTAGCTTTAACCATTCACCGTCAAACAAAAAAAATACCGCTAAATAGCAATTTAGGTATTCAAATAACTTATGATAATCAACAGTCATAACAAAAGGTTAATTAGGTACTACGAAAAAATCCGAAACATATTACTCATTAGATAATGGTGTCGTTCAAGGATGTTCTGATATCCATCTGAGCGTGACGGTGAGTGGCGACCCCGGTCTTGCGATGTTTCAACTCTGTCTTTATCCCACGCGGCCATTTTAACCCGTAATTAGGTGTATGGTCACACCATTACAATACATTTAACAGTGCTGTACACAACATGTTATAAGGTCAATCACCACGAGGTATCCTTAATGAATCTCCATGAATCGTGTTCAGTACACACACTAACATATTATTTAACAATTAAGATATGAGTAAATTCATTGCCAGATGATTGACATCTGATTTAATAAATATATTGTTATACAAAATGTTATATAAAATTTTAAATATAGCAACCCAGTTAAGTGAGTTAAAGGAAAGTGTAACAGTGTTTTTTTTGAGTTTAAACGAACTATACTCCTCTTAAAATAAGTGAATGCTTACTATTCTTCAATGTGTCGGGTTGGTATTTTCGTATGACGACAGATACAGCCTGTTCTATGCTCCGGACATACACCCCGGGCAGGTGTGTCATCGGCGTGAAATCTGTCTGCCGAGGCTCGAACACATCCCGGATACCTAGCTATTTATTTAAAATAAAATAATTGTATATACATCTTAATTACAAATAGCGAAGTAGATCGCGTTTAAAGATTACATGCAAATTTTACCACACACGCATCTAGATAATAATTAATTGGCCATTAACAATTAAGAGAAGAATTATTGAGTCGTACATGAAATAACAATTGCAAGTATTGCATCGTTTAGTATAGTGATAGTGCCTACTTTTTGTAAGTCCGTGGTTAAAGCGATGTGCCCCTTCACTGTAAAGCTTGGGACGACCGCCTTTACTCTTCGAGGTCGCAGAGCCGCGTATACATCGGAGAGATCAGACTCTCGTGCCATTCGTGATAGTAACCGAGCCAGCTCGCCTTCCCCTCTTCGTAAGGGAAGCACCACCAGGAGATAGTAACGGTCACTGTCTAGAGGAAGCCGAAGAGCAGACGCCTCCAAGTGAGGCAGATACGCATGTTCTAATATGGAGTCGTAATGCATATATGAGACCTACAAATGAGAAATTTCTTTATAATATCTTTATATACTCAACAGTTTTTATTTAATTAACATGCTTATTAGGCCATGTTATTACCTGAATATTTCTTAATCCATTTACTAAGAACATTTTATCTTTATCGTTGTATTCATTTGGCAGATCTATTCCTACGTCGAAAGATCTAAATAGTGAATGATCAAAGTATGGAGGATTTGTATAAATAAATTCAACAATTGATTTCTTTCTACGTTGTAGTGATTCGGGTGTTGGTGATGGCGTCGTAGAAGCGATGGTTGAATCAATACTGGTTACTGTAGTTTCTTCGGTTGTTTCGCTCTCTGAAACTGAACTCATTTCTGTTGTGATTTGAGTTGTTGATGCTTCAGTGTCTGCGTTTGGCGATACTTCCGTTGTTATATCGCTTGTACTAGAAGTACCCATTGGAGTACTTTCAGTTTCATCCATTAAGCTTGCCGTCATCATTTCAGTGGTCATTGTAGAGCCATCGGTCGGTGTCTGTGTCGTTGGTTGCTCTGTAATCGTAGAAGTGATAATAGTAGTTGTTTCCGGTACTGATGCAGTGATAGTCGTACTGGTCGTTTCTTCAACAGGGGCAATTGGGGTTGTAGAAGAGATTAACTGTGGTGCACTTTCTGTGACCGCTGATGTCATAGACGTTGTTGCAGTCATAGACTCTCGTATGTCAATTGTCTCGGCGTTTGGATTTAAAGTAGTTTCTTCTTTAGACGGTTCTGTAGTTGGAGGAGTTGTTACCGGTGTGTTTTCTGTACTTGTGGAGGTGTTATTAGCTGTTTCTGTTGTAGATGATGTATTAGTCGTATTCATATTTGTATCATTAGAGCTTGATTGATCCAAATCAAATCCGTAGAATTTTAAAATTTTCTTATAGCTTTCGTTAAATGTGACGTTCTCATTGTTAAGTGCCAATCCAGCGAGAAAGCCTTCCTCCGGGACAAAATAAGTCTGAAATATGTAAGAAATAAATAAGTTTCTGTTTTGTGATAAAAAAAAAAACGAATAAAACTTATTTCATTTTAAACTGGACCACACAAAGAAGATCTTCGATTCTGTTCGACATCTAGGCTACACGATAAATTTCTGAACCGCAACTTGAAATAAACATAGTTTCCCTATTTATCATTCCTTTTTTAGTTTAAATTTTTGGCAACGAAGAGCAAAATTGGTGAAGATAAAATTGAACTCTGAGTGTGTATAGGTTATAAGTATGTCAAATAAGAAGAGCAAGAAAAAATACTGAACACATATTTTTACTTCGAAAAGGATAATATTATGGACCAACAAGAAGTACATAGAAAAATATTGTTGGCATAAAACAAATATATGAAATTAATATATTACTCTCATGTTAAATTTTGGGTTTTTAATTTTAATTGTGTTGAATTTCACGATTTATATTAATTATATAGGCATTTTTTAATTTTTTAAAGATAGTGGAAATGAAGTACATACAGTTACACCGTACAATCTGTGAAAGTATCAGGAGCTCAAATCCAACTTTTCCTTTCAGGCCAAATTTAGAGTTCTTTCCCCATACTCTTTCATCGACTTTTTACATTTAAAGCTTAATTAACATTAAAATATTATTGATAATTTAAAAAGAATATAGTTATAAACATAAAAGGTAATTTGATATGATATAAAGTTAATAAAGAAATACCAAAAAATACGATAACATGAGAAAAAAAAATTATGATCTTAACGGTGATCGTAATCACCATGTTAGTGCTTTAACCATGCATAAATATTACAGGTACTTGGGTAAGTTATAGCAGTTCTAAATATAGCCTCCACTAGTTTTTAAAGTTATTACACGAGTATAATTATCTGGAATAGGCTGAATAAAGATGAAGAGGGTTTTAAAATTTTGTTTTAGTTGCAATAAAAAAAATTACTGTCATTGATCATTTAAGTCTATTTTCATATTTATCTATATTTGATTATACAATGATAATTATAATAATATATGTGTATTTATTAATAATGTTAATTTTGAACGAAACAGATTCAAAAAAGCAAAGGATTAATAAAAATTAACGAGATTTGTTTACCTGCAATTATGATGTCCTTCTTAATTTAAACAAAGATTTTTCTTCTTAGTTATAAAGATAAGAAAATAAAAAAGGTGCAAATTATTACTGCCGAACTTAATGCGTATATTAATTAAAAGAAATAAAATTTCGTCATCTTAAAAATATGTTTCTCGGGTCAATGCTAATCAAAAATGTAAATTATGTATTATAAAAATGTATTTTGTCCCAAAAGGCATTGTTAGTTTTTTTTATGTCTTTATTAAAAAACAATTATAATCTTTGAAGAAGATTTTAACACATAAAAAACTTGTAACTTGTAATTTTTTCCCTTCATTCTTCGATTCAAGTTCAACTTACGCAATTATTTATAATAAATGACTCACTTTTAACGTGCGATGTATATCTCTGAAACCAATTCTCATGACGTTTCTGTTCCAAGGTAGCGGCATACTCCTCTGGATCTGATAAGAGGATTCACCATCAACACCTTCGTAAAGGGCCACCAAGATCCCAACCAGGCCGTACGGTGAAAAGGCAATGTTATTTTCATTCAAAAAATTATGTTCAGCGAGAACTTTTAAACCGAATTCGTTAGTCACGTCTATCATATGATGTAGTGGATTGCGTTGAGAGTCCCAGAACTTTATTTCTATCGGCGTGCCGTAATCCGTGGTCGCGGTTATTTGAAGTATCGACATCATTCCGATGATATATTTAAGGTCCGCTGTGAAACGAGAGCGTCCGCTTCGGTACATGGTGACCGCGACTCTGTCCGCGCTTGGTTGGCTTTAGGCTAAAAAGCTGCAGGCTTCTTACTTACTAATTAATATGAGACTTTTAGGTGAATGCCCTCAGATTTACTTACGCTAATAAATAAAAGTAAATACATATCTTTGTTCACTATTTATTATCCTTGATTTTGTTTTGTTTCGAACCATTATGGACATCATCTCATACGTGATAAAATCGAATTTCTTATTGTATTTAAAAAGTCATACAGATATTTTCTAAAATATTAGAATGGTATATAAATATATAAATTAAATAAAAGAGGTATGCTATTGTGCGTTATACAAAACTAGGTAGAGAGTTAATTTTATTAGTATAAAATTTCTATTTCGTTTCATATACACTTTGCTTTTAAGACTATATACTTTTTTATATTTTAAGACTAGCTTTTGCCGCGACTTCGTCCGCGTGGAATTGTGACTTCCGGCAGATTTTTGGTTCTTCCCACATAGTTCCCGTTCTTGCGGGGTTTTCGGAATGGTCGAGTTCCCGTAGAATTTTCAGGATAAAACCTATGTTTTCTTTTAAATTCACAATGAAGTACTCTTAACCAACAACATAGTAATTTGTTTATTTGAATAAATATTAAAAGATAGACATATACTGTCGCGGACTGTTTTTTAGATCATTAAAAGAGCTATTATTCTTTAATACATATTTTTTGTGTATCTTGAACCGTTTTCATGGCGCACGCAACAGAAGGCTTCAAAGATGAAATAATTTCTCCCGTTTTTTACACATTTACCACTATATCTTCGCTTCTATTGGTCGTAGCGTGATGTTATATAGCCCACAGCCTATCCAACACAAAAAGAATTATTCAATTCGAACCAGTAGTTTCGGAGATTAGCGCTTTCAAACAAACAAACAAACAAACTCTTCAGTATAATATTAGTACAGATACAACGGTTTTTATAAGCATTGTTTACGTATTGTGTGCGTTTTCTTACACGTAAGACAATTTTGCTTATAAGTAAATCAAAGAAATATTTTTTTAGAAAGAAGTTTAGAAATAAAATAAATCTAGAGACATATATTTCTTTAGTTTTTATTTACAGGAGCTTTTTATTTCTATTTTATAGTAAGAAAAGTATATTGATTACAATGCGCCGGGTATACCTATACATAATATGTATGTTACGAAGTTTATAAAGTAAAAATATACTTATTTTTGGTCCTTTCCAAAGTTGTTTATTTTTTATTCACTTTTATTAAACACTAGTATTAAATTACTATTATTAGCGATATTAATAATAATCCAATTTATAAGTCCAACTTCCAACTTTCGATATTTTTTATTTACATATTTTTATTTTCTTGGGTGCTACAATCCTTTGTGGGTCTTAGCCTCTTCCACAATAGACTGCCATACACGACGATCCTTGGCTGTCCTTCTCCAGTTCGTAAAACATTTCAGAGCCTTGAGATCATCTTCCAACCATCGATAATGAATCAAAAATGTTTTTGTTTTCACCAATCGAAAGCAGTATAACAATAAACTAATAACTAACAATAGATATTTTTTAACAATTTTTAATAAAGATTGAGTTATTATATTAGATGATATTATTTTAACAAAAAAGCGTTGAATGCTTTGTAAGATAACTGTATAATTACTATTTATATGTATATCAGTAACTGTCAACATCCAACTCTTTCAATCACTCTTTCTTTATTTTAAGTGTTTAAAAAAGATTTCTTATCTCTAGTTGGGTTCGCAATTAAGGCAAGTTTTTATGTTTTTTATTTATTAAGTTCATGGTAACATTTAATCTATCAACAAATCAAAGCAATAATAATATGTATATATTTTAATATAAAACCTGTATTCAGCGTTACCGTTTACGATTTTTTATGTTCAACCTCAATTATTATAAAAACATTATCTTATTTGGATACCTGGGGACATTTAGACAACAGATTATTCAGACGAAGACTCTACTACTTAAAATTACAGTGATTATTATTTATATAAGTACTCACTGCCTCTTTTTTTGGAATACCTAATCAACATTTTTTTTAACACTTGTAATTAATACACATAACATTATGTTTTGGGGTTCACATAATTGTAGTTTTTAACAATAACGATTTCTGTTTCTTAAAGTAAAAGAAAATAAGCTTGCTTCATACTAAATAAATATTGTCATAAAATAAACGGGACTTCCAAAAGCCTCTTTATACACTTATCTTTATAACGTAAATACTGCACGTTGTCGAATTGTCAGTATAACATAAAAAAAGTAAACTGCAGATTTCATAATGATGCTAAGGCATAACAATTACCCATTTTAACAACATGTTTGGGTACATTGAATTATAATTATAAAATTAAACTGGTCGCCATAGCATTTTATAGCTGTTTTTTTTTTGTCTACGCCTTATACAATTATTATAATTATTGTAACTACATTCTTATTACATACATTTCTTTTAGTTAATAAAACCTTTAAAAGTAAATATGGGTAAAATATTTTTTCAATTTGTGAACTTTATAGGTTTTTTGTTTGAAGCGACATTCATTTTCATTGGACGATAAAGGAGTTTTAAAGGCAACAAGTAGATATATCGTGCATTCGATCAAAGAAATTTTTAGAATTTCACCGTGAAACTTATTTTTTTTAAAACATAAATAAATAATGACGATTATTCTCATGAGTTAGATAAGTGATGATCTATTTTATAAAATTTTAAGCGTATTCAAAGAAAAAAACAAAGTTTTCATTGAGTAATCGTTTGCGCTAGTGAAATCCGCATTAAGTTTTTTTTTAAGATTTTATCCCTGGATTCAGAAAATGTTATCTGAATTAAGAACTTTCATGAAAAAGACTTGGTGGTTTTAAAGTTTTGATAAAATTTAAGATCATATAACTTAGTTATTGTTTAAACGATTTAGCCACTTGAATAGATATAGAAAAAAATAACGGAATATTTTTAGGGATTCAATTTTGCAACTGGCAATAACAGATTGTAGTTTGACGTGTAATAGAAATATTAAAAATGGTTCTAACTACAATGGCTGCTCTAGGCCGAAGGAAATTCTAATTGAATATTCTATGTCGGAAATAGCCTTATTAATAATGCACTAATTAAATATTTTCTCTGTTACTTGCTGTTATATCGGTGGTGAACACAAATTTAACAGAGGATAGCTTGACTGAACTGGAATTTCGTTCATAGAGTAGCTGTTTTCCTTTCTCAGCCGAATCATTACAGGTTGGTATTTTATTCTTGCATGTTATTATTATTTAATAAAGTATTACAGAAAAGATAATTTTACATGTGTTTACAATTTTTCAATTATTTTCTAATTAACAACTCTTTTTTGTTTAAAATTGTTAGTGAGTGTTTATCATTAAATGGTTAAAGGTAAGTAATGCTTATTTATATATGATTTAGTATATATTTCCATTTTATTATTCGTTAGACCAAAAAAGTATACAGTATATTGCTTATTATGTTAAATTGTGAGCTACTGCATCTTTTTAAATAATATATGTGATAATATGTTTTATAAACTACAGTATACTTTTAAATATGATATTTGAAGTTTTCTCTGTATATGCCTAGTGATAGAGTAAACTATATAAAAGTATACATCTATGAGGATCCTGTGAGTATAATTTTATTTATAACATCTTTAAATATCATAATAATATTGATAGATACTGATTTATTATATGAAATTATTTTACAGTTGTGCATCACAGAAGCAAACATTTCAGTTAAGACATTAAGTATTAGTGAACATAGTTTATGACCAGTTGTTGGTCATAAACTGTCAAGTGTTGAGTGTCTCAAGATGGATCTGCCCGACTGTCCTCCGGGAGCCGAGGGCTACGAGGATACAGTCACCGAAGTACCTAAAAAGATTGATTCAGAAGACGCAACTGCCTGTACTAAGGTAAGAGTCAATATGTTTATTGTTGATCTTATCATATAAACAATCTAAGTTTTAATTTTTAATATATAATAATATAATAAATGAGATAAGAAATGTGTTTGAAATCTACAAACATCATAAGGTTTTAACACCAATAACATTTGCTATGATAAATAAATAAAAATTCAGAATTATATTTCATCTACAACCAATTCTAGATGAGACTGTTTTTTAATGTTTGGTGGCCCTCCACAGAAATAATGATTCTATAGAATTTACAAGCACATGAAGCATCAATACATTTACTTAAATATGAAAATTATTTTGTGCATTTGACACTAAAAAACCCTGGTTTTACCTTCTAAAATTCTCTGCAGTGGTGACACAAAAAATATATATTGTAATGCTAAAAATTTATATTCATTGACTCTAAAGTGTCTCTCATTTGGGATAAAAAATGGCCACGGCTATTGAGCATTCATAAAAAAAGTTTGCATTTAACTTTCAGCAAACATTAAATAATTACGCAAAATAATTTCATGGGTTTTGAATGTTACCTCATATAATAATTAATCAAAATATTTTTAAGACCCCCCCCCCCACTATTGCTTATTTCTTTAAGTGTTCAGTTACTATTGAGAGCTTTTTATATTTTGATTTGAGTCAACTGTTGAATTGTTATATTATGTGGGTTATTGAAATATAATTTTTAAGGTTGTTAAGTGTAACCAAGTTCCTGGTTACTCAGAAACGGATGTTTCTAAAAAAATATATGTTTTAAGATTAAATTAATTTAATATTCCTTGTATTCTTTTGTGAAAAATAATATTATTACAATTGTTTGGTGCAGGAAATATTCTTTGCTTTAATTTAAATGGCTACAACTGGTTCAAATTTTATCTATCCTGTAGACTTTTCAAACTACTTTAATCACTGTACTTAGGAAAACATGACATGTTATTTTGGTCTCAGATTGAGAAACTACAATTGAGGAATTTAATAAAAATATATATCATAAGTATGTTTCCCACTTTCGGTATAACATAAAAATTATTTCTTTTTAAAAAAATATGTTATTTACTACACGTTTGTACTGAAAACGCGAAATAAAATTGGTAATTTCGACACGCCGATGATATTTTAAATCATACAAAAGTATAATTATGACGGTTTGAAATATGTTACTGGAACTAAATTAGGTTTAAAAAAAAAGACTTCATATTAACCAAACATGTGTGTATACTTGGGACATTGTTATTTCAATAAAATGTCTGTGTTTTAATGAACACTATTTTATATTACAATGGACCTACATTGCATATTTTTTTGGCGGAGAATTATATGTCATCATCAGAATATTTCGGTGCACGGCAGTGAGACACGTTTTATATTAGGTGTAGTGATAGAGTTGAAAAAAATATCCGGTTTCGTTGGACGTTGTCATCTTATTATATACTATCTACAACACCGGTAAGTATGTTTACGACCAAGAATAAAAAAGAATAATAAATGTACATATCACAAAATAATGTTCTATTATTTAATTATTTTCGCAACAATCCTATATTGTTGGTGTGGCGGGGAGATTTATATATGATATATATATCATTGCGATTTGCTGATGCAGTGTCATTTTTCAGGCGGAGCAGGAGTTCCAACAGCATCTGAACAGCTTGAAGATCAAAACCGAGGATGGCAACTACCGCTGTATGGTTGAGAGACGTGGAAGAGATGTGTCAGGGAAGTGGATATACTTGTGTTACCCGTGTGCAGCCATGTGCAGTGGGGAGAGGATCCTGCAGGTGTACCATTTATATATAGAATCAAATGAAACTTATTTGTTTCGGATGTTCTACGCGACTATATTTTTGATAAAAAACTACATACTCCCGACGTTACGGCTACTTTACAGCATTTCATGATCATGATAAATAATAAGACCAATTGACAAACACTCATCTCGTCTGTCCGTAATCACGGTTGCTTTAAAGTAGCCGAAACATCGGGAGTATGTAGTTTTTTATCAAAAACAAAGACGCGTAGTATATCCGAAAAAAATTTGTTTCATTTAAACGAATAAGACTAGCAAAAATCTTAGATCTGGATATATAGAATTATTGATAAAAAAATATATATAGAATATTGCATCTGTTAGATTTTGATATATAAATATTATAATAATGTTATGTAAAATTTCAGACTCATATATCAGGGAAGAAGCATAAAGCTAAGCTGTCGATGAAAAATGTATGGCCTTTGAGTATATTCAATAACCATCCGTATGTGTCGAATTCAAACTCCAAGTCTGCAGGTAACAGAGACAGAGTAATGGGAATTATAATAAAAAATATGAGATATACTAAAATTATATTCTTTACAGCAACTGAAACAGTGTTGCAAAAGATGGCAGAGGAAGTGGAGATGTTCAAGAAGAATCCATCCGAGTTGGATCTGAAGTATGATAAGTATCGGGAAGTGAGGTGTCACATACAGGACACACTTGATGCTGTCAAGTGAGTAGAAACCTTTAATTAAATATTATATGCACTTGAGCTTGTGTGGTCTCAGTGTTATATTTTTAACTGTAAAGAAATTTCTGTCTAGAATAGTGTTAAGTTTTTATTATCTTTATATATATAAAAATTTCGTGTCACGTGTTTGTCCGCGATGAACTCCTAAACTACTAAACCGATTTTAAATTTGATTTGCATTCCGTGTGCACTTTGATCCAACTTGAAAGATAGGATGGCTTACATCTCAATTTATAGTCACAATATTATTTTATTGCAAATTATTTGTCTATTAAAGAAAATTATTTGTAATTATTACAATTACATATCTGTGACTGAGTTAAGCATTCAATAGATGGCGTTATGTTAAAAATACAAATGTCATATACATATGACTTATGAGCGACTATTTAATAATATCATAACCACCACGTGTTTCTGAGGCTAAGGTATAACCTAAATTTATTTATTAAAAAAACGTAACAGATATTTCTTGATTAAAGGGCGATACGAAGTTCGCCGGGTCTTCTAGTTATCATATAAAATAATTTAACAAACCCCTGCTAGATTGATATTGGTAAAAATCAATAATACCAGCCATATCAGATTTTAATTGTTATGATAATTTTCAAAAAAAACAGACATGATTTGCATTACCATCTACCATATTTTTTTTAAAATCTTAACTTAATTCAGATATCGGCGGGATGTTGTGTGTACATTTGCCTAAATAAAAAAATAATGATTTAAAAAGTTGTATTGTATTAATTTATATGAGAATATAATTGTATTTCCAGGGCTCCACTGCTAGGTATCGAGTATCTGATAGAGCATCCCCCCGAGCAGGCTCACTATGAACCCTCATACATGTGTACTCTGTGTGGCAAGCAAGGTCACCCGCGGACTATCGTCAATCATCTAACATGCTTCTGGCATCGATACAACTATCTAGTGAGTATGCATCATGTTTCATATGTTTATTTTTTGTTTTGTCTTGCATTGATTTATGTGGTAGATATTTCTTTTATGATACATATCCTGAATTATGTCTGTACTACCTCAAAAATATATGGTATTTGCAAGTTGTCTCACTTCATGATTATTTATAATAAATATTTTTGCCCAATACTCTTCAGCTCCGTCACTTCAACAAGGCCTGCGCCGCTCTAACTCCTTACCGGTCCCAGTCCAAGTACCGCGAGGGTGTGGCCATCATCATGAACAGGCTGGCGCAGCGCATACAAGACAAGTACGGTCGGCTGAGACCCGTCAACCTCGACAAGGAGGACTACGAAAAGGAGAGGTACGTGTTCCGGGGGCGGATTCGACACGGGACACGTGACGTGTGATAACGTGGTGGGGGGGGGGGGAGTTGACAGAAACATGTGACAGTCACTGTATATAATAAACTATAAATTTCTTACAAAATTATGTCTTGTCCATTAGATAATCATTTACAGAGTAATAACACTTGTTGACTAGTAAGGAAAACAAAAGTTTTTTAAATTTTGTATAAGTTAAATCTTTTATTTTATTCGGTATTTTGTTATACATATATAATAGGGGCTATATTTTGTTATATATAATAAAGGATGACCTCAAGGCTCTCCCAAACACTTAAATCGTCTTATATTTTTCTATGTAACTTCACAAACTCTTAAATTGTGTCATATTTCAGCATATAGTCATTAGCTGATAAATAATATGTTTCTAACAGAGATCAAATACATCAGTGGATCTTCCGCGGCTACCACTTCACTGAGAAAGATAATTGTACTTTCGAAGAAGTTGTTGACGTTGATTTGATTACATCACTAGGTGCGTATGATCTTTTGAATTTGATCATCAATGAATTTTGATCGATTACTGTACATAATATATTATTGTTAGAACAGATTATTTAAGCCTTGTTCTTCATAACAGATTCTACCAAGACTTCGGGAGGGGGGTATGTATTTTTTATTATGTTATTTCAATGAAATTTATTGAAATATGAGTAAAATATGCATATATATTTATCAGAATCACCTCTAACAGGGAGCCGTCACCTCCGGTCGTGGCAGCGCCATCTAAACCCTTCGTAAGATATTATATAGAGTATATAAAATTATAATTTCATATAATATAGTTATAAGTTGTATTTGTATTTGTCAGGGTTCTAAACGTAATCCCCGACGTCGCGGTTCAATGGAGTCGCTGTCCGACGTGAGTGACGAGCCGGATATAAGAAACAACAAGGACGACAAAATGTTTAAGTTAGTATTATACGGTATTCTTTAATAAAGTTCACAAAGAAAACATTTTTAGTTTGCTTTGTCTATATAACATGTTTATTAACTTATACATTACAGAGGACGAGGCGAACCCCCACGGTATGAACCTTATAGCTCCCGTCCAAGAACCAGTCCCTATACAGATAAGGTAAATATTGAAGTGTAATAAATATAGTGTGTATGCGATATTATAGAATCAAGTCTAGCGTAAAGTCACCTTTATAAAACATCTCATGTGTCCATCCAAATATGGTGGACCACCCATTGGCCTAAGCTTTCGTTGTGTTATGTTAAAATCTTCTATTATTATTGATAATGACTTAAAGCTACAAAGACGTTTCTTTTCAAACCCAGTAATTAACCACATTGTAGCGACCCTGAAAGCAGTTTCCGTTTTCTGCTCAGTTTTCATTATAATATAACAATATTATTTTGGAATTACAATAATTCAAGTATGTTGCAAACATCGCGATCGAAAGAAGATATTATTTGTTTGGTAGTAAATTTCTGCCTTAATATTATTTACTCTGTAGGTACATATATTGGTGTCTGTGTAATTACGTTGCTGAATATAAATGAACTGAACTGTTGAAATTCTTGCTATTTTTATATCCAACTAGTTTTTGCCCGCGACTTCGTCCGCGTTAATTTCGTCATTAGTAATACATATATGTATAGCTGACCGGGCAAACTCTATTCCGTCTTCGATAACCCGGTATTGGTATTTATTAAATTTCTATTGTTTCAATCGAACAGAATGATTGACATCTTAGTTAGTTGTCAAGTCTAATGTCAAAAAATCGTTTGTATGGGAAATAGAAAAGGGCTGTTTTTAGGATTTTCCCGGCAATTTTTCCAATTTTACTCGCCTTTTAAACTTTCCCTGGACTTCCAGGAGTATTTCAAGACGAAAATTAGCCAAATCGGTTCAGCCGTTCTCGAGTTTTAGCGAGACTAAGGAACAGCAATCCATTTTTATATATATAGAAGATAAATTAGATTGTAGACCTATCTAAATAAAAATATGTGGTATTAGATAAATTTTCCATTAAAGATTAATTATACTCAACTAGAAGACCCGGTGAACTTCGTATCGCTCTATAATCAAGATATATCTGTTACGTTTTTTTATTTATATTTTTGGAGTTTACCTTTAAGCCATAAATCTCCGTTTTGAAGAGCGATAGAAGGATTGACATATTAGTGAGTTGTCAAATCCAATGTCAAAAAAACACGTTTGTATGGGGAATGGAAAAGGGCTGTTTTTAGGGTTTTCCCGGAAATGAGTCAATTTTTTTCGGCTTTCAAACCTTCCCTGAACCTCCACGAACATTTCAAGACTAAGATAAGATAAATCCGTTCAGCCGTTCTCGAGTTTTAGTGAGACTAAAGAACAGCATTTCATTTTTATATATATTGATGAATGTAACTGTTTATTCCAGGGTTCAACGTCTCGTCCTCACAACTACTCATACAAGGTGAAGCTGGCGGATGAGAAGTGTGCAGCGGCCAAGCAGGCGGCCAGGAGGGCCCGGGACTACCACGAGAAGAACCCGGAGAAACATCCGCTATACCCCGACGAGTGGAGGAAGTTCTGGAACAGGAGATACAAGGAGATACAGGCCGGTACGTGATAAATACACACATAGATAGAGATTACAAGAGAGTGGGAGGGGATAAGGTATATATACTAGAAGACCCGGTGAACTTCGTATCGCCCTATAATCAAAAAATATCTGTTACGTTTTTTTATTTATATTTTTGGAGTTTACCTATTAAAGCCATAAATCTCCGTGTTTTGAAGTGCCACAGAATGATTCACATATTAGTTAGTTGTCAAATCTAATGTAAAAAAAAAGTTTGTATCAACAACTAATAATAAATACAAAATTTATTTAAAAAAAAACATTGTCCAGCGGACAAAATTGTGAATCTAAACCATTCCGAGATCCCCTTGAACAAACACAAAAAATTTCATCAAAATCGGTCCAGTCGTTTGAGAGAAGTTCAGTGACATACACACTCACAGAAGAATTATATATATGAAGATAGTGTAAGAGAGTGGGGGGAGGGGGGCACATAACAAAAATGCTCAGTTGATGTCCGACGAACGTTCAAATAGAATTGGATTTTTTATGAAATTTCTATAAATTATCATAATCATATTCTTTAGCTAAACTTAATAGCCATTAGAAATTTCTGTAAATTTTTGTAGTTGTGTGGGTATAATTATAAAAAATGATTTTTGCTCGGTCATTACAGAAGGCAAAGATCCATCCAAATACGACTTTAAGCCGGAGTGGATCGTGTACTGGACGGGCAGGATGAAGGAGCTGCACGAGGAGGAGCTCAAGACGACTGTTCTGGAGATATACAGGAGACTGAGACTCACACCGCCCGACGCCACGGACAGACGGTACTGGTGTTATAAGTATAGTGAGGACATTGGGAATAACGAAACAATAACTATTACTCAATAAGAAATTTAGGCCAATAAATAAGATATAAGGTAACGTAAGGTGGCTTAGAGGTTAAAGGTCGTTCTCTCATGCATGAGGCCGCGGATTCGAAACCTGGCAAGTACTAATGTCTTATGTAGTTTCTAAGACTTATAATTTCAAATTGAAAGTTTGAAATCGCCAACCCGCCTTGAGCAAGTGTGGTGATTAATGCTCAAATCTTCTCCATATGAGAAAGGCCATTGCTCAGCAGGGGGCTCTGATAGGCTGATGATGATGAAACAAGATATGTATTATATAGAGATATATTGCAATGATTGATTACACTAGTTTACAAAATTTAAATTTTTGTTTGTTGCCGCAAATTTTATGCTTGATATTGTTCACTGATGGTTTGTTTATGTCAAATATACCTTCAAAATTTCTTTAGCAGCTCTAGTTATTTTGGTTCTGGTTTTTGTCATTTAAGCTTATAAATTAATTGATAACAGTCGTATTTTAGTGTTTTAAGATAAATATCAAAAGTTTTTAGTCATGAGCAGTTCAAGGAGATGTTGTTTGAGCAATCCAGATTATTTTTGATACATTTGCGGAGAATATGTCTTTAAATCCTGTAGAAAAGTTATATCACCGTTGGTGAAAAATACCTATTTTGAGTATTTTGGGATGCTCTTGGATAAAAATGAGAAGTCTTGGGCGCCAAATTGTGTTTGTAAATCGTATGTGCTATGTTTAAGATTATTAAAAAGTAGTAAAAGAACTACCTTTAAATTTGGAACACCGACTTTTTGGCGAGAACCACAAAATCATCTCGAAGACTGTTATTTTTGTAGAGTGAACTTAAACGGTTTAAACACTAAAAATCGGGCTAAATGGCTGTACCCCAGTACTAGTTGTGTTCAACGTCCAGTTCAGAAGCGTTTACCTATCTGTTCAGTGCCTAAAAATGTATCAGAACCTTTAAAACAAGACATGAAAAGACCAAGAACATCACAAAATGATGCTGATTTTGAAGATATGTCCAAAGAGTCAAAATGCTTTACTAAAAATGAGTTAGATGATCTTGTTAGAGATTTATATTTTTCAAAACAAGCTTCATAATTGCTAGCATCAAGGCTCAAAGAAAAAAAAATTTCTTTTGCTCGGACACTAAAATAAGTTTTTATCGTACAAGAGAGATAGAATTACGATGTTATTTTTCCGAAGGAGATGGATTTTACCTTTTGTTCAAAAACTTGTTGATAAAAATGGGCTTGAAACAATACTAACCAAACGACTGGCGTTTATTCATTGACAGCTACGAGTATGAGTGAAGAGCAGGGGGAGCGTATGCCTCAAGACTTTGCATCACGGAAGAGCGCTATCAGAGTTTCTGGGATACGAATATGATGTCTGACTAAATTTGCTGGTCTCTGATACGTCATTTTCCAAAGTCTACACATCAGAGAAGAGCTTTAAAACGGAGTTTTTTAGAACTTAACTATTAAATATGTTTCTTTTAGTAGTTTTTCTTAGTAATTACGTGTTTTTTCTGTTTTATTCCTGTATAGCTGAAACTCAAAAACTAGAGCTGATAAAAATATTCTAATTACATTTTTGGAAATGGCAAAGCATATCTAATCAACAACAATTACAATTTCTTTGGCAACAGATATACTGTAAACTAGTGTTATTATTAATAATATATAATGAATTTCCAGTCGTTCGTCTGATCGTCGCAAATCTTCGGAACGTCGTCGGTCAGCTGACAGGAAGAGATCTCTTGATCGACGGAGATCAGCTGAGAGGAGGCGATCAGCTGACCGCAGGAGGTCCGCGGAGAGGAGACACGCCCACCCACACACACACGGACCATACACACGGACACCGGACCACAGGAGGAAGACGCCCGAGCGGAGAGAGCGCAGGTGACTGATACACCACTGGCCTTACAATCGAACACAGTGACAAATAGTTTACAATCAGCTCCTTATATAATAATAAAACTTTATTGCGTCAGATAGGTCGTACATTAAAAAGTAACTTTGGGAGCGTTCAAGTATTACGTAACGCAATTTTCAAAGATTTTTGACCCCCCCTTCCCCCCTCGTAACGCACAGTATTGTTTTTCTGTAGTCCCCCTCCCCCCCTTATCAAAACGTTACGTAACACTCAAGTGATCAATTTCATCCAAAGTCGTAAAACAATATGTAATAGTTTTGTATAGTTTTAATATATTAAATGAAAAAATATCATTGACACAAATCTCCCTCTTCTGAAGAAATTACAGTATGAACACTATGAACTCACGGATAAACACTAACGAATACTAACCACGGAAGGAACATTAAAAGACTGACAATGCAATCTAGGTATTCCCCGTAAAATATCAATTAAGAGGTTTGCAAACTTGGAATAACAAATAAAAATATCGACCAGACTAATACAATCTTGTCAACATAATGTAACGTATATGAAAAGAGTTGCCAGTTGGGGGGTTTTTATTAACATTTTTTTTAGAAACAATGCTACGTAACGTTTTGTAAGAGACACCCCCTCCCGCCCTTTTAACGCATCATAACGTTTTACGAGACCCCCCCTCCCCAAAAATAGCGTTACGTAATACTTGAACGCTCCCTTTTAAGAAAAACAAACATATTTTTATGAGATACAAATTATTCATACTGGAAAAAAAAAATTCTTAATTTACCACTCGTTTTCATTTCGACCGTATCGCAATTGGTTACAAGCTCAGCTATGTGCTGTACTATGCCCAGCGCTGATTTTCAGCTTGCTCCTTCTACATTATGTTGACTTAGTTAAAAGCCTCGAACCGTTCCGTAACATATTAAAGTGATACAAAAAAAACTGATATAAAAGCAAGTAAAAAAGATACCGGTGAAATGATTATAGAACACAAAAAGAAGTAAATAAACAATTTCTCCAGTTTATAACTACATTTTAAAACTAAACATTAAAAGAACGACAAAAACTTAATACACGCACGCACATCTTCGCATCATAACAACCATAACTCTTATGTGTACATCATGACTAGGACAATTGAAACTATGATTAAATAAAAATAAAGAGTCGTCTAAGTTTTAATATTTTGCTTCATTCGCATTCATTTATAAAGTTTTTTTTTACGTAGCAGCTTCTACTTGTAGACGTAGGTTACAGAGGTTTAAATAAGAATATATTTGCTCGGTTCTTCATTATTTTTATACCCTAATAAGGTATGACGATATGGATGCTCTGTTCTTCTAATAGTTAAAATTAAACTGTTAAATCTAGTTTTATTAAAAGTTGTACTCAATACAATCTTCATTTATCAAAAATGTAATGTATATGTCTCTCACACTTTCATATTGAACATCATTTGAAGTACATACAAATGTAACTGCTCCATGACTATTACTTAAAAAACGATTATTTTCATATATATATTTTTTTTATTCTTGCACAGCCCGATGTTTTTTGTTTCTTTTACATTGCTGTAAGTAATTTAAAGAGAGACAAATATTTATTTATTCTGTTTGTTCATGTCTAGGTCCCCAGGTCACACCCGCGTTCCACGTCGTCGCTCCCCTCTGAGGCACCTTCGAACACGATCAAGGAGTCCTATACATAAGTAGGTTTAGACATTTATTTACATTCATATCAATTATCATATGAGCAGAACAAAAAAATCTGTTGTCATTGTCAACATAATCCTATTTTTCTTAGAAATATTGAGAAATGGTAATTAATAGTAAATGTTTGCCATCAACCACATCAATGTTGCTGAATAGATTATGTTCGCTATCTATAAATTACAAGCATATTACCGTAGTTTTATGAATAGATGAACTGTCACAATACCTTCTACCGTCTAAGTGAATAGAACAGATTATAATTATGTTTTTATTTACAAACATGTGTATTAATAGGAAATTTGTGTCATACTAAGAAGATTAATCCGTTTAAACATTAGTGGCGGGAACGTAAATTTTATGTATTTTTGTGAATATATGGATGATTGTGACATTTTCTTGTAAAATATGAACTTAACTTAGAAATATGGTAAAATATGGAAAATAAAAGTTGGTTTTTCACAGTCTAAATATGACAATCCATGTAAAAAACACATTCTAGACCGAAAATCGCGTATATTAAAAATATGTATTTACATATTAATCCGAGCTCTATATATGTAATATGTAACTCGTCCTCAGAGCGAGCAGTCCTCGTCGTCGTTCGCCTCTGTCCCGCCGCGGGTCGGTTCCTCGCAACCACAGCCCGTCCCGCGAACAACCCTCCATGCAGACAGTCCTCATCTCGGACGATGAACTTAAACCGTTAGTATCACTCAATACTAATTATATATAACAACATTATATTCAGCTACACCACAAATAGTGTCAGTGGTGGCCTAGTGGTTAAAGGGCCCGCCTCTCGTTGCCGTGGGCGCGGGTTCGATCCTGGCCCGGGCAAGTATCAATGTGATTTTTCGGAGTCATGTGTACTTTCTAAGACTATTTAGACATCACTGATTAATGTTGATTCCCAAAAGAGGTTTGATGTTAGGCAGGCGGCCGGTCGTAAAAACAAATAGCCAAAACTATTCACAACATGTAAGGCAGACCCTGGCTATAGCTGGGAAATTGCCAGGTAGAAGATTCAGCTGCACCACATTTTTTTATTGTACATGCATACATAATTGCATGAAGTTCAAATAGGAAACGCTTTTGTTAATATTACTGTAGATTCACTTATCATATGTAAGACAGTATTATTCTATACAACAATTGACATCACAAATTCATATGTCTTCTTCTTCTACCTGGCAATTTCCCAGCTGCCAGGGTCTGCCTTACATGTTGTGAATTGTTTTTTGGCAAATTTTTTTTACGACCGGACGCCTGCCTGACATCAACCCTCTTTGGGAACCCTCTTTTAATCAGTGATGTCTATTAGAAAGTACATATGATTCGGAAAAATCACATTGGTACTTGCCAGGTTCGAACCCGCGCCCTCGGCAACGAGAGGCGAGCCCTTTAACCAGTAGGCCACCGCTGACTTAATTCATATGTATGTTGCACTAATGAGTTATTATCGATCAGTGACGAAGGTCTATCTCCCTGGAATTCTGCGGAGTCTCTGGGTTCTCTCCCGGAAGCGAAGTCCCCGGTCCGTCGCTCGGCCTCCACCAGCGTGTCTAAGTCGTCTCGCAGGCAAGACTTCCACAAACAGGACTACGACGCTGAAAACGTAGTCGCTACATTAAGACTACTAGTAGCTCTAGAAGACTACCTCGGCAGCTTGGGCCCTAAGATCGTAGATTTGTTGGCGGATGCGCTTAAAATGGAAAAGGTATTTATTTTATCAAATACAAACATATCAATTGTAACAATATGTTTCTAATAATTCTGTAAACGAATCCATGTGAATGTTAGTGGTTACTTTTTCAATAATTTAATATTTTTCTTGTCCAATCTATAGGATAAGGCGAATTCGTCCGAAGAGTTGCTCGACAACGAGAAGGCCGTAGTATTGATCGAGACGGCCAAAGAGAAACTGAAGGGAGCGGCTCAGGCGGGACTGGTCCCTGGCAGCGCTGCCGCCGCAGTGAGGACAGCTGTAGTGAGAGCAGCCGCCACCCTACACGCAGCTGACAACAGACTCAAGAAGAAGGTATGGCTTTATACTACTAATATTATAATTGCGAATGTTTGTGAGTGTGTGTGCATGTTTGTTACTGCTTCACGCTCAAACGGCTTGATAAAATTTTGTATACAGGAAGCTGACGTCATGGAATAACACAAAGGCATTATAAATCCCTACTAATATTATAACTCTGTCTGTCTGTCTTTTACGCTTTCACGCCTAAACAACTGAACTGATTTTAATGACATTTGCTACAAAGATAGAGTTGACCTTGAGAAAGAACAGGATATTGTTATACCAGACTTTGAAAGGTTCTCTTGGAAACGCGATATAACTGAACTCGGACAGGGGAAGCCGCGGGCGGAAAGCTAGTGCTATATATACAAGTTAGTATTAATAATTTCGACTCATGGCTATCTAGTCAGATATAACTTATGACAGACACCAGCACGACAAATGTTTAGTTTAGTTACTTACGCCAACGCAGTGATTATAATGATTTAAGATATTCAAATTCAAATGTTAATAAGGCAATTTATGTGAGTGGGAGTCAAATAGATTCAATGTATTTCATTAGTAACATTGTGTATGTATATCTGATTTCAGAAGGAAAATAAGGAGAGTTCCGGCGGTAAAGGCGTCCCCGTGGCGGGGGTGGGGGAGGTGGACCGAGCACAGATCGCTAAACAAATGGCCGCGGCGCTAGTGGCTCAGGGGAAGACAGACGTGTCCTCGGAGGAACTGGCTCAGCTGGTTGATGCTGTGGTATGGAATGATTATATATATATATATATATTACTCATTACACATGTCTTAATTCACACATTCTATAAGATTTTAAGACCTTAAACATACATAATTTTGAATATATGTTACGTCATCCATAAATTACGTCATTGATTTTTTTAGATTTTAGACTCCCCCCCCCCCCCAAATTGACGACATTACCAGTTTGACAAAATAAAAAATATTGCAGATTTGAGAAAAATAGGGTATTATATGATTAAAACACTTGGTTATACTAGAATCGCCTTTTATTATTTTTACTTTGGCAATAATCATTGATAAAATATAAAAGTAAAAAATAGGGAATAATAATATTATTTTAGTATTGTACGCGCCTTAGCCGCCTCTCACATTTGCAGTCCTCACTTACTAGGTGTGCTGGGAGAAATTTCTTTTTAGAAATAATCTTTTTGTACGTGAACAATAAACTATAAATAAATAAATAAGAATGACGTCAATTTCGAAACACCCCCCCCTCTATCTATCATTTACCGTCATCCGGAGACCAAACCCCCCCTCCCTAATTTAGAATGACGTAATATGTGTACGGGTCCCCTATGTAGTAATCAGAGTGTAGGGATAAAAAAAGTCATTTCAAATTTATAACATTATCATTTCGTTGATTTTTTTTATCTTAATTGATCTTTTTGCACTAAATATGATTTATTATATATTCTCCTATGTAATTTTTAAATCCTAATTATCCTATTTGATATTGATTTTCTTATGCTTTGCTATAAGGTGGGTATGGCTGAAGCGAAAAAACGTGAAGCGGAGTCCAAAAAGAAGGTTGAAGCACGAGCCAGCAACAACCAGACGGCGCGACAGACGCTGGCGGGCTCGGGCACCACGTCCGCCTTGAAGATGTTACAGTTCGCGTACGATGATAAAAAGTAAGTTTAATATTAACACCCTTTGTATTATATATTGACTGATTTACCCAATGACATCTAAGAGCTGCGCGAGTATTCATTTAAATGAAACTAATATTTTAGGGACTACTACGCGAATTCTATTATTTTTAAGAAACTTTACACTTTGGTTTCGGTTACTTTGCAGCAACCGTGATTACAGGCAGATGAGATGTCTGAGAAGACGCGTTGTAATCCGAAAAATATTAGTTTCATTTAAATGATTTAGTGTTGATTTATCTAAAACCTTATCTCTATCAGGTCCGATAAAGAAGACGTTCCGGACGTGATGGATGGGCTGTCAGACTCAGACCTGGAGACTCTCCTCAAAAACTTCAACGAACTATCAGCTGAGGAACAACATAGCCTCATAGCGTATCTCAAGAAGCTTGAAGCCCGAGAGCCACAGCGTGTGGAACGATTGAGACAGTACGTGAGCGCTGCGGCGACACACGTGCACGGCGATACTGAGGATAAAACTAGCGCTAAGGAACCGGCCGTCGCCATTGAGAGCGATGACGACGACTACACTGTAGAAGACGTGAGTATACACCGAACATCTCATCGTAATAAACAAATTAAATTAAATCAATGATCTTAAATCACCTTCCGTTTACCAGGTTTTCAAATCGGCGACACAAAAAGTAAAAGAAGATCAAATCCGTCAAGAAATGGAAATTGTGAAGAAATCATTGGAAGAGACCAAGGAATCATGTATTATATTAGAGTCCACGCCGCCAGCTAACACGTCTGTTCCTAATATTATTAATAGTTTCTCATCGGCCACCGACCTGTTGGCGCTGGTTCAGGCCACGTTACAATCGACACCCGCACAGACCCCGGCCGTCGGTCAAGTGATGTCAGATGTAGTCATGAGTACTACACAACCCAGGTCCTTCGGCGACCTGCCTGAATCAGTGAAACCTCAACCACACTTACTTCCTACAGCAAATAAACAAACTCCCTTTATTCAGCAAAATATGTCACAAATTTCTGCCAACATAACTAATATTGCTAATCAAAATAGTTTCCACAAAGCTAACATTCCATCTTGGGAGACTGGACAAGAGGCAATTTCAGATAGAGCTAATATACAACAATTTGATAATAATGACAACCAACAAGGAGGGAGTTATCAAGATAACTTTCATGACGTATCCAGAGGATGTCAGGATAATTATTATCAAGGAAATAGAAATCAGGATAGTAATTACTATCAAAAAGAACCAGAGTGTAATATTAATACAGGCGCAAGGGTCCCATATAACCAACAAAACAATTATAATCAGACTCCAAAAGGAATGCACAATAATATGAATCAGGGACAAAATAATTTTAATCAGTTACCTCAAGGGTCACAAGACAGTTATAATAATTATAATACAAATCCCGGCAGCTACAATCAAAATAGATGTCAAGGAAATTACAATCAAAACGCCAGAGAAAATCAAAATACCTTTAACCAATTAGGTAGATTTGATAATAATTACAATAATCCTGCACCGCGGAGTCCTATGGACTATAATATGGGCCGAGGAGGTCAAGGCAACCCCAGAGGTCAACAAGACAACTCATATAAAAACCAAGGGAACAGAGGTAACTTTAGTGGTAACAACAATAGATCTCAAGATAACTTCAATACTCGAAATTCAGATCAGCAAAATCAGTTCGGCAACAACCAACAGAATAACTTTAGAGGAAGAGGCAGAGGATACGGCGGTCAGAGAGGGCGCGGCCGCGGATATTATTAAGAATTAGTTTAACCAAAATAATGTTTACAACATACGTATTGGTATCCTGATTGTTTATTGAAATAAATGGGGTATTGAATTTATTTATTTTTTTATTTAAACATCTCAATATATTTAGCTTCATTTATTATAAAAATATATACATTTACACTAGACATGATTTCTATACAAAAGGCACATTTCAGTAAGTCCCCAGTTCCAGTAGGGCGTCTATGTGTTCAGTTTCTGGAAGAATGTCGATTTCAAGGTCTTCAGACTTAATATTATTCCCGCCTTTGTTATCCACACCAAAAAATCTGAACAATTTTGACAAATTTATAATAGCGTACGCCGAGTTCGCAAGGACCTCTTCGACCATATCCTTTAAGACTTGGAAGGCTGATAAAATATTAGGGCTTATTTTTGTTTCTGAAACAAACAAGAAACATATTATTATTCATACATATATACACATTCTTTTCTCTTAATTTGAAATATACAAATAATAATTACTTGACGTATTATGCTTGTTGACATCGAACAGAAACAGGAAGAAGTTTATTTGTAAATACAGGTCTTTCTCCGTGTACTCGCGGAACATGACGCCTTTCTCGCATAGCCTGCAGAGCGGATATCCGGCGGCGAAGGTCTGCGGTAGGCGCGGCGAGCGATACCCGCAGGCGGGGTCCTCGCACGACAACCACCCTGTATAATACTCGCTGTGATACTGACGCATTTGTAACGACAACTGATTCTGTATACACGCCAAGTAGTCGATAGGTTTCACACTACACTTCTCGTTCTGACACCGCTCCAGGAACGTGACGCTCTCCTTCTCCACCTGCCTGAACGTGTCTCGTATCCTGTTTTCAGTTCTACATTTCTCGTTGACGCAGATGAAGGTGAATTCTTTGCAGTATCTGTATTTTTCTTTATCGTTCTCTACTTCGTATGTATCTGTATTGGAGATTTCCTTCTTTATTATCTGACGGTAACCCGAGGGGTCCAGGCCGAGGCAGTCCGCTACTCGAGCCGGATCCAATCCCTCGATGGGTTCGCATATACGAGATATGACGGGGTGTAATTGATGGGCCAAATAATATTTGTAGTCGACGCTAAGATGTTCAGAATTTTTCAATTCTTCTATGTGATAAGCTCTCTGCGTCGCGCTATTAGCTGTGCCGTCCTCACAGATTATATACGGAACTATGTCGCCCTTTTTGAAACGTCTGCTATTTTTGCTGTTCAATCTCAAGGCTACCTGTACGTGCGGCTGGGTGTTCTTGTCTGCGTATTCGTTAGGATTTTTGGTAAGCTGCTTAGTTATTGTCAATAGCGATAGAGGCATTTTGCTGTTCATTAAATCTTCTTTCAATTTGTTTAAATGATTTTGTATACTTTCTAGTCTCTCGTCAGCCGTCTGCTCGGAAAGAATTTGTGTTAAGATAAATTTACCGGCCTCTGCGGCTAGCTGTGACCAATCTCTCCTGACAATATCTAAGCCTTTGTGCTCTTGATTATAAACGAATTCACCGCTTTTGTTTTTACTGACCACTACAGCAGCATATTTCTTTTTCTTCAACAGAAGTAGATATTTAAATACTCCATCAATGTCTAATTCGATCTGTTTGTACTTCTTATTGATTTCTCTTTTCAAGTCGTTGCCTATCTTAAATACGTAATCGTAGTCTAAACAGTTTGTATTGATCATCAAACTGTCGGTATCACCGTAAACCACTTCATAATTTAGTTTCTGAACAATTTCTTTGGTGTCCATTAGAATCTCTCTACCCTTCATAGTGACTAAAGCAGCTAAAGGTTTCGCATAAAACCTAGAATGTGTAAAGCCAAGACAACCATACATAGAGTTTGCAGTAAGCTTTAACGCCATCTGCCGAATATTATATTGCATGTACAGTTCGGAAGCAAGTTCAGGTGATTTCATTAGTCTTTTAACTTCCCGTCTACTTTCAACCAGTTTTCTTATCTGTGTGGGCAGTACTCCGAATTCCGTATTAGGAGCGGGTAGAACCAGATTATTGATGTCATCATCTGAAGCAGTGCCGTTTTTTCTTTTGATAGTCGTAAAACAAATATTATATTCTTGAATTATACTTGGATATAAGGAGTTGAAGTCCATTAGAAGGATGAGTTTATCGTAGAAGCCTTTCTTAGGGTCGAGCACCAGGCCTCCAGCGTAAGCCGCTTTCTTCTTTGCCTGTTTCTTTGATACGTTTCCAGTTTCGTCCTGATCGTCTTCTTCGCCGTCAGCCTTCTTTCCATATATTTTATCAGGCACAATGTAGTTCTTTTCAGTGAAAGCGTGCAGTAACAAGAACTCATTCCTTTCCGACCGGCCGCCCATCAAAGTTCTGGACATAATATTGCCCGCGATTTGCGTTATTTGTAGGGCCAGTGGTATCACATTGAGTTCGCACATTATCTTCAGAATGTATGAAGCATCCTGCATACTTAGTGAAACTAATTGTAAAAGGTCACTTGAACTTTCATTATATCGGGGTAGGTCTTCAACAGATACGTCAATTCTCTCCCCTTCTTTCATTTTCAGGACACTAACACATAAAGAATCTAGATCGAAGCTCCTCGCCCTTATAAGCTCCATTGCAGATAGTTTTATATCACAGACCAGTCTCCCAAGAAAAGCACTTCTCGCTGCGAATTTCTTTTGCGGAGCTACTGATCTCTTTAAGCGACCGAGTCGAGACCAATTCGGAATACGCAGGTCCAATATGTTGCCTATGAGTAAATCCTGTTGAAATCCTTGCAGGTCATGACCTACAACTAAATCCGGATCAAGCTTCCAAAACTGTACCATAAAGTAATTAAGGAGCTCCCTCTCATTGTCACATTTCGTTAATTTTGTTGCTTTATATTGTTGCATTTGCTGTTTCAAATCAATCGGCCACATGTCATTGCATTTTGTCATCACTGTAACAATTACAAAAATATATGTTATGTTTCATCTAATAAGCAAAATATAACATGAATAAAATACTCACCACAAAAGTGTTGATGAAAAGGTGGATTTGGTGGTGGCTTGTGTATAGGGAAGGAATTGTGAGCTAGACAACTCATCATCAATATTTTTGTCTTATTTGTTTTTGGATCACTAACTGTCCTCATATTTAACTGTAAAAGTTAACAATTCATTAATGTGTAAAAATATAGCACATTCATACAATCTACAATGTTTTATGTAAAAAAGTTAATCTCTTTGACACCATTTAAAATAATACAAATATTTTTGGACTAACTGCATGAAACTCTGTCCAGTCAGAATTTTACTTTTTGAGGAAATTTCAGACATACAAACATACCTACATAAGAATTAAAAATTGAACATTCCTAAAAATCTACTAAAATCATTAAATATATGAAATTATAATACATACAGTGGCAATAACAATAGGGGGTGGTTCTAAATCACTATCATTTCTTATGACGGCCACATTCTCCATTTTTTCACATGATGCTTCTAATTTGCACCAGGACACTTTAGCTTGAACACTCTCAACATTTTTCACCTCCAACCAACATGGACCTTTAATCTTTCTATCAAGCAAAAAGCTTTCCAGTGAAGATGTGTTGGTACCAAATATATGAGAAAATGTCAAATATTTCTTTCCTACTGGTGGAATTGGAAAAGAAGCCTGTAAAGATAAAATATTGTTATCATGAACAATATAAATATTTAATCCATGTAAACTAGTTTCTATTTAATACTCACAGAATATTTGACCTCCAAATAATCACATTGGGCAGGTATGTCTGGTAGATTGAAGCAATAGTTTTTAGTAACTTTCCTTGACTTGAATTCTTTTAAACCAATTTCACTAGCAACACTGTTGTTGAATTCTTCATAAACATCCATCATTGTCACCTCTTGATCTGTCGCCTCCAAGGTTATGGGATCTAATTTCTATAAAAATACATACAAATAATACATAAAGAGAAGTATATGGAGTCCTATAAAATGATTTAAATATTTATATAAACCTACATATTCTCTTGGAAGAAGGAACAATTGTCGGTTAACATTTTTCACAACTAAGCAGCATGAAGCACAACTCTCTTTCTTCTTGGATGGATTAACATATACTTTTCCAAATAAATACACGACTCCCGGTTTAACATATTTATCTTCCCAAGCATCGAGCCAATAAAACTTCAACACTTGTTCCCCATCCTTATTCTTCTGTAAAGGCAACTGTACATCACTCTGTATGCTAACAACAACCTGATTATCATTCTGCGACCAATTACTAGATAAGGCTTTCAATTCCTTGGGCTCTTTCTTTACTGGAAATATATCAAAATCTTCTTTAAAATCTTCAGCAACATCTTGTAATATGTCAGTCATTTTAGTCTCTTCTTTAATTGGAACTTGTGGTAGTTCTGCATCATTGCTGAAATCATCACCAAAGTCTAGATCATCAACTTGAGTTGCAAATTCTTCTATAATTTGACTGGGAGACTCTTCTATTTCTTTCTTTATTTCTTTGTCTATTAACCATGTAGATTTCTTTGGCTTTTCCTGATCAATAATTGGTTGCTTATTATCTTCAGCCTGAAAACAGGAATAAATAAAATAAAAAAAAACATATTGTCAATATATTTTTTAAAGCAATATTTCTAATACTTACAACATTATCAACATCCATAACAACAGTTTCTTCCTTTTTCACAGGTGGTGTTGGTTTTTTAACAGATGATGACAAATTTTTAAAATAATTCTGGGCATCTTTCTTACTTGAGTCAACTATGCTTTTTCTATTTGGAACAACAATCTTTGGTTTCACTGCTGATGATGAAGTACCATCTAAATCTGACATGATATCAGATAAAATATTGTCATCTGATATTTTGGCATCCTGTAAATGAGAATAAAATAGTTTAGTTGAAATATATTGGAAGTTGTATTAGTTTAGATGTGTTTTGTTGAACAATTCATACCTCTTTCTTTTTATTTGGCATAGCACCAATAAGATTCCTGATATTTCCTTTCCCAGCTGGTTGGGGAGCAACTTTAGCTTTTCTTTTGTGGCCTCTGCCTGTTTCTTTGCCATCTTTAGCCACATAAGTATCTTCAATCTCATCATCATCAAATATTTCCCTACCATCCTCCACGTAACCTGTCCCATCTGTAAACCAAATAATTGATAATTAATTCACAGAACTTACTACACAAACAATGTTGGGTTTTAATAACAAAAAATTAATAGGCTTTGAATATTAAACTTGTCTATAGGGATGATTAAATATATAATAATTTAAAATATACATCTAGTTGAATAACAATTTTCACGAACATACCATCTTCAATCCAATCGTCTTCTTGTCGCTGTAATACACGATTACTGTATTCAGACTCATCAACTAAGTCATACACATTCTCCAATTCATCCACGTCGTATTTATGTTTAGAGCCTTTCCCCTTTAGTTGTTTTAATTTTTCTAAAGCCGACAAACGACCAGTCTTGTCAACTTTTTGCCGTTTTGCCCTGGTAGCCGCTGTAAATATAAGAAAAGCAATTAATGGTCTATAATAACACTCAACACATTTTAATTTATGCAATGCGTACCTAAGGACTCTGCCATCATTTACAATATATGTTTCTTATAATAACAAATTAACTTTTAGTCAGATAAATAAATTAAAAACAACTAAAACTTCTATCATTATGACACTTCAATTTGGCGCGAAACTGGTTTTACCGATTATAGACTAAAGATTGCTTAAATGTTAAACGAACCAAAAATCGAATTAATCATATAAACATACGTTTAATGGATTAAATGATTTTTAAAACTAAATCTACTATTATTCTAATTTGATTTGATAATCTTTATAACTGAGAGGTATTCATAAAAATATTTAGTTTGAAGTGAAATTATTTCAAAAGATTGGAAAATCTCAATAAAATAGTTTTCTATTAAAAATTTAAATAATAATAAATATGCTGGTATTTTTTTAAACAGTATAAAATATAAAGACAGTTGGATAACTGAACTATTTTACTCTGTATACTCGTAAATAGAAGTGTTTGATATTTTACGCGCCAAAAATATTGTCAGGCTTAATGTCGTTGGAAGTTTATTGTGATACAAAAACTTTCGTTACTTTACTCCATCATTGAACATTTTATTATAACTTTTTATGATTGTAAAAGTGTCTTTTACTTAAGAATCCTTGTTAATTACATTAAATAGAAAATAAGTTTTAGAACCTTAAAATGGCTATGCGCGATTATGCTGCCGACAAAGGTACGATTCTTGTAGTACAGTTTATGTTCTATTTATTACTTTGTTTTTAACTAGTGATTGTTTTTTAGAAAGCTTTAAAAGCTTCTTCATTGATTTCTGTCAGACGGACGATGAGGGTCACAAGAATTTTAAATATGCGGATCAACTTACGAGAGTGGCTCACAGGGAACAGGTAGGAAGAAAACAATATAAAAAGTGTTTTAAAGCTAATCTTACACTTAAAAATTCATAAATTTAATAATTATTGGGATCCTTTAACTAATAGATATCTCTTTCAGGTGGACTTTATTGTAGAACTAGATGATTTACATGAGGCAAATGAGGAACTCGCTGAAGCTGTTATCAAAAACACCAGGAGATACACAAATATGGTGTCTGACGTGGTTTACGAGATGTTACCCGAATATAAGCAGAGAGAGGTTGCAAATGATTAATGTTTTATTAATTGTAAGGCCGTTAAGTGTTTTTAACAAGTAGTTATATTTAAGGTAGTAGCAAAAGATGCTTTAGATGTATATATCGAGCACAGGATAATGTTGGAAGCTAGAAACCACAGAATTCCAGGAGAGATGAGGGACCCTCGCAATAGATATCCACCGGAACTGATCAGACGATTGTAAGTTAAATTAAAATCCAAATTAATTATACATTTTTTAATTCAAAGGCATAGAAACATTGATATTAGGTTTTTTATAATAATAATTATTTATAATATAAGGAAGGAGAAACATCAAGTTATTAATGTTTATTAATATTTCAGTGAGGTTTACTTCACAGACATGTCAACATCAAAAAGCGTTCCTATCAGAGATGTAAAAGCTGAACACATCGGTAAATTGGTTACTGTAAGAGGTATGTCTTTAACAATAAGCCTATTAACATATATGTTGAGTCTTATGTATAAGGTTAATGTAGCAAATAAGAAATTTTAATTTTTTTTGCTGTAAACACTTCACACTGTATTCTACATTATTAAAAAATATATATGTGTATTTGTTTGTGAAAAGACAGTTTTTGTTGCAGTAAAAAAGGATAAGTAACACACCTTTTAACATACAAGAGCTTATATAATGTATATTATAAAAATATATTTATATTTAAAAAACTAGTAGTTCATCAAGCATAAATACCATACATATATTTCATAGTTGCTAGGCAAAGTTTCAAAAGCATCAGTTATACATTGAAATCAAACTAAAACGCGTCTACAAACATTTGTTATTTTGCACATTGGCCCTTATACATAGGAGCCATCAAATTTAAGCCAAATAAGAATTATTATATATATTAACATTTAAGTATTTTTGTAGGTATTGTAACTAGATGTACCGATGTGAAACCTTTGTTAGTGGTGGCTACATACTCGTGTAGTGCTTGTGGAGCTGAAACCTATCAGCCAGTAAGGTCTTTACAGTTTACCCCACCACCTGCCTGTACGGCAGATGAGTGCAGAATTAATAAGACAGCTGGACAACTGCACTTACAAACCAGAGGTTCCAGGTTCCAGAAATTCCAGGAGTTGAAAATACAGGAGCATGTAAGGAACAAAATTTATGATCAATATTTTTATTAGATTTTTTCATATTTCAAGTTGGTTTTGTAAGAGTTACCAAAATGAAAGAAAAATTCTCTGTATTAGTTTTGTAAATAAACTTAGATTTGGCCAAATTTAATGCTTAAAGTTTGTAAAACTGTATTAGTTATACTTGTCAGTAATGTTAAATAATTATGAAGTCAAGTACATTACATATTAGGTTCTATCATTCAGTCCTAGCTACTTCCCACAATATATATGAATTTAATATATTCTATTGAATATTACAAAAACCTTGGAAGACTAGATATATTATGGTACTTAGTTTATGACTGATATAACAATAATTTTCATAAATACTAATATTATCTAAATTAAACTGCCTGTTTCTAATAAGATTTTCATACATTTCAGTCGGATCAAGTGCCAGTGGGTCATATTCCTCGTCAGCTGTCAGTGTATTGTCGTGGGGAGACAACTCGTCGAGCTCAGCCCGGTGACCATGTGGCTATAACCGGCATCTTCTTGCCACTACTGAACTCCGGTTTCAGACAGATGATTCAGGGACTGTTGTCGGATACATACTTAGAGGCTCATGTATGTTTGTGGCCATATAATTAATATAACATAGGGAGCGTTTAAGTATTACGTAACGCAATTTTGGGGGAGGGGGGGTCTCTTACAAAACGTTACGTAGCATTGTTTCTAAAAAAATATTAATAAAAACCCCCAAACTGACAACTCTTTTCATATAGGTTACATTATGTTGACCAGATTGTATTAGTCCGGTCGATATTTTTATTTGTTATTCCAAGTTTGCAAACCTCTTAATTGATAGTTTACTGGGAATACCTAGATTGCATTGTAAGTCTTTTAATGTTGCTTTCGTGGTCAGTATTCGCTAGTGTTTATCCGTGAGTTCATAGCGTTTATACTGTAATTTCTTCAGAAGAGGGAGATTTGTGTCAATGATCTTTTTTCATTTAATAGATTAAAACTATACCTAACTATTACATATTGTTTTACGACTTTGGATGACATTGATCACTTGAGTGTTACGTAACGTTTTGAAAAGGGGGGGGGGCTACAGAAAAACGTTACTGTGCGTTACGAGGGGGGAAGGAGGGGTCAAAAATCTTCGAAATTGTGTTACGTAATACTTGAATGCACCCATAGATGTTTAGAAGTCAAAACTCAATGTTCAATTACTATAAGCGTGAAAGCGTAACAGACAGACCGACAGAGTTATTTTCGCATTTATAATATTAGTAGAACAAATATGTATATGAGAAATCGTTTTCTGCAGTCCGTGAGCTGCATCAATCAAGCTGATGAAGGTGAGTTATCAGAAGCACTTACAGAGGAGGAGCTGGCGGAGTTAGCGGAGGACGACCTGTACTCACGGATGGCGAAGAGTTTAGCGCCGGAAATATACGGACACGAAGATGTTAAGAAGGCGCTGCTGCTGTTACTGGTTGGAGGAGTGGATAAGTAAGACGGAGTACACATACATATATGTAGTACTAAAATAATAATAATATGATAATAAAAAAAGTATTATGTGGTCATATATTTTCTTTGGAATGTAATTCGAAGGCAGCCCTGGTAAGTTCGTTCCAAATTTGGTTAGGTTGAGAGAGTAGCTTGGACGGTGGAGGTGAGCGTATAACGCGCGTTAGATAGGGGCCACTTAAACCTACACCTGGGTCGCAAGTCCCAAGCACTGTTGAAGCTTCTCTCCCTGCAACGATAGACCCGGCACTTGCGCGGTGAATCAATTGAATGTTGAGAAGTTTCGTCTCATATGGAATTTAGTTTATGAATGCTTATAGATACATTGTTAAAGAATACTAATTATCATTTCAGGCGTCCAAACGGTATGAAGATCCGCGGTAACATCAACATCTGCCTGATGGGTGACCCCGGTGTGGCCAAGTCCCAGTTACTGAACTACATCGACCGCCTCGCGCCTCGCTCTCAGTACACCACCGGCCGGGGCTCCTCCGGTGTAGGACTTACAGCCGCTGTTCTAAAGGTTATATAATATTATATTGAACTACTTTAGTAATATTACTTGGTTTTCCGTATGTTCTCAGTTTCTTTGAAGTGAAATCTCTTCAGTATCAATGAGATTTTAAACTTGATGAAACCTAGAAATAAGTTCATAGACACAAATATATAAATGAGAGAATGAGCGAATTACGTTCTCGGTTATTTGTTCAATGTAAAAACATACAAACTGTATAATGTGTAACATATTATGTAGGATAATTATGGTTACAGTTCCGAATTCCAGTTGTGTTTTGTTTTATTTTATTTTAGTTTATTGGAGGAAAAAACAGCACAGGAATGTAATAAAAAATATAAAAAATAACACAGTAAATTAAAGACAAAGTCCTTAAACATTTCTCACTAAGAAATATAGATAAATTAAAAAGAGAGGCCGCTTGAGCACGCATCTCTAATAATACACTTGATAAAAGCGATGTGTACAAATAAAGTGTGTAAATTTAATTTAAGGATGTGAAGGGAGTGATGGTAAATGTGCAGAGAAAATCTAGCGCTTAAACTAAACTCTTAATCAATGTTAATGAAAAACAGGACTGCGAGGTGGCTTATTTTTTTTTATAATTTGTTATGAAACACGGCTGAATTGTGACGTAAAATATCAACTGGAGAAAATTCGTTATTATAAATGCGACATATTGATGAATATTATACTTCTTTTTTAAAAATAAATGTAAGTAAAACTTAAAAATAAATATAGGGTGGCAACCAGAGGTTCCAGGAAAACTACGAAACATACTTATATGTATATTAAAATACGAATTACATGTTAAAACTTATAACCTATTACCTATACCTAAGACTAACATAGCGTTAAGTCCGCCCTTTGTACATTAATTTTTTTTTGTACAATAAAGAATAATAATAAAAATAAAAAGACTACATGATTGCCCCAATGTTAAGATGACAATAGCATTCTATTGCTTGTGTGGTATATGGAATCTTCTGGTTCCCATGGCTTGGTGTTGGTTCCGCGGAGTCAGCGGCATCACTCATTATACGATATTTTACCTATACAAAGATGTCGCCCCGGCGATGTTCAATTTGTTTTCCTCATATGTAACAAACCTTTAAATAACTTTTTAATGTCGTTTCTCATAGGATCCTTTCACCGGCGAGATGATGTTGGAGGGTGGAGCGCTAGTGTTAGCGGACCAGGGCGTGTGTTGTATCGACGAGTTCGACAAGATGGCTGAAAACGACCGGACCGCCATACACGAGGTCATGGAACAACAGACTATTAGTATCGCTAAGGTGAGCTCTTTATATAATAACTTGGATACTTGTAAATTATCTACAAAAACATAATAAAATTCTTTTTATATGGTTCACGCAACACTAACTGACTGTAACTTTACCCTTGAACCAGTTAAATGTGACTCAAATAATACTCATTTAGTATGACAAATACTCCTTGTTGTTATTCTTGTATGTTAATTGCATTCAGGTAAAATTCATTGAAAAATAACTTTTACAGTCATACTCCGAATCTCCTATAAATTTCAATATATTCTCACATATTTCAAAAATAATGCCTACATACAATACATATTATATAAATATACTTTCTGATTGTATTGAACTGTAGGCCATCAAATATTTGCCCACCAAGATTTAAACAGGTTTGATGTTACAAAGCAATAAAAATCAAATTAATAACGTAAAGTCCATTTAAAAGTCGTAATATCAGGATTCTACTGTATACATTGTTAATATATAATAATATTTTATTAATATTAATATTTCCAGGCGGGTATAATGACGTGTCTGAACGCCCGCGTGTCCATCCTAGCGGCCGCCAACCCCGCCTACGGCCGCTACAACCCCAAGCGAACCATCGAACAGAACATACAGCTGCCGGCCGCGTTATTGTCCAGATTTGATCTGCTGTGGCTAATACAGGATAAACCCAACAGGTGAAAAAATATGATTATTTGTTCTTCTTGCATATTACCTATAGCAACAATACCATTTGCACTTATTTGCAATTATATTGTGTACTAGTTTCTATTCCTAACTTGAGTTTGTACATATTGATATTGAACTCTGATTGATTTATATAAATTTAAATTCAATAAAAAAAATATGGTGAGCAATCAGCAGCGACATCTATAGTCAGAATCACGTGATGTCATATAAAATTCATATCTGACGTTATTCCGCGTACACTACTCGGCATCCCCGAATAAATTGTAAATATGTTCTCCTTTATCTAAACTACTCAACATTAAAATTTTCATTAAAATCCGTTAAGTCGTTTCTTGTGAATAACCGACACACATCCACACGCACACAAATTCGTATTTATAATAGTAAGATAATATAATGTGCATTTACAGTGCTTCAACTTTAAGCTTTCATTGTACATAATGAAAAAACTATCTCATAATGAAACTTACTTGCCGATCCCATCTAACATGGGAAAAGGCAAAGAATATAATGAAACTTACTTATATATTTACTAGATAACTTGGTCTATATTAAATAATATATTAACCCACAGAGAGAAGGATCTCGAGCTAGCCAAGCACATAGCGTACGTTCATCAACATTGCTCTCAGCCAGTGACGGAGACGAAGGCTCTCAGCATGCGGCTCGTGAGGCGGTACATAGCGCTCACACGACGATACCAGCCCGCTGTACCCACCGCGCTGTCTGAATATCTCGTCTGTAGGTTGCCTTATATACATTCTACCTTATTTTGGGCAAAAAATCATATATAAATTCATATTAAACATGTAATTTATCTAAATTTTATATTTAATTTGTGTGTACTGTATAATATGTCATACTGATACCCGTGGTCAATTACTTACACGTTTACAATAATATACTGAATCGTGTCTGCTAAAAGTTAATTAAGTCCACGATACAGTCCTAGCGTAGTGTGGACGTATGTTTACTGTAAAATGCATTGTAAAGTTTTTTTACAAATAAATAAATAAATGTTTATATTATCCGTAGCATCATACGTAGATCTACGTCGTGAAGCACGTAACGCCCGTGACGTCACCTTCACGTCCGCCAGAAACCTGCTCGCTATACTTCGATTGTCGACTGCGCTCGCTAGACTCAGGTATGGGAATGTTACTCTTATATTCTTGAGAAACATTTACAGTAGTCTTATGACTAGTTTATTTTGAAAAACAATATACTGAGTGTTTGAGTTTTTGTTGTTTGATTATGTGTGCAGAGTTATAATTGAAAAGCTGAAAGAAATATGTTTTCATCGTAAGAAATCTCTGTGACTTCTATGCTTAACGTGTCTATAACGTTAGAAACATCTTCTAAGTACCTATGATATTATTATATGAATTTATTTGTTTTAGATTGTCAGATGTCGTTGAGAAGGAGGACGTCTCAGAAGCAATCAGACTGGTTGAAATGTCGAAACAATCACTGCAACACGTCGATGAAAACGTTCAGAGGTTTGTTATTACGAATTTAAAAAAAATTATGACATATACTCTGCTCGCGACTTTCTCTGAAGAATGAAGATTAGGGCTAATTACGACCTAGTGACAAGTAAAATATAGCTATTCATTAATGAGGCTATGTGATAAAAACGTGAATATGTAGTTGTATTTTTATTGCAAATTCTAAAACAATAATATATACAAAAATAATGTTTGAAGTCGATCACGCTTGCCATTTAGAGATGCTGAAATTAGATTAAGACATTCACTAATCTACTGAATGTACCAAATATATCAAACTTTCATTAAAATCAGTCAAGCTGTTTCAGAGATATGTCATCTGTTACTGTGATAATACAATTTCATCCATATGTATGTGTATGTATGTATGTGTGTATGTATGTTTCAGAGGTATCAGCGCCACGGACCGCATCTTCGCGGTGGTGAGGGAGCTGGCCGGCTCCAACAAGACCGTGAAGGTGGCCGACGTCATCGAGAGGTGTGTCGACAAGGGGTTCAAACCCGACCAGGTACACAAGATATATATTATACAAGGAACTTAATATATATATATATATAACAAAATCAAATTGTAGATATTCATATCTTGTCTGTCTGTGTTCACGGATGGTGCAAATCAACCATAGGGAGTATTGAGTTATATAATTAAAGTCATGTAGTAATCCGAAAAATATAAGTTAAATTGAGATAAATAGTTCTCAATACAAATTGATTAAATTGGAACTTGTTTGTAATATTATACATGGTACATTAGTAAAAGTAAATATTTTTCCTCTCTCTATAATACATAAATTTACTGTGCCTTCGACTTCGGTATAATCGATGGATGATTCGACCGATTTTTTTACGGTAAAAATCAATAGAGTTCCTAAAATATACAGTTTCGTTTGTTATCTTTTTAATATAAGCTCTAAACAAGTGAGAATATGTACCGTCTAAACAAACACAACCGTTTGACAGATTAGCAACAGATAGACAGTTAAGTATTTCGCTTATAATTGTTTATTTTTGATATTTGAGCCTACATTTATTTTAGTTTAGTTTAAGCCGGTTGAATAAAAACACTTTTACATAATTTTTGTTAATTGATTTTTATTGTGTGTGATTTGTTATCTTTATTAAAGTAAAACTTAACAATGAACATTATTTTGATGTATGTTTTATTTGTAGGTGGACGCTTGTATCGAGGAGTATGAGAACTTAAATGTATGGCAAGTGAACCAAGTCAGGACGAAGATTACCTTCATGTAGTTTATAATAATTTGTCATTAAATAATTATAACAATAAAATATAATGTTCGTGTTCTTTAATGAGTGTTACTATGATGTTTGTGAAAATAAACTATTTTGCTACATGTGTAATTATTAATTAAATAATTGTGTACCTTTATGAAAATCACAATATAGATTTCGTCTACCGCGACACTTGTGCCGCGTGCAAATTTACGACGAACCTATGCTTACTGAGTTAGTGGGCTCATAATACTTGTTGATCTGATGGGATCTTGGGGATCTTGATGGAGGTCTTTGGAGATATTGGTTTCCTAAGGAATCGTAAGCTCTATTAGCACAATTAGAGAAAAAAATGTTTGGTGTGGACACCGACGCACGAATATCCTCTGAGATTTTATATTGGTTATTATATGCATCCATCATTACAGTCCGATCTAGATTTACAATATCAAAGATGTAGATCTTAGTGCGTTCTCTCACAAGACCAATTGATAGCTCTTACATTTCGTCTGCCCGTGATCACGATTGCTGTAAAGTAGCCGAAACGTCGGGAGTATGTAGTTTATAGTCAAAAATAAAAAAGCGTAGTAAATCATAAAATATTAGTTTCATTTAAATGAGTACTCGCAAAAATATTAGATCATACAATTGATAGCTCGTTTGTGATTATTTCTTGATACCGAAAGACTAACCACTTCGCGTATGATTTCTGAAACTTTATCGTGACGGCGCGAGTATTTCCACCATATCACACCAGCAAACGCTTAGCAATTCCAACTGCCTCCACTGATATAATATTTTTTTTCGTTACAACATCTTACTAAATGATTGTGATCTGGGAAAAGTAATCTGAAACGTATTAAAATAAAAATATAATGTGTGAATGAAAACTCTTGACAATCCGTATATAGCGTGACGATGCAAGCGTATTGTTAAGTAATTTATTAGATTACTGTACAAGTTTTCAGGCTCGTATTCTTTAAAAAAAAATGTTATTAATTAGAAAACACGGTTTTGTGGCTCTTTTAAGTATGAAGTATAGGCAAAACACTAAAAACGATTAAAAATAATAAGAATAAAAAAAATAACTCCACATCGTTTACTTTTTATCTCGTTGATAATTCAAATATAAACAATTTTATTTTCAAAACATTAATAATATCGGGATATATAATTTATTAATTATAGTATGTACCTAATATTTTGATAAAATGAATATTAATGTAAAATAATTATAAACATTGGGTCTCTGATATTTAAGGTTGTAATACTTTTTAAACGCGAAGTTTTTAGTGTTATTTGGCAATATGATGTTTCAAAGCTTTTATTTCGTTAATATCTATTATTATCTATCTATTGTAATGTAAATTTGTAATTTGTAGCAAGTAGATACGTTTTACACTGATCCGCGTTCGTATCGATCGACTTAGTTTAAAATCTGATTATCTAATTGTTCTGCTTTTGGAATAGTACTATTAATAGCAGTTTGATCTGTGATAATGTGTTGTAGTTATCAATTAATTTGAATCATTTGTAAATTAAACAAGGTCGCAACCAGGTCAGCAGACTACACATATAGGATAAAATAACACATTAGTATTAAAAACTACTAATTTTCAGAAACGCTTATACGATATCATTCCCAAATGTGATTCTTTTGTTCATTTCTTAGTAATGTTCGTGCTAGTTTTAATTATTCAAGCATTGTTTGTGTTAAAGAATGAAAAAATAACTAATTGCTTTGAAATATTAACTAATTAGTCTGTGAAAATGAATTATGAAATATGCAACCCCATTTTTTGAGTTCCCTTTCCTCACGTGTTATTTCAACTTATTTTATATGTGGGTCACTCACACGGGTCACGAAGTATGGCTCGAATTACAGACCGAATTGTGCAGTTTAGTTGTAAGCTGGGAACATTCTGAAATCATTAGAATTTAAAATGCACATTTCTGATAATAACAACGAATATTTGATAACAATTTTGTAAATTATATCAATTTACACTCTTTTCAATGACCATGTTTGTATGTATCACTGCTTTTTGATTTAATTGCTAGATGAAGTTATGTACATTTTTAAATTTAATGACAAAATTTTTATATTTTAAATTTAACTTAACACTTTTTAAAAAATCCTAAAGATATTTTAAAACAGACTAAAAAGTAGGTACCTATACCATATTATTTTCGGCAACTAATATGTAAGGAAAAAATGTTGGATAAAAATGAACGTATTAGATATTTAAAAAAGCAATAATAACTATCTTTATCTGAGAACAATGAAATTGTTATATTTTATGAATAATATGCAGAAAAAATATTGAATAAAAGAAATATGTTACAAGAGTTATATTTAGTGATCACGTGTTGGCGTAACATACAGCAAGTTGGAACGTTTTGTCAATACGAGTATTTATCAAGAGCTGAAAATTTAATAACGAGGTGTTCAAGTGGACAATTATGTTCTCTAAAACAAAGGTTTAAAATCCGACCTCTGGCTCGTTGACCTGATTGTAAATAAAATATTAAAATACCTACAAATGTTCATAAAAAAATACGTTTGGCTGTTCAGATTTATCGTAGTTTTTATTACGGCAGTCGATTCTCTTTCCCCATTTAGAAAACCGACAAAACTCTTCACGGGCTCAAGTTTTGGCAATGATTAATGTGACCTGGGAAACTACGAGGAGTTGGAAGTGGCGTTCATTGCGACAATAATGTATTGATATATATTATATAGGTCCACACTGAAAATATAAGGCCTGGAAATATAGGTACTAATATAAAGAATGTGTTTTAAGAACAAGTAAGGATCACGTTTGCTGAAAAAGTCGGGAATATGTAGCTTTTTATCAAAAATAAAGTTGCGTAGTATCTATTTCCGAAAAATATTAGTTTCATTTAAATTACAAGTATTTTTATTTAAATTTTTGAACAATGTTTAATTTAAAATACAAGTTGTACTTTCGTTATTTCTTACGAGCACTCACTAAGGTGACCTGCTGTTGAGTTAAATATGTGAGGTTTCTACCCAGCTACAACTGATGCTTATAAATTTTTCTTATATTTAGGTAAATATATTTTTAAAAACTATGATATTAAACTACATAAATGCTTATATTTTTGAATAAACATTTTGTCTTATTAATCTCCTTTTGACATATTTATTTCATATATCTTAAGTCTAGGAAATAGACTGAGTAAGTTATAATAATAGTGAAATAAGAAAATTGGTATAAATTTATTCAAATAACAACGTTTTTCAAATTTTTTGCGATGGCATAAGCATAATCCAAATCCACTGTTAATAAATTAATCAACTGTTAGTTAATCCTCTGTTAATAAATTAATCCACTGTTAATAAATTAATCCACTGTTAATAAGTTAATCCACTCTTAATAAATTAATCCACTGTTAGTAAATCCACTGTAAATAAATTAATCCACTGTTAGTAAGTTAATCCACTCTTAATAAATTAATCCACTGTTAGTAAATCCACTGTTAATAAATTAATCAACTGTTAGTTAATCCACTGTTAATAAATTAATCAACTGTTAGTAAATCCACTGTTAATAAATTAATCCACTGTTAGTAAATCCACTGTTAATAAATTAATCCACTGTTAGTAAATCCACTGTTAATAAATTAATCCACTGTTAGTTAATCCACTGTTAATAAGTTATTCCACTCTTAATAAATAAATCCACTGTTAGTAAATCCACTGTTAATAAATTAATCCACTGTTAGTAAATCCACTGTTAATAAATTAATCAACTGTTAATAAGTTAATCTGCTGTTAATAAATTAATCCACTGTTAGTAAATCCACTGTTAATAAATTAATCAACTGTTAATTAGTTAATCCACTGTTAATAAATTAATCAACTGTTAGTTAATAAATTAATTCACTGTTAGTAAATCCACTGTTAATAAATTAATCAACTGTTAATTAGTTAATCCACTGTTAATAAATTAATCAACTGTTAGTAAATCCACTGTTAATAAATTAATCCACTGTTAGTAAATCCACTGTTAATAAATTAATCAACTGTTAATTAGTTAATCCACTGTTAATAAATTAATCAACTGTTAGTTAATAAATTAATCCACTGTTAGTAAATCCACTGTTAATAAATTAATCAACTGTTAATTAGTTAATCCACTGTTAATAAATTAATCAACTGTTAGTAAATCCACTGTTAATAAATTAATCCACTGTTAGTAAATCCACTGTTAATAAATTAATCCACTGTTAGTAAATCCACTGTTAATAAATTAATCCACTGTTAGTAAATCCACTGTTAATAAATTAATCAACTGTTAATTAGTTAATCCACTGTTAATAAATTAATCAACTGTTAGTTAATAAATTAATCCACTGTTAGTAAATCCACTGTTAATAAATTAATCAACTGTTAATTAGTTAATCCACTGTTAATAAATTAATCAACTGTTAGTAAATCCACTGTTAATAAATTAATCCACTGTTAGTAAATCCACTGTTAATAAATTAATCCACTGTTAGTAAATCCACTGTTAATAAATTAATCCACTGTTAATAAATTAATCCACTGTTAATAAATTAATCAACTGTTAATAAGTTAATCTGCTGTTAATAAATTAATCCACTGTTAGTAAATCCACTGTTAATAAATTAATCAACTGTTAATTAGTTAATCCACTGTTAATAAATTAACCAACTGTTAGCTAATCCTCTGTTAATAAATTAATCCACTGTTAGTAAATCCACTGTTAATAAATTAATCAACTGTTAATTAGTTAATCCACTGTTAATAAATTAATCAACTGTTAGTAAATCCACTGTTAATAAATTAATCCACTGTTAGTAAATCCACTGTTAATAAATTAATCAACTGTTAATTAGTTAATCCACTGTTAATAAATTAACCAACTGTTAGCTAATCCTCTGTTAATAAATTAATCCACTGTTAGTAAATCCACTGTTAATAAATTAATCAACTGTTAATTAGTTAATCCACTGTTAATAAATTAATC